AGTACCCAACATAATTACACATATGCATGCACGCATGCATGCATGAGTCTTTGGATGTGAGTGTGTATGCATGTATGCATGGATGTATGTATGTATGATGTAAGCACATCATAACTCACGCCCCCTTGTAGGTGTGTCACAGCCTGCATGTACACAGGCATGCATGTGCAATCATGTGCATACATCAATAAATGCATAAACTAATAAAGTAACTAATAGATAGTCAGATACTCCATGTGTACATGCAGACAGACACCGTACATGCCCATGGACACAAATCTTGTCGCAGCAGTCGGGACATCCCCGGCCTAGGCAGTACATGTATCCCAGGAGAGCCAAGGCCCCGGAGTGCTGCCTGTTGGCCGCCATCTTCAAGTACTGCTTGGCCTCGCCGCGCGAAACCCAGAGTCCCTCGAATTTAGAGGCTTAGGCCCTATAGAGCCCTGTGCCTTCTGGTAATCCTGCTTGAAGCCCTCAATCCCCAAGAGGTAGCGCTTCCCAATCGCGGCGGCGACAGCGCTGTCTCCGCTAGTGGCGATTTGCACGAAGAGATTCAGCTCAGAGCTGCTCATGACCTCTCACACACACGCAAAATCACGAAACGGTGCTCACGCAATCCGCAGACACGAACGTCTGACCTTCCGGTCCTTCTGCGGAAGGTTCAAGCGAACCAGCCTTACGAGCCGGGCTCAAGCTGAACATGCCGGCCACTGACTCAGCCGTCTGACTCCTCTTTTCGAAATGCAGCCGGAGTAACTCGACTGCTTGCGGCATGCCAGATGAGTAGATGCTGGCAATGCCCTTGGCAACGTCGATGTAGTTCAGGGCTGCTGTGGTGCAGGCCTGGGGCCACGCAGACGGAGCCTGAGATCCCAGAAACTTTTCCCTTGCCTGTGGCACGCCGTAGCCGTGCAAGTGCCTGTAGCCCATGGCCATCAAGGCACCTGGATGGCCTGGTCATGAGCTGCAAAGAGCGCCGGTTTTGGAAGGCCGAAGGAAGGCTGGCCTGCTGTGGAGGCGGCATACAGGTGTAAGACAGCTAGGGCCTGCCAGAACACTTGCAAGATCTGGAGAGCTTCGATGTGCTTCGTGGACCTCGTTCCGTCGCAGATCATCCTCAGCATGAGCACCACATGCTGCATGCTCCCAATATCTCCCATGCAGACTTTCTTTGGCAAGTTCAAAGCCCGAGGTTCGCTGCTCTCGGCCGAGGCGTAGAGGATGGCCAGATTGTACTGCGCATCCGGCTCACCCACGGCAGCTGCTTCCTCGAAGAGCTCTTTGGCCTCGACTTCGTGCGAGGCGCTTTTGCCTTTTGCCATTTCATCTTCCAGCTTTCATGGGGCCCGGGCCCGGGTGAGGTTCCGATCTACCCCGGCTCCGACCCAATGCAGCTCGCCGAGAGAGTTCTTGCATGCAGCGGTCTCCAACTGATCCGCCTCAGCCGCGTCCTCTCAGGCAGCTCTGACAGAGTGGCATGCCTCCCCGCCTTTCACCTTTCAAGCTCCGGGCCTCTTTGGTGAGGCAGCCGGTCAGTATTGCCAGGGCCTGGCAGAACTGCGCAACCTACAGACACAAGAGAGCTCCCGTAGCTGCTCCGCGGCCTTGGAATCATCGCCACTCCTCCAAGTGTCGCAAAACCCTGCACAAGCACTTTCGCGGTCTCATGCTGGCCTGAATGCTTGCAGAGCCCTCTCCACGTCGGTCCAGGAGTTATTCTGGCCTCGCAACAGTCCCGCAGACACACACATACAGACAGACACACGAAACACAAAAGGCCAGCCCCAAGGCCCAGGCTTAGAGCGGAATCCGCTTCATCGATTGCATCATCGGATGTCAGCTGCAGCAACACAGCCTCCCGAGGCTTATTCCACAGCTTATTATCAAGACCCACTACTAGCAGGTGCTTGCTCATGCACGGCTACAAAAACAAACTCGTTTCGCACAAATCATGTGATGTGCCAGCTGTGCGCTGAAACACGGGTGTTTGCTCACAATTTCTCGGGGCGGTGGCAGCACAATCCAAGCTTGAGAATTCGACTTGCTTCCCGAAATCTCGGACCTCTGGCCATGCGTAGCAGCAGAAAGAAAACTTCATGAGCAAGATGAACAACCGCATGACAATAGCAGAGGGTAACGAAATAGCCAAGAAGTCTGTACAGCGGTATATAGAATGATGCTCAAAGCCACATGTCCAGAGTCCATAGTATGTGCACATGCAAACAGACCTTCAAGAAGTAGATGGTCGCCAGGAGCGCCAGGCTGATCAACAGCACCCGCAGGAGCATGAGGGTCGCTCCCTGCGGCAGGGGTCCAGTCTGAGAAAGACTCGGCATGTATACGTGCAGCATGTATGTATACGTACTAGTACATGAATGCCGCCAACATCAGTCTCTCTTTCTTTCTTTCTCTCTTCTTCTGCAGGGCATGAGGGGCTTCGAAACCCCCCGGGCACATGGCCCCCCCATATGTTATGGGGCTTTGAGGGAGTGTAAAACGATAACTGTTCCCCCTGCAAGAGTAGTGAAGTATACTGGCCTATGGAAGGTTCAGGGTTCGCAGTTATTTTACGACACACTACGATGCCGCGACAGACCATCATGGGGAGATAAACATCAGTAACTGCCATAGCTAGAACTAATGGTGCCCCGGTCGTCGGTGGCTTTGGTAAGACTCTGTTTGTCAGCTTGCTGCACAATGCACATTGCAGTGGAAACGAAAAGGTAAGGCATCTACGGGGTATGTGGAATAACAAACATTCGGCAAGCCGACCGGGTCCTCTCTCTCTCTCTCTGTTTCTCTCCCTCTCTTTTTCTCTCTCTCTCTCTCTCTCTCTCTCTTTTTCTTTCGCCAGGGCTAGGGTGTAGGGGATTGACCCCCTACACCGCTCTCTCTCTCTCTCTCTCTTTTCTTCAGCACAGGCTCTCTTCGCTTCACTTCGCTTCGCAGGGGTCAGGCTCCAGCGCGCCAAGGCGCCCCCTTTCCCCCCTTTGAGGTGGAAGGGGCTTTGGGGCTGTAGCGCACGGGGTTGTTCCCCGAGGTCGGTTAGGCTGGTAGCGTCTGTCTGTCGGTACAACCCCCCCTTTCCCTGAACACTAACGCGCCTCCCGGCCTCGTCTCCCCGCTCACTTTAGCCATATCCTTGGCCCTGCGACAGACAGAAACCCCCAGTAGTTACAGCGGCCTCTGGTCACTTCCCCCGTAACAAGAACAACTAAGGTCCGTGCTTTAGTTTTGGGGTGTGACTTGGGGGTAGTGTGCAGACAGCTTGTGGACTTAGTACATGGTATGACACTCTTCCCCTTGGTGTTGGCCTTTTGCTGACACTACGTTCAGAAGTGGTACGAATTTCAGGCACACCTCTATCTGGAAGCAGAGTATGCAGGAGAAGAAGGGGGGCGTGTGGCTCCCCCGGTATGGTAGTGGTCTATATGGCTCCGCGGCCCGTCAGAGTTAGGCTTGGCTGTAGTAGTGCAACGTTTAAAAGGTTGTGCTCCCCCGCACTTAGTGCGTCTCACTTCTGCTCAGGTGTTCTTGTACACGTTGTAGAGCGCCCCGCCGTCTTTTGGCTACGATCTTCTTTCGCATCTGGCGGGCTTTCTTGAGCAGTCCCCCCCCCCCCGGGTTTGTCGACCCGTGGAAGCGGCATGCTGGTCCATTGTACCACGTAGTGTGTGCATCACTACGTCACTACGTCCCCCTGCTTGCCCAAGTCACGATCTTGAAGTTGACAAAGTCCCTCACCCAATGGAGTGGTTCTTTGTGCAAACCGTGGCTGTCGAGTCAAAGGCGCACGCGACGAAGAAGTGCGTCCCCCTCTGCTTTGAAGCGCCCGCGCAGAAGGTCTTGCAATTGCGAGGTCGCCGGTCTCGAGGTAGGATTTCGTTCGTGCCGCTCGCGAGTATGGCTAGGCTTTCCCCGGTCCTAAAGAGGGGCCACGGGAGCACGGTGGCGACAGGCACAGGGACTCAAGCGCCGCTGGGAAAACCGGGAAGGCTCCCCTGGAGTAACAGTCCAGGTTAACCCCCCCGGCTCCCCCCCGATGCAAGGAGGCGGCACAAGCCCCCAAGCAAAGGTGCAGCACTTGAGCCAAACAGGCTCTCTCTCTCTCTCTCTCTCTATCTCTCTCTCTCTCTCTCTCTCTCTCTCTCTCGTCTCTACATATATATATATATATATATATATACACACACACATGTGTGTGTGTGCGTGTATGTATATCTTTAACTATACCTCTTCTATGTCTGAGTCTATGTCCATGTCCATCTGTCCAGCCATGTGTGTGTGTGGGTGAATATTTATGTATGTGTGTGTGTATATATTTACTATGCGAATATATATATATATATATGTAGCAAACAAATGCTTACGGAGATGAGAACCCTTGCTTTGAAAAGGCGAGCAGCACCAGCCAGCCACGCCGCGACATACGTTTATGCACATACACAGGTACAGATGCACATATACATGGTCACATGCAGCTGTGCTCCGAAGACGTACGCACCATGCGTTGTATGTGTATGGCAAAGTCTCAGGAGAAGTTGTGTTGGGTGATCCCAGCCTCCTGGTGCTTCCACGGTGCTCACCCCTCCCTCTACCGAGACCTCCACCGCACCCCCACATGTCCCATTTTGCCAAAGCCAAAGAACTGCCGGGATGAGCCACGGAGATGACAGCTTCTGCAAGGTAATTCGATTTCATGCGGGAGTGCAGAGGCGAAGATCATGGCAGCTTGAGATTGATGTCTTTTGCCACTCGCGGCAGGGACAGCCATCGGGCCAATCAGAGGGCGATGGCGGGTGTGGTCCCTTCGAAGCCTGGGTCATCGCATCAGATTAGCTGACATCCAACACACCATAATTTGCCGCCGAGGACGGCACTCAGGGCGGCCCTGTCCAAGCTTTGCCACACAAACTCGCGCATGTCCTGCATGCCCACGCAGCATGAAGGGATACAACCTGATGCAATTGTCGCAGCCTGTGAAACGTGGAGGCCATTTCTCATTCGAAGCGCCCGACGAGGTGCACGCCCTTTCTCCGCCAGAAGAAGGCCCACATGTCAGCTACCAGTGCTTCCAATGAAAGGGGGTTGGAGGCAGCTTCTTCCCCTCGTTTCATCGGCCTCGGAGGTTTCGAGAACGTCCGAGATGGTGCCGATCTTCATCTCGAAGGAGGCCTCTGAGAGAAACTCTCTGTCTCTCCGCTCTGCTTCCTGCTCCTTCCGCTCCGTCCGCCCGCCTTCGCGATCTCATAGCCACCGAAGAGCTTCTTCTTCTTGGTGATGGGCCTCCGCTCTTTCTGGTCACGTGCTCTCAGAGAACCTTCGCCGGGCCCCAGGCCCCAAGTCGCCGCCGACTTTTGCGGAGATCTGCCCAAGGGATCCACATGCAATAAGCTGCTCTAAGCCTTGAAGCTGCAAAGCAAGGTGCAAAAATCGCAGAGCATCTGACATCGTCATCACTCTCGGCTTTGGCATAGTTCTCGAACTTCTTTTGCAAGGCCTGGTTCTAGTTTCACACAGCAGAGCCTTGGGGGATCGACATGCGGTCGGCACGGCCTGGGCCCCGCCCCCGTAAGCCACGTTCTCAAGCTTGAACTTCAGGGCCTTCAAGGACTCCTTGGCCTTGCGTGGTGCGAACCCTTAGCCCTTGGTGTCGTCGTGAAACCCGTCTCCATGTGGCCTCCTTCTTGCTCCAAGTTATCTGGCTTTGCCGCCAGGACTTTGCGGGCTTTCCGAAGAAGTCCCTGCCAGAACAGGGTGAGCAGTCGGCAGAGAGGCAAAGAGAGAGAGAGAGAGAGAGAGAAAGTGAGAGAGAGACAGAGCACGGCCTGCACCCAAGAGAAGTGTAACAATTGATGGTGATGATGATGGTGATGATGGTGATGATGATGATGACTCTACTCATGCTGGATGCCCGCATGGAGTGTACAGCAGAGTCACAGCCTGTGCTTCTTGAGGATGTGCCAAATTCGAGCTTCGCCCTTCTGGACGGCCCTCTCAGGAAGCTTGTTAGCCTCGTGACGCTGCACAGCGATTCCAGATCAGGGCTGCAGCGGCCACCGCACCGGGCCTCCTTCTTCTCCTCCTCCGCCTTCTGCCGCTTCTCCTTCTCTATGATTTTTTCCAAGGGATCTTTGGAGGACCTGTATCACTGGAGGCAGTGAGGCAAGAATTCACGGCTGTGCCGGGCGAAGCCTTGATGACGGTCGCTCAAACTGCGTCTGCCCGCTTTCATGCTGGTAGTAGACCAGTCCAGGCTGCGGGCGCACAGGCATTTTGCGGTACTCATCGCAAGAAAGCTTCAAGTGAACCTCTAAAGCGTCACAGGAGTTGCAGAAGCCGGTGCAGGCAGCTCTTGCTTTCTTCTCCGCTTCTTCTTGGATTCTTGGATATATGCGAAGCTCTCACTTCACAGCTCCGGCGCTGCCATGGCCCATGGCTCGAAGCTCCTTTTCACTCCGCTCTAAGCGGTGCGTGCCCCACTTGAAGCCCTGGCAGAGGCCCTAGCAGTGAGAACGAGCTTGGGCAACTCAGGCTGTTGCGCCTACGGAGAAGCGGAGCGCCTTGAAGAAGAGTCAGAGCGGAGCGGAGAGAAGTGAGCTAGGTCTTCAGAAGCTTCACGACAGATCGCGACGGCATGTCACACTGTGCAACCTAAGAACACAGAAACTTTGATTTTGGCTTCTTCGAGTCGAGTCATCCGAACACGTATCCGCGGGTCACGAAGACTCCTGGTCCTGTGCCGGAAGCACTCAAAGTACACAGCTTTCTGATCTGTCAAACTTTCCCAAAACTTCCTATAGAGGCACAGGACTCGAGTACTGGTACTTGCCACAATTATGCGTATTAGCACATTTGGCTTCGGCCTACCAAACCTGGGCCGAGCCAAGCGGGGCGCATCGTCAGGGACTCAGCGGACCATCCGCTGAGAGCAGCTCGAGCACTAAAACAGATCCTCATGCTCGATGTACTGCTCGACTCTAAATGCCTGCAAGGCAATTCTGGAACCAATTTTTGGTGACACCGACGGCCGACGCCCAGGACAGGCTCAGTCCAGGATGAGACATTCCTCAGCCTTGGCACTGTCATCGACGATAGTGGCCGAACCCAGAACGGGAGGGTTTGCTGGAGGCGGAGGCATCCCAGGATGCCATCCATAGCCGAAGTCTTTCGCAGGTTCGCTCGTCGACAGAATCTCTGGGCCCTTCCATTTTGGCTCCCACGGAGTCGCGGATGCCGAGAGCCCTGGCTGGGCGCCCAGAAGGTAGACTCCCTCGCGCTCTCGCAGCTCGTTGGGATCCAGCGAGCTCAGATCCTGGGGCAGAGCTCAGAATGCAAGGCCTAGTTCGGACGAAGCTGTGAAGAGCTGGTCACGACGTCGACAGGACATGTGCTACTGTATGAACTACAAGACACCAAAACGGAGCTCACCAACTTGGTACCGGATGCAACCGATGTTTTGAAAACCGCCCTGGCCCTCACGTCACTGTGACAAGCTGGCAGAAAGAACAAAGCTCATTACTACATACAACATGATCTAGTCAGAAACACTGATTGAGCTTGCATGCTATGCATTTGCACCATACGGAAAATGTACGCCAAGGTAGCAATCGCAATATGCAGCTGGCGACCATCTCACTGAACATGTTGCTCAAGTGATGTTGGAGCACCTTTTTCGCCACTCGCAGTCTATGACTTCTGAGTGCGCAGCGAAAGGCCTGATTATCTACAGGCGAGCACTGGAGCCTTGGAGAAAACTGATGCACTGGAATGGCGGTCGGAACAGTAACCTGCAGGCTCAAATGAATGCACCCGGTGAGGCCGCGAGAGCCTTCAGGAACATGTTTGGTGCGCGTTTCATCGTTATCAATTTGCTAGCGAGGCATGTCCACTCCAAGATGTGTGCCTCAAACATCTTGCTCGCCCCCGATTCTTCATCTCAGAGATGTTCATGTCAACTCGGCTTGACGGAAACGTGTTTTACGTCTGGACCCTTGGGTCTTCAGCTCCGAAAGCCGTCCACGATCGTCGGACACGTCTTCGGTATGCGCGGAACGATCTTCATCTCCGCAGCGCAGAGTCAGTCAATTGACACAGAGTCTCCCCAGTGCTGAAATGCAAGAAAAATGATTGAGCACCTCGTCCGGCTTGAGGCGGTCTCGAATGGTTGCGGCCTTTCCATCTTCACCGCCGGCATGCTCGTCTTGCGCCTGCGTTCGTCGCTGCTGCGATGTCGTGTCACTGTCGCCTCGATGCTATGGCATGCTACTGGCCGGACCTGCACTGCCTTGAGCCACGGCTGGCAGCACTGATGACTCATGACTGATGACCTCTTATGGCTCTGGGCATCGCACCGGACATATCAGCGGAGCTGACCACGTCGATGGGCCGGGTGGCGACTCCCAGCCATCCGCGCCCACGCTTCGAACCTCACTGCGCAGGCATGTTTGCACTTCCGTCCTCTCACTGCTTCCTTCCGGCCTGGGCCAAGTAGAAGCGCCCCGGGGGTGGTGCCGGGCGAAGCCCGGCGACTCGCATCTCAACCAGCAGCCCAAGCTTCGCCTTCACGCGCGGTACCAGAGAATTCAAGACTGGAAGAGACTGAGGTTCTCCGTTCAAGCGGAACCTCACCGCTGACTGTAAACTAGTGCATCAAAGATAGGATCTCACTTCTATCCCGGAGGACCAACAGCCAAAACCTCCGGGGCGGGGCGAACGAAGCGCTCGAAGCTTGTGCCATCTCCCGCCTTCACAGGAGGACAGTGGATGCTGAAAAATGTGGGTGTTGCTTCCGAGTATGCAGACATGCGCGGTATCAAGACGGGATTGGCCCTACCCATCTGGCTCGCACAATCTGGCTAAATGGAACCTCTGGCAACTCTAGGACGCAGTGCCGAGGTGCTCGAATCTCCACCACATAAGATACTGCTTGCAACACGCATGGCCACCTCGGGCCAGACAGAGCTGAGTCACGTCATGCTCTCTCGACGGGCGCCATGCGGGAAAAAGCGGCCAAGGGACGTCACGTTCAACGCGAATCCGCGATCGTCACAGGTCTGCAATTCCGGCGCGGAAGGCGGCGGAACCACCAGACCTGCCGGAGATCGCCATGCCGGGGGTGGCGGCGCCGGCACCGGCGCCGGAGGAGGATAGCCTGCCAAGTTCAAGAATGCCAGAGTTCCCGAAGAAGGCATTGCTTAACCTGCATTCAGTTTTGCCTGTAGTTTGTAGTCAGCTCGGCATTTAAGATTTGAAGCTTTGTATGCTCAAAAGCTAGTCAGGAATGCTTGACTTAAATGTGGCTGCTCCCGTGCCCGTGCCTGCGAAGGGATCTGGTGGAGGCACCGCCTGCGGCAGCGGCAGTGTCGGTGGGTAGGCCTCCGTGGTGCTCCAGCCTGTCACTGCAACAGATCAGGCAACTTACCCACGGCCCACACCTTGAAAGCCCAAACCGGCCTGACCAGCTGGAGGTCGGAGCTGGAGGGAGGGTGCTGAGGCTCGGTGGGTAGTGTGGCGCCACAGGTGCCACATACTCGGGTGCACGGGCGTGGGGAGGGTTCGTGGCAGTGACCCCTACGCCTACCCCTTGGACTGCGGTCACCGGCGTGACTGTTTTGGGACCGGACTTGGCATCGGAGCCTTGGGAAGGTGTGCAGGGCTCCGAAGCCTCTGAGGCTTCCGATGTTGTGCCGCAGTCGGTGAAGTAGGAGACTCGGGCCTCGTAGCGAGTGCTTAGATGTAAACTGGTCACTTTGCAGGAGGAGGTGGTGGAGTCGAAGCGATGGCTGCTGTTCCCCATCTTGGAGCCCACGTCCACGGAGGCCCAAGGACCATCCGCACCAGCGGGCCGAAGCTCTACCGAGTAGGCAACGGCCAATACTAGTGGGGACCACAGCACAAGCAGTGCCCCTGCTTCAAGATCCTCCCCACTGCTGTCCTTGGAAGACAGCTGGGGTGCTGGCAGCGCAGGAAGTGTCGCAATCGCATCCAACTTGGGATCCAAGGGAAGCAGCCTGGCAACCAGCGTTCCCCTGTCATCCGCAAAGGCATGGGCAATGCGGCCCAAGAAGCGAGCCACATCTGCGATGCTGGCGAAGGAGACCGAAGCGAAACTACAAGCACGAGCATGCGCCACGATTGCTCCGGTGGCACCCTGCTTGGAAAAGAACCGCATAAGCTCAGCCTCATCTAAGTCATCAGTGAGGCGGGCGAGAACGAGCTTGTCCCCGAAAGCGTGGCAGGGCAGTTTCAGGTTTGCTCGCATCGGAGCATGCAGCACGTTCTCTGGATGAGTTCTGGGCAGGTCAAGGGTAAAACAACCCAACACGGTGCCGCCCGCACGGCTCGTCGTGCAGAGGGAGATCATCTTCGCTCCCGGAGCCGGCGACGGGGCAACTTTGGCGACGGCTCCCAGCTTCTCCTCGGCCTGCAAAGGAAGGCGAAGCGAAAGAAGCGAGGTTGACAGGCTCTGATTCCTTTTTGGGATGGCGACTTCTGGAGGCGCCTCCGGGATGCAAAAGGTCACGACATCACCAGGAATCAGCCGCAGCTGACCGCAGGCTTCGGTGTCAAAGACCACCTGACACAAAGAGAGAGCTCTCATGGTCCATGACGAATGGTCCTTTGAAGGTTTCGAAGGAGGCTCATGGCATCATGGAGTGGCAGCGGCCTCTTTGCGCCCGCAAACCGCCACAGCCTGTCAGGGGTGGAAAGCCTTGAAACTCCTTACACCTGTCGGCCCTCAACATGATTTCGCAGCAATCTGGCTACCTCCTCGCTGACGATGGATCCTTTCGTGTGTGAGGGCGCCAGCAGCACACTACCAGTGACCTTCCGCAGTCGCTGGACACAGACGGCCTGCGCAAACAAGCACAGTTGCATCTCATAGCCGATCACTCTCAAAGGCATTGACTACAATGTGAGTAGAAAAACGCTGAGATTGACAGCCAGATTGGCCTGTGGATAGCCCTCCACGCTCAGCCGAACACGGAAGAAGACAATATCTTCCTCGGCCAACCGTGGCGCCGTGGACTTCTCGCCCTCCTGGACTTTCTCCACCTGCTGTGCCGCTGCTGCAGCGGCTTTTGCAGCGTCCGGACCCCGTGGTGCCGCCGCAACAGCGGCTGCTGTCGCAGCTGCACCGCAGTTCCTCAACTCCAGGTCTGAGTAAAGTGCCTACACATCCGTTTGGGAACTCTTCGCTCAATCAGGAGTTGCGGGAGAGGCACCCATTCATCACCATGCTGATGCCCGCTTCCCGATCGACACCCGCTGCGAGTAGAGCAGCCATCGTGGCCTCGGCCTGCGAAGAATCTGCGCTCCCTTCAGACCCATTTTTACCTACAGCATGGTCTTTTCTTGCTGTGGTGGTGGCTTAGACGTTCAAGCACCAAGCAACGCAACGGACCCAACGTGTAACGGGCAAGACACCATGCTGCTTTTGACTGAAGAGCCTTGGGCATGTAGACATCACGGCCGAAGCGATCAGCCGTCTCCGTACAAGCAAGGAATCCGAAGCCGCGGCGGTCATTGTAGCTCTTCACAACACCTAAGTAGACCTCCCTGGAGACGTCGTCATCTTCCGGGTTGGCCACCGTCAGCGCCGATTTCAAATTGTCAATGCCTCTTTCCATTGCGCATTAGAGCGCCACCCCCATCCGCTCAGCCTTCTTCTACAAGACATCCGTGAGTTCTGTGCCAAAAAAAGATTCCGGAGACATGAATCAGCCAAGGCCGGGTTTAGACTGGAAGAACGACTGCAGAAGACTGCGGATTATGCAAAACAGGGGCAGAGACACTCTTTCTTCTTTGCAAGCACATAAACATTGTCTGTCTTCAGCAGAACCATCGCGTGAGCTCAACCTGATTCGAATGGACGCAGGCACGATCTTCAGAGGAACGACACCGGGACGCCTGCCATTCGGGTCCGCACGTTGGCAGGCCTATGCTCTTACGGTGCCTTGGTTCAACGATGTCCAATGGGTCTGATACCTTCTCAAGAAGTTGCAGGAGGCACTACCAGTACGGCCTAGGTCTCGGGCTGGCTTCTTCCAGGCTGGTGCCAGGGTGTAAGTGACCACCGTCAACACCACGACCATCACCTTCAGAGTTAGTTGATACCTCAACAGGCCTCCGACAAAGAGCCGTGAAGTCGGGCCATGAGGAAGATGGTGAGGTTGAAGTCTTTCCCATGGACCTTATAAGCCCCGTCGGATCCCTTCCACTCACGAGAGCTCCATCTCAGAGCCCCAGGCTGGGAGAATATCTGAAACCTGGTCAGGGCAGGGGCTAACTCCGAGTGTGCTGCTTGCAAAAAGTGTTGAAGGACCCAAGCTTGATGTGCTTCAGGCGCTTCAGGCTCTGTACCGCTTTGAGAGTAATTCTGTGAACGCTTTTTTGGCTGGAGCGACATGTGAGAGCCATGGCTCGCTGTCTCAACCTATCCCTGAAGTCTGGCAGGTGGGTTGAGTAGACGACGGTGGATGAGCAAATGATGCGGACAGGCAGCAAGCTTAAAATGACACATGCTCACAGCCCGCCCAAGACCCTCAAGGCAAGACACAACGCAAAGGAAGCTTCGATCTTCCAAACAAGTTGGTTGCACTGCATGCACTTTACACTCACTCGCGAGCACCGGACATAGTCCGCGATAAGGACGTCAAAGACGTAGATGACGAGGATGGCCACCGCCTGATCAAATCAGTGCAGGTCTGCCTTGAGCCGCAAAGGGTCGCACGTGCCTCGCCGATGTTCTTCAGAACCGAGTCCAAGCTTTTCAGGACCACGAAGGTGGACCACCCCTTGAAAACCCTCGGCAAGCAAGGGCACATCACGAGAAGACTGGCACCAAGTACACAGTATGCTGATTGGCTGTGGCGGTTCTTTTCTGTGCCTGCAACACTCGGTCCGCGAAGGTCAAGCCAGGAGATGGGCTCGGAGAACCCCCAGCAAGCTGAGCTTTCAGAAGGTCTCCCGGCTTGGATGCTGTACTCGGGGCCGAGATAGTAATTTCAGGCACAGGTGAAACGGAGATGACAGGCATGTCTGCAAGCTCGTCTTGCGAGACCTCGTCATCTGATTGGCCTTCATCCGACTCCTCGCTGAAGTCTTCGTCGGCCCGTGATTCCGTTGCGGTGGCACGGAGCAGCAGGATGTTGTTGGGCTCGTGGCCGAGAATCTTTAAAGACCTCTCACACACGTCCAGTAGGCCCTGTGGCCCGCACACGATCACAGAATGGGCCTGCCCGGGACCAGGGACACATGCCTTGAGCATGTCCGCGTCCACACGCCTGTGAAAGGCCACCTCTTCCGCCTGCAGTGGCCCATCTCGGGGAACATAGCTTGTGGTGAAGTGCCTGTGCTTACCTCGGAAGTGGCGTGACGAAGACCGTCGACTTTCCTGCGTCAGAGTGTGAGCAACCTGAACCCGATGCGACTTCACCGAAAGGGCCCGAAGCTCGTCCAGCATTAACACGTCTCGAGGAGTGCGGCTGGAGTAGAGAAGCCTTGCGGAACATCCACCCATGCTCCCCTCACTGTCCACAACTTCTGACAGGATCTGAATTGCTGGTGCGATTCCAGTTCCACCTGCCACGATGGCGAGCTGCTCAACCGGTCTCCCAAGGCCGAGGCATGGAAGCTCCAAGGTGAGCATCGGAGCCGACACACGGACCCAACAGTTCTGCTCCTCCAGAAGGCCATAGCTTTGCAAGCAGGCCTCTTGTCCCTCCTCCACCGTCTGAAGCGAACCGAAGAACCTCGAGACCGTTCCATCGGGATATGTTTTTACGAGCAGATCCAAACGCCCGCTTTCCCAGGCAGACGCGGAAGAGACGGGCGTATACTCCCTCAGGGTCGCTCCGTAAGCTACGTGGACATGCCACGCCGAGTGTGGAAATGGGTGCGGCTCGGCTGGTGGCAAAGTCTGAAGCCGATAGATGCAGGTGTCCGGGGAGAGGCCCTCGATTTCTAAAACCTTCCAAAGGCCACTGCCATCGCCGGAGTCTTCTCGGCCTTCCAAGGAAGCAATGCGCCCTTCCTGGAGCCTCTGCACTCGGCGCTGCAGTTTTGACGCTTCGGGAGATCCCAAGTGCATGAGGCTCAGAGCCTTCTGATACAACTGCAACGCTGCAGCAGTCTGACCAACAAAGCCGTTGATGTGGCCAATCTCTGCGTAGGCATCCGCAAAGTTCGGGTCCACGTCTAAGACGGCTTCGAAATCTTTCACAGCCGCCGACGCATTGGAAGCCCGGGCCTTTTGGTCGCTCTCGGCCAGAAGGCGTCTTCCCAAGGCTTTGCCCCGGAGAAGATAGAGGCTTCGCAGTCGGGCGGGCATCACTTTCGACGGTTGTGTCAGCTCTTGGTCAATGGCACCAGAAAGAAGCGCTATGGCCTTCCCCATGTCCTCTGCAGTTCGCTCTGGACGGAGGGCGCTCATAGCAATTATCCGGATCGCATCCGACTTCACGCGTGCCTTTTCCAGAAGGTCTGGCGTGAGACTGGATGTGTCCTTGAGGACTTTCTTCACAAGAGCAATAACCTTGCTGAAGCTGTCCAGTCTGCTGACAGCCTGGCGTTTGCCTGGTTGCTCCAACAAGCAGTTGGGACCATTACCGCACATGCCAAGACAGCCCCTTCGGGCCGTCTGAATGGGAGCGAAGCTGGCAATGTCCTTGTGCATGGATTTCTTGATTTCTTTCCAACACTCAGTATTCTCCGGCAGTGCTGTTACTTAGACAGCCTATATTAATATGGGCCTACGGCTCTGCGTCAAGACAGCTTGCCGTCTTACATCTTCAATGTCCCCCCCCCCCACCCCCCCCCCGGTCCTCTAAATCTGACAGGAGCGCCTCAGAGCCTTGGGTCAGGCAGGTGCCATGGGTGCAAACGCTGAAGCAGCTGCCGGGACCAAAGGGTCCTGGGAGCATCTCCGCTTCTCCTAGAGCGACTTGGGCCGTGCATGGCTGCAGGAGCGGAATGAGACAACTTGGGCCGTGTCTCCCTTGCAGCCTTGCAGATCCGATATGCCCTTTCGGGGCCCTGCCAGGAGCAGGCCACCACCACCGTTCGGCTGTCCCAGCCATTCCAGAAGCCGTCCTCCCGCACGTTTCCTGAGCCACGCTTTCTTTAAAGATTCTTGGTGTTGAAGCGGTCGTGAAGACAATCGAGGCTGGCTCGGTCGAAGAGGAGGGTGAGAAGCAGGGATGTCCACAGCCAAGCGAACTTCAGCTGCGCCACCTTGTCGAGACGGTGACTACACCATGCGCCAATGGCGAAGCTTGGCCAAAGCAACCCGTCCTGTGCATAGATCGGCATATCGCTGAAGGCCTGTAACACGGTAACAGGCTTCTGCGCAGCGAAGACGACTACATGTGTCTCACCGCATCTCAGCGGCCTTCAGGTGCTTTTCTGCAAGGACCGCACCTGGGTGAGCCGAGCTTCGAGCCCGAACCGTCTCTGCACAGAGCAAGCAGCTTGGCTCAGAAGGGCGCAGAGGCACGAGAAAAAGACCTGGCCACTCTGCAAACGGCATTCAGCCGAAGAAGCTCCGGCTCGCCGTGGCCTTCGCCACGACGAAGAGCAAACCAATCGGCTTGAAGCTGCCCTGCACACTGGAAAGCACGGGGGCTATTAATTTTAAGATATGTGCATGACTCAAGCGCCACCATTTCTGTCTTGGGATTGCCGCTTTTCCAGGTTTAGCGCCTAAGTCGGCTAAGTCATTACTGCATGGGCCGCTCACAAATGTCATGTGCACCGCTCAATGCTGCAGCGACGGAGTGGGTTAGCTGTGCACCTCTATGGAGGAACCACTATACTTAATTATATACACTGATATTGGATGAGATCTCCTGTTGGGTGAAACCGAATTGTCTGCATCAGTTGCGACATTGGCTTTATTCAGATGCAGAGGCACCACTTGGCATATCGTTGTTGATCCACTCCTTCAGCAATTGCAACAAACGGCTCACACCCTGGGAGTGTTCCGAGACATGGGCCAGCAAGGCTGCGGCAATGTCATCAGCATGGCTCTCGTCCGCGCTCACCCTCAGATGTTGGCGGAGCTGGTTCAGCAGATGCAGGGGGAGCTCTTCCAGCAGACGAAGCACCCGAGGCTTCCGAGCATCCTTGCCCTCTGATAGCCTTGGGAGCTCGGCGATTAGCAGCACGGCGGCCACAAATGCCAACATGTCTGTCGCCGTCCGCTCGTCCTTGCGGAGGAGCCGTGCGAGATCGTGGCCTCCCACAGCCGGATCGCGGAGCACGGCCACTGCATCCTCGCGGCTTCCCAATTGCTCCGCCCAGAGAGGGGCATTCTCAAAGGGCTGCTTCTTGTCATCCTGTGCCCAAACCAGCATCACTGGCCCAGGGAAGTCCTGGCATGAGCTGGGTGGAGGAGAGGATGGAGCAAAGAGAATCGCGGATGCTGTCTTCGAGTTTCTTGCGGCCAAGTCCATGGCATGGTGCGCACCTTTGCCCTTGCCGCACAGGATATAGCAGTCTTCCTTGGTGGAGGACACAATCGCATCCAAGACGTCTTGAAAGTCCGCTGCCGTGAGCGCTGCGAGCGCTGGACCGGGCTCGGACTCTTTTTCCTGCTCTTTCTCTTTGAGAGCTTGGCCCAGATCTGGAAAGGCGACCGAGAGCCCTGCATCCAAGAGCTTCGTGCGCTTGAGTACCTGAGCCCATTCCTCCACGCTGGAGTTGGAATGTGGTGCTTCCTGGAAGACCACAGCCACGCCGACGCTGACGAACTCATCCGGGCTCAGCAACTTCCCCATGGGCTCTACCAAAATGCAGGGAACACGCAGCCCATCGGGGGGCCGGGTCTGAAGCTGCACCTGCCTTCCCCCGAGCTTCAAAGCCGCATCCCCCTGAAAGGAGGCCCGACGTTCCAGAAGGTCCAGAGGAACCCAGTGCCCGTGCGGAGGAAACCTCGGCTCGTCTTCCTTGGCGGCCACTGGCCTCTCCTCGTTTTGTGAAACCCAGGAGACGCTTCGGGTCACGTTGCGGCGACTGCTCGGCGACTGCGGATTACTCAAAGTCGCCACGGAAGCCTCCGAGGCAACGGACTGCAACACGGGCAGCGCCGCCTCCCAAGCCTCCTCCAGCTTAGGACCCGGCTCCTCACTCGCCTCGCTCGCCTCGCCGCTCGCCTCGCTGGGGCGTTTCGAGCCGTCGATGAGGGATTGCACCATTTGGCTCAGTTCGCTGAGCCGCGCAATCCGCGCATTCAGCCGCTCCTCGAGCTCCCGCAAGCCTTCGATCTTCAAACGGTGCCGCCCCAGCGAGGCCTGGAGTGCCGGAAAAGCGCTTTGCTGCTCCATGGCTGTCATCGGCAATGCGCATGTCCAAGCTTCAGCGTCACATTACTGCAAGGCTTCCGTCAGAACCGGAAGCCTGCCAGAGCTCTGCGGAATCGTCACATGTCAGCCCTGGTTTTTATCTACATCATGTCTATAGTGTCTAGATTCTAGGAGCTCTTTTTTGGACTCTATAGAAGTTCCAGACGCCCTCGCTGACCGTCTGAAGCCGGCAGGCGCTTCCGTCAAACTCACTGGTGCACGCAGAGAGCCTCTCTCGATGTGAGTGGTTGTCAAAATTAGGGTCCCTTTTTGGGTCCTTATTTAATACGGCACCTAATATTTAGGGTACCCAAAAAGGGACCATAATCTTGACAACCACTCATGTGCTGGTGAGGCTACACAGTCCGACTCATCAAAAAAATCCGGGAGACTCTAGACTGCCTCGCTGCTGTCGTCCGCCAAGACGAAAGCGCTCATCCCCAGGGCAATTGTGACTGTCACAGATTGTGCAGAACTGCGCGACGGTCATCATGGTGCAGGACCGGAAGACTATTCATATTCATATGTTTTGAAAGAGACGCAGGCCTAGCACATTCCACTGCAGCGTGGTCTGACGCTGACCCCGCAGAAACCACATGATGAGGGCCGTCACCAGCAGCTTGCTTTGAAGCAGAATCTGGTACCTCTCATCACCGCCATGCTGCTACACCTTTCACACTTGACCTCCCAATCTCCATCCGAAGAACCTAAGGACCTGGCGCTGCACCACCCATCACAGACATGGATTGCATCTCCAAGAAGTCGCCTGACTGCACAACCGGCACAGCCTAACCGAAGTGGGACAAAGAAGCCGTCCGTCACCGCCAAGCAAGGGAGAGACAAGCGTCCAAAAGCATAGATCACGGCTATGGAGCTGAAGACCTGTCACATGGGAGCAGTGGTGCAGGAAAAGCTTTTGTCTGGCAACTCGCCTAGGGGCCCGGTGCAATGAGAGAAGGAATAGGAATGCTCAAGCGCTTTTGTTGGAACCTAGTGATGTAGGACGCCCCCTCCCTCCACGAACTTCACGCCTTGAGAGGGGTCGGATCCCAGCCTCGGATGAAGGCGGATAAAGCACAGATTCGGTGAAAGGCTGGATTCGGCCCCTTGCACTGCTTCAGGCCCGGCATGCCCCCCAAGAGGAAGGCCAGGGAGTTTCCTGGCTCTTAAATCAGTACTTGTTGGGACAGAATCAATCGGGAGAGAGTGGTGCGATGAAGTTGTGGCACGTGGAGCAGAGCCATCTTTTCGCCTTCGTGAGCCCAACCGCTGTCCCAATAGTCTGGCTGCTCGTCCTCGCTGAGGATGTCGTCGATCTCCACTGGGCTCCTTCGGCTACTGAAGCTTCTGTCCATGGCAAGCGGACTTTCGCCAGGCTCGCTCATCGGCGCCCGTGATACAAAAGGACTCGCAGAGACGGAGGCGCAGCCGGAGGCGCCGGCGGTTCGGGAGGGCACCGGCGGAATCCGAGCCGAGAGCCAGCTCCTGGAAGTCTCGGGCCGCCTCGGCTGAGCCGTGAAAGATGCTGGGCTGCCACTGCCGTCACTGCAAGAGTTGGGCTAAGGCTAAAGTCGAAAGGAGGTGCAGTGCATTGCAGTGCATTGCAGTGCTGTCGAGGTGCAGGATCTTTGGCGACCCGAGAAGGGAACCGGGAGTCGAAGTGGCTGGGGCTCGTCGAACCTCGGGCGTCTGGAGGATGTTGGGCAGGTTTCCAGTTCCACCCATCCGACGGTGCCGCTCCTCCGCAATGGCCCGATGTTGCCAAGCCTCCTTCAAGAAGTCCTCCCTGCGCTTCTCTTCTGCTGCGATCTCCTCTTTGAGCTGGGCTTTTCTTGCCAGGCAGCTCTGCTCGTGCTCTCTGAGCCAGCGTACCTGTTGCACGTTCATGCCTGAGTCCCTCAAAGGCTGGGCCTCTGCATCGTCCGAGAGCAGTGAGGCCCGGAAGGCCAAGGAGGAATTCAGTGCTGCAGAGAGCCGAAGGTTCTCCTTCCGTGCAGCGTTCACCTGGCCCTCCACGTGCTGCACCCACTCGCGCAGAGGCAGCTCCTGCTCCTCGGCCACCTGACCAGGAGAGAGCCCTAAGAAAATCCGCTAAGCGCGAGCCTGCCGCCTGCCAACAAGCTTCGCCAGCTTCGCTTGTTGTCTAATCGGCGGAACTTCCGAAAAGCTCCTGTGAAGTCTTCTACGCTCCGCAACCGGTATTCCAGCATGTAAATAGCAACCTCGGCCAACAGCGCCGCTCCGGGCCCCATACCCTTCGATGGCTTCAGGCTTCAGATGAGCCTACAAGGCAACTGGGGCAAGCAGCGAAACTGCGGTAACCCGTGTGTTTGTGATGAGGAGGTGGTCTCACTGCGGCCGAAAACGCCGGAAGGGGACGCCGCATTTCACCCAGGTTTGTGATACTGGCTTCGCTCAGGTACCGTCTCTTTTTGAACGCCATTGCTTTATAGTATGGTGAGTGACGAGGTTGCTTACCTAGACATCGTGCAATAAGACAGCAAATCGTCCCCGCACCTGGCGTTGCCGGGCAAGCTCCTGGCCTTCTCTTTCCGCCAATTCCAAGGCCTCTCGCAGTTCCTCGGCCTCCTTTCGGCCTGCTGCCAAAGCCTGGTCGGCAGAGACCAGGTGCTGCTGCCTGAGGTGTGCCACCGCCAGCTTTCGGCGGGACACCTCCTGCTGCAGGTGTCGATCGACGTGTCGGCGATGCTCGTCCAGATTGTGACCATCCGAAGTCGAGGGAGGGATTGGCAACGGCTCATCGAAGTCGTCGTGGGCAATGCCCATCTTCTGGTGATGCCCCACTGCCGCTTCAAAGTCCTTCTCGCAGGCGCTGCTGGCGGGCGAGATGGAAGTGAGCCGCATCTCAGAAAGCTCCTCCGTCAACTGACGGTGTTCCGCCTCCGCTGCATCTGCTTCCGAATCCACCTGCTGCGCCCACTCTTCTGCCGCTGCCAGCTCTGCAGACCAGCACGGGAGCTGCTCATCGTAGTCACGCAGCTCTTCCTTCAAGCTCTGCATCTGGAACTCCAGAACAGCACACTCTGCCGAGGATCCCTTGGGCCCTGTGGGCCCGGGGTTTGGAGGCTCTGCAACCATGCCGCCTGGGCCTAGGTAGCTTCAACTGCGATAGCTGCCGCCTCGCTCCAGTCTCTAACTGGATGACAGTCCTGTTTACCTGACCCTGTTCGAGTGGTCTTCACGCTACAGCTTGACTCTTTGAGCCTTTAGCAGAGCTGTTCCTTCAAAAAACCATAGGGGCGAGGAAGGGCACAGCAGACGGAAGAGAAGTGTACAGCAACAGAAACAACAGCCGGCGGAACCTATCACAATGTCCACAGCCGAGTTGATGACGCACGGGGTCGCCTTCTTGCCAGGCTTCCGCAAGGACACTACAAGGGGGCAAGTTGTCCGACAAAGCCTTGCCATAGGGCAGCTTGCCATCCGTCTTGGAGATGTCTATGATGATCTCAGACGAATGAACTGGGAACAACACGGACAAGAGCAAGGACTCTCGAAACCTGCTTTATAGGGCCTCTGGGACTCTGGGGGCGGGTCTGGGTGGAAACTCCTGACGACGATGAAGACGGCGAAGGCAAAGGCCGTCTGCCCGGCTCCGGGCTTCTCCTTTCACTTCATATTCTATATCAAAGTCTCACAAAATGTCACAGTTCTGGCGGACTGGGCTCCGTGCCACCTTCGGCACATGTGCTGCGTGCCTCTCTTGCACGGCGCACGGCTCACATCATTTGCTGGAGCGTTTGTAACTAGCAGTGCCCTCGGCCTTGGCAACAGCGGCTCCTTCAGACTCGAGGCCATATGCTACTTCCACTGGCACCCTCTCCGGTGAGCCAAAGCTGCGACATGTCTCAGATGGCATCAGCAGACAGAAGAGTCTGCTGGCAGGCGCGGATTCTGCAAAGACCTCGCACTCTGGGAGAACGAGCGGAGGGTCTCCACCTTCGAGCGGGACTCCTTCTTCTTCCAGCCAGGAGGAAGAGGTATCTGTGCCAAGGCATGGACAAGTAGGGATCTCTAACCCCAAAGGCTTCAAGGATTGCTCACTTGCTACCAGGCACCTTCTCTCACCATCCCGCCTCTTCTGCTTTGCGCTTTCGCGTGCGAAGTGCCTCGGACTCCAGCTCCCCGCAGTCGCAGATGACGGCCTGCCAAGCAGGGCTTTCACACACCGACGAACTCTTTCTGCGGCGTCTTCAACACTTCAGTTGCTTGCCTCGAAGAGGGGCGTGCCACCCTTTGTGCCCATGGACTCGAGCTGCGCGGGGAGGCACTCTGCAGAACTCCGGAGGAGGAAGGAGACACAGCATGGCCTTTGAAAGCTTGTCGATGCCCTCAATGACTCGACCGAAGACCACGTGCTTGCCATCCAGCTTGGGCTCTGCCTGACGGAGTCTAAGTCTCAGCTTGGCTGCCTTGGGCCTTGATGCGTGCAGAGTGTAGTGTGTTGCCTTGGAGGTGAAGAAGAACTGTGAGGACTGCTTGCCCTCCTCACCTCGCTTGTGGGCCATCGAGACCTCCGGGCGCGAGATAACGACACCTTCAGCCTTCGAGTTCTTTTTGCTCCCGGGGGCGCCGCCAAACCGGGGCGGTCATGCTTCAGCTTGAAGTTCTCACACCCGAAGGTTCCGTCACCATCCTGCTCTGAAAGTGTCCCTAGCATCTCCCAGCCCAGCAGCCTCTCGTGCCTCACAAGGCCTACGGATCCCACGTCTTACTCTTGTTTTGCCTTGTCCGGCTGCTCTCCGAAATCGATCTGAAAGTCGGGCAAGGGAAAATGCGCCGTCGTGAGAAATAAGAACTGCTTTGGGGCCATACTGTAAACTCAATCTCATGAGTACAAATTGGACGATGGCTAGGAGGCTCCTGGTTGAAGATCGAGTCTCCACCCGAGCCGTCCCCCTTCGTGAAGTCTCCACCTCAGACGTTGTGCGCCAGAATCAGGCAATGGCTGACATCCTGCATACTGCTGTGAAGAACCCTTCGTCACCTCACATCAAGAGCAAGGATTCAAGGAAAGGCCTTGGATGATCTTGCCGGGGATGATCTTGTGAAACCTGGATTTGACATCCCTCCGGCTTTCCACAGCACCTCCTTGTTGCAGCACCGAGGCCCCAACCTACTGCCTTTGTAGCTCAAGGGCTTTCCAGACACGGCGCTGACTCCACGCTCTCCTTGCAGTTCCGCGGTGAGCGCTTCTTCCGATCAAAATCATGGAGCACGGAAACCCCGAGCAGCCAGCCCGTGCAAAGGCAGCGGAAGTTCTCGGCGGTCTTTGGAACGACGTCTCCGAAGAGCTCCAGGACGATGCGCCCAAGCTTTCTCTTGTGCAGCTCCACCTTTCGGGGGCACGCACGGCACATCAAAAGATGCCCTTTAAAGAAAGCACTCGGGCCTCGAGGAAGACCTTTGCTCTGTTCTCCTTGATCCTTTGAGGCTGGTTCGCCTTCGGAACGGGGCAAAGGGACGGAGCTGTGAACGCTTTCGGAGAGCTCTCCGCCTCGCCATCGGGCCGAGTGCTTCCTCCTGACCAGCCCTTCCCATCACCTGTGGACTTGCGACTTGGGCTTCCGACAAAGCGGGCGGAGTTCCGGCTCCCGCAGCCCAACCTACAATTCCGAGGCCAGTCCCGGCCGACTGCGTAATGGGACCCGGAGACATCGCTCATCAAGGCTCCGGAGTTCAGCTGTTAGTGCTCGGGGCTGTTCCAAGGGTTCGAAGAGGCTTGGGAGTGGGGAGTTGGAGTTTCTAGCTCTGCCGCATGGTGACTCTTGAAGGGAAGGCGAATTGCCAGATTAATTACTGCTTCCAGCTTCTTGGGGCATCGCGGGGCATGTTATGCGACTTATGTGTTCTTGCGCCGCGCAACGTGGCAGGTGGCATGCGATGATTCATTGGCAATGCTGCTGCCAAAGCTTTTGGGCATCGTTCAATCTCTTTTACTTTTTGCGCCAGCCGCCAGCAGAGACTACTTCCGGAGACCCGCAGGCTCAAAGCTCGTCGAGATACCTCGCCCAGTGCGGATACCTCCAGGTATGAGGGGATTATTTGGAATATTTATAGCCTGGTCCCGCAGGCGGCCTGATGTCCTCCAGGTTCATCTCCTGCGGCCTGGAAAGGCGCCAGGCAATGCCATGCACAGACTCGAACAACTGCAACTAAGCTGCAACCAATACTGTAAACAATTTAAATGCCTCATCTCCGAGGGCATCTCGCTGAGGTCAGCAGACACCGTGGATTGCTTCAGATGTTTTCCCTTTCCTTTCTCGGCGCCTGACGGTGCATTGGCCGGGTCGGAACGTGTTTCCGCACTCCCATGCGTTGTTGGGCCCAGGCGGATCATGCGGCCGTCCTTTTCGTGTGACCTCCAGACTGTCATCTTGCCCGCTGGGTTTTTGCCAGCTTCCTCTGCTTCCGCTGCTGAGTCCTCCTGGCAGAAGCTGCGCTTCAGCAACGTGGTCTACCAGAGATCAGAAACCCAGAGGCGCTTGACATGGTCCTGGCCTTCGCTGCGCAGGCCTCGGCTTTGTGCAGGTCCTGCAAATCCGAGCTTCCTCTCTACTTCAACACGGTTCGAGACGGCTCCCACCATGCTGCAAAAAGAGCGCTGTTTAGCCTGGTGCGGAACGACCTCGGAGCTAGATTGAGGAACTCCAATAGTTGAGATTCATCGTGGCATTCATGCTCGCAAGAAGTCCTGAATGAAGATTCTTGGCTTCTGATCCTCCGGCCAGGACCACCGGGTGTAGTACCTCCACGCAAGAGCAAGACATAGCGGCCGCAACATTACTTGTGAGCACAAGGATGCCTCTCGAACAAGGGGCCACCGACCTTGGCTTTCTGGTTACGAAGGGCTGTTAATTTTCATTCACTGTCCTCGCGGAGATTAAGATGCATATAATGACGATGATGCTGAGAGTAGCTGCTACTCCTCGTGGTGGTTGTGGCCATATCACAACTCACAACCACGGGAGATTGGGGATTGGGGAGACCGGGGCCGCGACGACAAGCAAAGTGCCCTTTTGCGTTTCGCGGTCCAAGGGCACAATCGCAGGCATGCACCTAAGCGCCCAGCATCTGGCCCCCTCTACCCAGTGGAAGACATCCCCACAACGAATACATGTCTGAGACAACAAAGACTAAGATAGCGGTTGTGCCCAGGCGAGGCACAGTGTCGAGGTGTTTTTCAGAAGCATCGCGAGATCTGAGCTCGCAATTACTGCCCGCAAGTCCAAGCCTTGCTGCCGTCGCGTCTCCTGAAACGCTCATGCTCAACAGCTTTCAACAGAAAGCGATGGTGTAGGGACGAGCTTCAAAGTCCAACCCAGTCCTCCACGAAAGACTCAACCTCGGCCTGAAAGGTCGCTGCCTCTTCCTGCTGCGCCAGCTGAAGTGGAAGTCGCTGGTGCAGATGCCGCGCAGCTCCCGGAGAGTCCTGCATGCAAGACATCGTTGCAAGGAATACTCAGACTCTGTCTGGGCTGCCTGGACCCTGGTGCTGCTTACATACGGCTTCGCGGCTTCGGCCTCCGGCAACGCTGACGTCGCATCCATGTCTTCGGCATCGACGTGGTGGACCTTGACCTTCGCCTTCACCTTCTCTGGCTTCGGCTGTTCACGCGTGGCCTCCGTGGAGGACCCGGAGTCGGAACTGTCGGAACTGGTATCCCCCGAAGAGTTCTTCTCGCTGTCCCTCTTCGGAAGCCACGGGAGCTTCACCTTCATGATGTAAGCCGCTGGGGGCAAGGAAATCTCAATTCCATCGCCGAGCCTGCACCGGTAGTATGTCAAGAAGCTCACATGTCAAAGGTCCGGCATCCGGGGCAGAGGCGCGAAATGCAGATTGGGGAGCTGGTCCATGTTGGAGCAATCCGAGGACACGTCCAGAGTCTTCGTCAGCATCCTGGCCGGGCCGCTGGGGGCCGTGGGTTGGGGGCGCCGCGTCTCAGCGTCCCGGCGGCCTCACCGCCTCGGAGGGCATGGCCAAGATGTTGGATCCCGTGTCGATCACGGCCACGCACGGAGAGCCCTCTTTGCAGAGGTGGAATTTGTGGTGCGCCTAAGCTCACGGGCATCAAAGCACGGGGCCAGTCGACGAGTCGGCCAAGAGGCATGAGAAGGCTTGCTTGAAACGGTATCCTCGGAGGGCGTCACTTTCCAACTGCAGCTAGAGTACTGCAACTCCATGCGCATCCAAGCGGCCACATCCGCGTCATCGCTGAGGAGCGAAGCAGCCTTGTGCCTGTCATGCTGGAACGGAAAGCGAATCCCTGAGCATCCACGACCTGGCCATACCCGGCCTCCTGTGCCGGACACGCATGTTACTAAGCTTCACAGCCCAGTGCATCTGTCCTTCGACATTCATGGCCGTGCCCTCGTTGGACCTCGAGGTCAGCATCCCTCAACATGCAGGCATTGCACGAGCATCGCCACAGCATAACACGTCTTTCTGACTAGTAAGCGCTGCTCCTCTTTTCACGTCTCATTTTGCCCCTTCATCTTGCTCGCTCGTGGTTTCAGAGAGCTGCGACTCTAATTCCGGCCTGTCCCAGCCGTATAGCTAGGCGTGCATGTATCGTCCATATCCAAACAACAATCTGCTTCCTCTCTCTTCCTTCTCCCTCTATCAGGGACTTCCTTCCTTCCGTACTCACCGACTCACCCACGCACCCCACTAACTCTCGCTCGCTCGCTCGCTCGCTCGCTCGCTCTCTCGCTCTCTCTTCCACTCAGCAGCTGTCGCCAACCCCACACCCCCACACCCCCCCACACCCCCACACCCCTCGCGGTAGTTGCGCACTGGGGTGAACTGTACGGAATGACGAAAAAACAGTGAGAGGGCTGACTCACCGGGTTTCAAACCTGGACCCCCTAGCCCTGAGACCCACAACCCGCCTTCGACGACTAGGGCTGAAACCTCTCCAAACCGGACGGCTCGCTCTCTCTCTCTCTCTCTCTCTCTCTCTCTCTCTATCTCTATCCCTCTCTCTTTCTCCCTTGCCCCCTCCCTTGCTTTTGCTCTCGCTGTGTATCGCTGTGTATCCTCTCTTTCGCGCACCAGTTAGTAATAATAGATAGTCTGAGAGAAGAGAAATTGACTTGATCCAGGTTGCTTGTCCCCCCATATGAATGTACCTGAGCCACTCCATTAGCACCCCTCGACCAACAGTTGCACAACTGCTTCCTCAGTGCAGCCACGGATGCCATCATTCTTCTTGCCACGGCAGTATCCAAAAGAATGCAGCACCCGCTTGTCCCGCAGCTTGGAGTACAAGGACTGGCCCAGGGATCGATTCCTTAGGGCTGCAACTGCGAGTGGGTTGAAATCGGCTCCAGAGGTTCTCCCTCATCTGTGCAGGGTTCAGAGGCTACAAGGTTTTTGTGCATCTCAGCCGAAGCGCATCATGTGCTGAAGACCCAGGATGCCAGAGATGCCCTTGGATGAATGAAGGATCTGGAGGGAATCCAAGGAGATCTCGGAGATCGGAAACTTCTGCATGCTGACATACTCATCTTGACCACCGATTCGGATGGTTTCCCTGCCCTCCATGGTGATGGCCATGCCACTTCCGTAGGCTATAAAACCTTGTCGTGGGACCTTCCTCCCATGTGATGACATGAAGAGCTGCAGGTAGGACTTGGAGGCATTGTGGTTGTAAAGCTTTGTACTCGGGAAGACCTCATCCGAGGCACCCGCGTCGATCTTGTCAAGCTCGGCCTTAATGGTTGACCATGTCTTGGCCACAAACTTGTCGCTCCCCGTGTCCAGTATCATGTTCAGATTTACACTTGGAGTTCCGATTCCCAGCTCCCCCGTCGGCGTGGAGCCGGCTACGTGCTGGCGGTAGGTGAAGGAGAAAGCCTCTTTGTCGCCCGGCGAGCTCTGCGAGCTTGTCGATTCTTCCTCGCCATCCTCATCTTCGCTCTCGTCCTCTTCCTCCTCTGACTCTGCGTCCTCGTCCACCTCGGCCTGGGTTTCGGCCTTGTCGTCGGGGCTGCGGACGCTGCGCACGCTCTGCTGCGTCACCGCCGCCTCGGTCGAAAATCCATGATGGAGAGGTCACCGCAACAGATTATGGGAAGGCTCTCAGTTTCTGAAGGCCCCTCGAGTCTCGAGTCTCCGTATGGGCATCTCTCAAGGATCAGTACCCTCTTCAAAAATGCTCACACGGTGCCGTCGGACATGTCCACACGAAGACGCACTGTCTTGGACATGGGTGTTGACTCCTTTCCTTCTGTAGCCACAATGTCAGCTTCTACGCCTGCTTTAGGAGCATGAGACGGTAAACGCCTACGTGCGGACTTCCATCTCTGTGCCATGTTTTGTTCCCAGTAACAGTTAATTTAGTGACTACTAGAGCTCTTGAGTGGCATCGGCCAACGTTTTCAACTGAGGCTTCCGGCGTCAGCCTCGGGCCAGTGGGGCAGGATGGCGTTCAAGCTCATGGACTTCGGCTCCGAGACCGCAAAGGCGCCGTGCGCCTCCCCTGCAGCATCCACGGTCACAACGTAGCTTCCGTCCTCGGCCTCAGCATCCTGCTCGATGGAAAAGGCTCTTAGACAGAGAAAGGCCAAGGCCAGCGAAGCGGCACGGCTCACCATGCTTTCCTTTTGTTCAGATATGGAGAACCTGAGACTTAAGACTGGAACATCTTGAGCCAAAGAGCAGCAGGCACCATGGTTTCATGCCCAAGCAGTGCCTCTGCCAAGAACTTCTCATGCAGCCGAGAACGCATGCTCGCACACTCGTTTCTCTCGCTCGATTAAGTTGGTTCGTGGTAGACATACAACCTCGTTGAGGCCCCAAACTTTATCATGGCACCGTTCTTTAAGAGGACGCGCAGGTTCTTTTCGATACGCTGCGCGTCCACCTGTACACCATGGACGGACTGATCCACCAGGTAGATCCCGGCGCCGCCTCTGGTCAGCGCCGCGTGCTGCCTGCTCATTGCGAAGCAACACAGAAAGCAATTCTCCTGTAGACATTCTCTTTGTGCGCCTCGAGATGGTGGAATGGTTCATAGGGAAGTCCACTTCCCCGACGGCTCGTCCCAGCGTCCAGCGCTGCTTGTCGGAGCCCAAGACGTGCCGCTCGAGCCACTTTCCATCCTCGTTAGATCGCTTGTGGGCCGGAGAAAAATAATGGAGAACTCGTAGCAGTCTATGCACATTCGAATGGGACATGGGACGGGCCTTCAGCACATCCAGGCATGGCTGCAAAACGCGAGGAACCGGAGGGAGCTCTGAAGCTGCTGGCCACGATAGCCTCTCCTTTTCCTCTCTCTCCGCCTGCACATCGGGCCCGGCCCGCTGCCCCGAGATCACATGAGCAACGAGGCCGAGCGCCTGTTTCTTCTCACGGAGCTCTTCTTCTTGTTTCCACTTTGTGACGTCCTTTGTTTCAAGAGACTGTCGCCAGCACAAGCCACGGGCTGAGAAACTGCAGGTACATGCCGGGCCTCTCCAGTCACATTCTCGTCATCTGCTGAGCCAGACTCCTATATTCTCTGTCACTTCCCAGTGGATGCACTTCCTGGTGAAACGGGCTGGCTGATGAAGCCTCGGAGCCCTCGTCGTCCGGAGCTGTCTCCATGGCCTGCAGCTGCCGGGCTCTGCACTGAGCGTTTCTCATTGCTGCCGTGCCTTTTGGGCCGCACGACGTTCTGCGGCCTCAGCCGGGCGTGACATTCCACGTCGAGGAGGGGCTGCCCGGCTGCCCCGCCTTGCGCTTGACTTCTTCCAGCTCTGCCTCTGCGGCTGCATCCTGCTCTGCCTGCCTCGTACCGCGACGACTTCAAACCACGATGGATCACGATGCCCCGACAGCGCCTCTGCCGAAGCTCCTCGGACACGGCTGGGGCGGAGCCCGAAACTTCCAAGCGCTCCGAGCGGTTGGCTCGCTGCCTGTGGCCTCCCACCAAAATTAAAATCGAATCTAGCTTTCTGGTCGTGCTCTGCTTGAAACCTCGAAGCATGTCTTCGGGGGTGCCGAGCCTGAAGCGCTGGCTGTACGAGGACCAGGTCGATTCACCTGGGTCTTTCCTTGGTTGGACACTCGCTTGCTTGCGCAAAGACATACCACGCAACTGTCTGTCGAGTTCTTCCAGGAGGCCAGTGAGGATGTTGGCATAGTAGTAGGCACCTGCAAGAGCAATGTTCCATAAGTCCATAATGAACCCACAGACTCTCCGAAAGCTGCGGGACGAATCTCACACAAGTGGACAGACAGTAGTGACTCAGTAGCGACGAATCTCGGAGTTTCACTTTACAAGGGAAACCGATGAGAGTCAGAAAAGGCCCTGCCTGGTCGGAATATCTAAGGACGAGTTGAAGGAAACCTATACTCATTCAAAATTTGAAGGAGACCCGAAGCGAAGTGGCGAAGCGGATGGCAACGAAGAGGTGCCTTTCTTTGTCTTCGAAGCCTTGCGCACCCAGCCGTAGGGGAGCGGCTCGGCGGGCGCAGGGCGCTTTCGGTTCGGAGGGGCCTTTGCCTCCTTTTCCGTCTCCTGAAAGAAGGCATCAATAACAGACCTTGTGCACATAAACCCTCATCAAAGAGAGGCGAGCGAAGAGAGAAAGTGACTGACTCTTGTCTCCTGGACCTCTTTGGGCTCCTTGGGAACCTCTGTCTGCCCCTTCGATGCTGGAGGCTTTCCGGCAACTGCCTCTACCTGTTGCGGGGGTTAACAACGAGCACCATGGTCCTCCGACATGTGCCCGTCTGGGAGGATCTTCTGATATGATGTGAGAAACCCTGTGCCTCCTGCTGTTCCTCCTCAGAAGAGAGGACCTCTGCCATGACAATAGCCAAGCTGCGCCAGCCATGTCGCGGCGCTTTGAGCCCGAACGGCCTCGAGCTGTGAAGTCAGAAACCAAATACACCACAACGGGCATCTTTGCTTAAGCCTGTAGGAAACTTATCCTTGGACTCCTGCTGTTATGTCCGATGACTGCAGAACCTCTCGCAAGCCCATCACACGGGGAACTGCCTCCTCATCTACATGTCTCAGTGTCAGCGGAGTCATCAAGCAGAGTGTCAGCAAAGATTAAGCCTTCTGTGATTTTAATCCTTGGAGGTCGGTTGCACATGGTTGCACAGTCCACTGTAGAACAGGCAGCCACTCCCATCAAGCATCGCGGATCCGAACCACCAACGACCGATTCCGAACTTCGCAGAAGATTAACTGATTCACACTGCCTTCCCTGGTTTCACGACGGACAACATGCCTGACGAGCAGACCAACGACATGCCGGATGATCGCCCAACAATGTGGAGCGCGGATGAGTGCATGCTGTGTAGAAGCTGGCGACAAAAGCCGGCCAGCGACGTTGCACATGGCCTCTCGCACGACCCGACGGCGCAACAGCCCCGACATGACCAACAACAAACATGCTCCGCTTCAGTCCACGAATCGGTTCTATGCACGAAACCCATGCTCTCGTGCGCATCCACTTGACCAAAAGGCAAAGTCTTGCTGTTAACTTCGATGACTGCAGAACTTCTCGCAAGCCAGCCCGTCATACGGGGAACTGCCTCCTCATCTACATGTCTCAGTGTCAGCGGAGTCATCAAGCAGAATGTCAGCAAAGATTAAGCCTTCTGTGATTCTAATCCTTGGAGGTCGGTTGCACATGGTTGCACAGCCCACTGTAGAACAGGCAGCCACTCCCACCAAGCATCGCGGATCCGAACCACCAACGACCGATTGCGAACTTCGCAGAAGATTAACTGATTCACACTGCCTTCCCTGGTTTCACGACGGACAACATGCCTGACGAGCAGACCAACGACATGCCGGATGATCGCCCAACAATGTGGAGCGCGGATGAGTGCATGCGGCTGAGAAGCTGGCGACGAAAGCCGAGCAGCGATGTTGCACCTGGCCTTTCGCGCGACGCGACGGCGCAACAGCCCCGACATACTCAACAACAAACATGCTCCGCTTCAGTGCACGAAGCGGTTCTTACACGAAACCCATGCTCTCGTGCGTATCCACTTGACCAAAAGGCAAAGTCTTGCTGTTAACTTCGATGACTGCAGAACTTCTCGCAAGCCCATCACACGGGGAACTGCCTCCTCATCTACATGTCTCAGTGTCAGCGGAGTCATCAAGCAGAGTGTCAGCAAAGATTAAGCCTTCTGTGATTTTAATCCTTGGAGGTCGGTTGCACATGGTTGCACAGCCCACTGTAGAACAGGCAGCCACTCCCACCAAGCATCGCGGATCCGAACCACCAACGACCGATTGCGAACTTCGCAGAAGATTAACTGATTCACACTGCCTTCCCTGGTTTCACGACGGACAACATGCCTGACGAGCAGACCAACGACATGCCGGATGATCGCCCAACAATGTGGAGCGCGGATGAGTGCATGCTGTGTCGAAGCTGGCGACGAAAGCCGAGCAGCGACGTTGCACCTGGCCTTTCGCGCGACGCGACGTCGCAACAGCCCCGACATACCCAACAACAAACATGCTCCGCTTCAGTCCACGAATCGGTTCTATGCACGAAACCCATGCTCTCGTGCGCATCCACTTGACCAAAAGGCAAAGTCTTGCTGTTAACTTCGATGACTGCAGAACTTCTCGCAAGCCAGCCCGTCATACGGGGAACTGCCTCCTCATCTACATGTCTCAGTGTCAGCGGAGTCATCAAGCCGAGTGTCAGCAAAGATTAAGCCTTCTGTGATTCTAATCCTTGGAGGTCGGTTGCACATGGTTGCACAGCCCACTGTAGAACAGGCAGCCACTCCCATCAAGCATCGCGGATCCGAACCACCAACGACCGATTCCGAACTTCGCAGAAGATTAACTGATTCACACTGCCTTCCCTGGTTTCACGGAGGACAACATGCCTGACGAGCAGACCAACGACATGCCGGATGATCGCCCAACAATGTCGAGCGCGGATGAGTGCATGCGGCTGAGAAGCTGGCGACGAAAGCCGAGCAGCGACGTTGCACCTGGCCTTTCGCGCGACCCGACGTCGCAACAGCCCCGACATACCCAACAACAAACATGCTCCGCTTCAGTCCACGAAGCGGTTCTATGCACGAAACCCATGCTCTCGTGCGCATCCACTTGACCAAAAGGCAAAGTCTTGCTGTTAACTTCGATGACTGCAGAACTTCTCGCAAGCCCATCACACGGGGAACTGCCTCCTCATCTACATGTCTCAGTGTCAGCGGAGTCATCAAGCAGAGTGTCAGCAAAGATTAAGCCTTCTGTGATTCTAATCCTTGGAGGTCGGTTGCACATGGTTGCACAGCCCACTGTAGAACAGGCAGCCACTCCCATGAAACATCGCGGATCCGAACCACCAGCGACCGATTGCGAACTTCGCAGAAGATTAACTGATTCACACTGCCTTCCCTGGCTTCACGACGGACAACATGTGACGAGCAGACCAACGACATGCCGGATGATCGCCCAACACTGTCGAGCCCGGGATGAGGGCATGCGGCTGAGAAGCTGGCGACGAAAGCCGAGCAGCGACGTTGCACCTGGCCTTTCGCGCGACCCGACGGCGCAACAGCCCCGACATACCCAACGACAAACATGCTCCGCTTCAGTCCACGAAGCGGTTCTATGCACGAAACCCATGCTCTCGTGCGTATCCACTTGACCAAAAGGCAAAGTCTTGCTGTTAACTTCGATGACTGCAGAACTTCTCGCAAGCCCATCACACGGGGAACTGCCTCCTCATCTACATGTCTCAGTGTCAGCGGAGTCATCAAGCAGAGTGTCAGCAAAGATTAAGCCTTCTGTGATTTTAATCCTTGGAGGTCGGTTGCACATGGTTGCACAACCCACTGTAGAACAGGCAGCCACTCCCACCAAGCATCGCGGATCCGAAACACCAACGACCGATTGCGAACTTCGCAGAAGATTAACTGATTCACACTGCCTTCCCTGGTTTCACGAAGGACAAATTGCCTGACGAGCAGACCAACGACATGCCGGATGATCGCCCAACTCTGTCGAGCCCGGGATGAGTGGAACCAGACGATCGGCTCGTTCGACCACAGTCCCCTGGCCGCTCCAAATCCACCAGGGCCCTCCAAGCAACCTTTAGCATACATCCTGTCTCACAAGTTCCCGTGCATGCTGCCCAGTCCAAGCAGCATGAAGGGGAGTAACTTCCGCAAGTAGAAAGATGCAAGCTGCTGTTACCAGTTCCAGCATCACATCGTCCAAACGGTCTGCGAGTGTGTGTGTGTGTGCGCACGTATGTATGTACGTATGCAGGTCTGTAAGCATGTAGATATGTAGGTATGCATGTATGCACGTACGTATCTACCTCTCTATCTATCTTTGCTTCGCCATGCATCTATGTACCTATGTATGTATGTATGTATGTATGTGCATGTATGTATGTGCATGTATGTATGTATGTATGTGTGGATGGATGGATGGATGGATGGATGGACGGACGGACGGACGGACGGACGGACGGACGGACGGATGGATGCATGCACGTAATGTATCTAATCTACGTAATGTATGTATTGAAAGTAATGCATGAGAATGAGTATACGTATGTATATATGTACCTAGAATTCCCTTGTCTTGAACAGTCATGTTTCCTGGAACAATAATTCGCAGGCAACAAACCCTCAAGATCGGCAGCCAACCCCTTTTCCTCCCGATGAGCGCGATTCGCCCACTAGCGTTTCAACCGCTTGGCCGCGGGTGCCAGGGAGGGATCCTCCGCACCGGCCACCAGCCGGTGGAAGACCTGAACAGAAGTAATTAGGAACTAGGGAGTGGAAGCGGCTTGGACTGCCTTTAACTCTTTTAAGCTGAAGGATCGACGTTCTGAACATAGAGTTTGCGAGGGTTCTTCAGTGCTTAAGGACAAGAGTTGAAGGACTCAGGAATGCGGGCAGCACAAACTGAATGCACAGCTTTCCCACTCCATTCGTGGACAATAGGCATCCTGGAAGAACAGAAGAGCAGATGATAACCTTCTTGCCAACGACAATAACAGCGAGACAAGGAGCAGGGAAAAGAACAGAAGTACCCCATGCGATCACGAAGTGAAATCAAGCTTCATTGACGTGTGATTCGAGGATTTCGTTTGAATTCTGGGGGCCAGACCGCATCCAATGAATACGCCAGGGACTCGTAGCTTGCATCAGCTTCTTGGGCCTTCCAAACCTTGGTCAGAACAGCAAATGGCAAAGTCGGGGGGGTCCCGGTCCCCCGGGTCCCCCGGCCATCTCGTTGAGTCCACCAGGGGTCTGCTCTTCCACGAGCTGCGAGTTGCAACAGTTGCAAGCACTCATCCCCCACACCATGTGTAAAAGCCGGGTCATGAAATGAGTCATGCATGTCAAAATCATGTCATTTAAGGCCTTCGAAAAAGTGTCCGCCTGCCGAGCGGCAGGGCAGCCATGAAGCGTGCTGAGATAAGCTGCGTTCTGGCTTCTCGCCTCTGCTGCGCTGCTGTCTGCCGCGAAAGTGGCGAAGGTGGCTCCAACCCAGGTGGCGGCGTCGGCCTGAAGTTGTCCGGAGCTGCAGCCCGCCGGATGCAGAACTAAGACGACTCAGCAATGGTCCTCTGCGACGCCGTTCGAAGAGAGCCACCGCTGTGCAGTCAGCTGCCTCTTATAGAAGTCCCCCATCAGCGTTGTGATGCACAGGAGCCTGCAGGGTCAGACCCCAGGCTCGGATATTCCCGGTTCGAGCCCAAGCGCCTCCTGAATTCTGCTTCGCTCTCCACGGAAACACATTTCCCGCAGATCCCAAACATTGCCTCCCGATTTTCTGCGGAGCAACTAGGCATGCACAAGTTGGGATACAGCCTGTGCCCAGGGTCTCGGTGGCGTCAGCAAGGTGGAACCAGCGCGCCTGCGGTCAGAGACATTCTTCAGATCCCACACCCACCCACACCCACACACGACAACACACACACAAACACAAACACGTGCGCGCGCGTGCGTGCGCGCACACAAACCTCAAGTCGCTTTGCCTGGCCACTGCTGGAAGCGGGATCGCACTGACACAGTCTGATGCTGGGGAAGAGAGCTCCTCGCCAAGAGCACACACTCTCACAACGTTTCGAAAGAGCAAGAGGCAGGAAGTAGGCTCCTGCAGACGCTTTGGCAGGAGTCCAGCGACCAGTGTGACGACCTTCTGCCTTGTGCGAAAGAGCGACCGAAAGGAACAACAAACTTGGACAAGGAGTAGTGCCAAAGGCTTTCTAGGAAAAGCTGACGAGGTCGGTGCCCTTCTCGGAAAGCGATTCCCTTCATGACCTTCCACAGACAGATGGCAACGTGAATCAACTAGTAGTCAGCGATGAGATCTGCCTCTTCAACCTGCTTGAAGAGCACTGCGATGATGACACAGTCTGCCGCGTCGACGACCTGCTCGACTCCATCTCGTTCGTCGCAGCATCCCACCACACGGGCACGAGAAAGTCCGATCTCTTGGCCTCCTGGTTGCTCTTGGCCACGACAACATGGCTCGGGAAGTCTCGCGCAAGCTCTGCCGCCTTGCGCATATGCGAAGGTTTTTCTTGCAACTCCGTGGCCTCAACAGAAAGCTGCAGCCCCGCACCTTTGCAGCACCTCTGGGCGAAAGAACCACCCTGCTGCAGCGGCACTGTATCTGCCAAATTCCATGACCTCCGCTGCTGTTGCAGTGCCTTGGGAGTGTTGACAAGCTGCCGCCCGGGGCCAAGAGGCCACGAATCAAGGAAGATCCTGCAAAGCTCAGGCTCTCGATGGCCGCTGTTCGAACTTCAGAGACTCTCATGCGATGCCTATGGTACCGACCCCAACGAGGCCGAGAGTGGATGGAAGCCCATCTGGCATTTGACCTTCCACAAACTCTCTCACAACTCTCGAGAGAGCCACCACGCAGCTCTGTCCGGCTGCCTCACCGCGAGTCGGTGATAGGCTCAGTTCGTCGAATCTTGAATCCGCGGCAGTGCAGAGTCGCAGAGGATTCCGATCCGATCGATTGCATTCTGATTCTAAGCCAATGACTATGCCTATGCTCACGACATCTGACGACTCTCCAGCCTCTGGTCTAGCTAGCCTTTTCCACAGTCAAGTCGACGGGTCGCAGGCCACCAGGCGGTAGATATACCAAGCCTCCACCGAATCCTTCGCCCAGGGCCGTTCGCACCCAGGTGGCTTCGCCACAGGGCGGTGGGACGCAGGTGGAGCGGAAGGGCGCTTCTGAAGGTGCCGGCCCCCTTTGCAAGGAATGGCACCGCCCCATTTCACAACGGCCATCGCAGCGTGGTGTGCGAGGAGGAGGAGCTCCAAGAGCACCCGACTACGCAGAGCTCTCGCCGGAGTGAGCCCTGGCCGCAAAAGGAGCCTCGAGGCAACCTTCTGTGCCAAGGAAAAACGGCGCAGCACGGCTTCTGGAGGCGCCGGGCCCTTCAGCTTCTTTCGATCCCGGCGAAACCTCCAGCGTGGGATGCAGTCGGAAGCCGCCCAGCGCGAAACCGAACTCCGTCTTCCAGCCCCCGCCGTAGGCGGGCCGCTAGGCAGCTGGCGTTTGAGAGCAGTCTCGGCCGTTGCGACTGCACGCCGGAAGTGGCCCAGGGCACGGGCTCTCAGTCTCAAGTCAAGCAGCACAGCTTTTCGCTCCTGTCTTTGCTGTAAGCCGAGGGAGCGGAAGACCAGGAAGAGGCGCGCAAAGCGTGTCGGAACCTCCGACTCCACGCCTCCTCGACCTCGCCAACCTCGCCAGCCTTGCCGGCCCTGTAGCTGTGCTGAGAGGCGCAGCAGTGGCCGCCAGTCAGCGGACCAGAACCACTGCCACTCCAAGAAGAGCTCCGAAGTCTGTAGCTCTGCGCGACTGAGGCATGCAGAGGAGAGCTTCTTCGCAAACTTGTAGAAGACCATGTTCAGGCGCGGGTCTCCTCTCCAAGCTGTCAGCCGGGGTACCAACTGGTCGGCCGACGCATGCATCTGCCAGTCTAGCTCTGCGGGGCTGGAGTTCGCAGGACCAGGATCTCCTGCAGTCTCTTCAGCATTCTGGCTCCCGCGCAGCGTGGGACTGCCGAGCACATGCATCTGCACCGTCACGTTGACCTTGGCATCTGTGAGCCAAGACGGGATAAGGCACTCCTTGTAGCGATGATCGGCATTGATGCACCAGGCACCAGGCAGCTCCCGCACATTGTTCGTCCGCCAGACCCGGAAGAGGCCACCACAGCCCCCATTCACCCAAAGCAAGCCAGGTCTGACGAGTCCGTAGGTCTCGTGCACGGCGCAATGAACAGCATGCTTCCCCCGATACTGGACGAGGTATGCATGATGTCCAACGAGCACTGCAGGCTCTCCACTGCCCTCGGCATTGTATACGTCCTCACGATGCCAGGGATCCAATGCTGACCAGGTACCAGGGCGGCGCCGTAAAACCAGGAGCTCAGCTTTCGGCCCACCATAAGCCAGGCCAGCAAACAGACGAAGCTCCGTGGCAGCTGCCTCATCGGGAAAGAAGCCTAGAGGTGAGAACAGCTTTTTCACTTCCTCGGCAGAACGAGGATTTGGCCCAGCTCTACCCCAGAGCATCACGATGCCAAACTCAGCATGCCGCACCAAGTTCATCAAGAAAGTCAGCTCCTTTGAACGCGGAATGAACTGGCCGACCCCAAGGCTCAGCACCCAGTCTGCTGACCCGAAGGAGACTGTGAGTACCCCCAGCTTCTGCAAGAGCGAGTCAGGCAGTGGCACTCGGACCTGCCTGGCCTGCATGGCATCCGCGCCCGGAGCTCGTGCAGTGGGCCAGGTCTTGCGTCGGAGATAGCGGAGCCCGTAGAAGAAAGAAGGACTCGTCCCGTTGTATGGATCCTCACCCTCGCTGGTTGCCTTCCGCCACACTGTGCCGATAGGAGGGTAGCTCACCCCCATGCCATAGCCCACGCAGCGCACGTCGCTGCAACAAATGTGCCGTAGAAGTGCAACAGAGTGGCCTTCGCCGGTTCCCTGCATCTTCAAGCCTACGCTGAGTATGAGATTGGCATCTTCCTCCTCGGTTGGGTCATCAGGCGCCTCAAAGCTGCAGCTGCTCCTTTGGTCCAAGGCGGCCTCGGCGGCCTCGATTTGGGAGAGGAACATTTCCATGGCCCCTTCTTCCGTGGCTTCCGTCGCTTCGGTTTCGTCAGCATTCAAATCCCCCCATTCCTGAATTTGCGACCGGAATCCCTCGGCCTCGCTCGCACGGATGCCCGGCAGGTCAAGAGGCTCCGTGAGATCCCAGACCAGGCTGCTCTTCGGCAGCGTGCGGCGAACGATCAGGTCCCCATCGATTCCGATGGCCACCAGACCGAAGCGTTCGAAAAGCTCCACAAAGCTGCCACGGCCGCAGCCCATGTCCAGGACTCGGGCAGGTCGAGCTGGCTGGCCGGGGAGTCGGAAAATTGTTTGCCCGGCCCGGCGTGCCGCCCGGTCGACGTCGTCACGGAAGAACCGAGCCAGGCGCACCGCGAACTGCCCATCGAAGTCCGCATTCGTCGCCGAGGCGGTCAAGAAGTAGTCCATGTTGAACTGCTCAAAGAAAGCAGGATCGCTCTCGACATAGCCATGAATGTGCCGCGATGGGGCTAGGTCGCAGTAGTTGGTCCGGGGCCGCCGACATGGAGCTATCTTGTCGAAACAGATGCCTTGCATTTTACGCAGCTGCATGGCTTCGGGCCGCGATCTTAAGAATGACTCCAAAAGGTTCTCAGTGTAGAGGTTCTCGCATGTCTCGCGCGATCCTCAGCTGGGGGGAAAGCTTGTAGAAACGTGTTGCAAGAATCATGCAGATATGATGTACGTGCATGCAGCATGGTGCATCTTTACATTACATGGATGTACGGCTAGACAGATGGATGTAAGGACCTGTGTCCCGTGCGGTAAAGGCAGAAGCAGGCAAGCAGGCAGGCGCTGTGGTACTGGAGGCTGCCGGTAGGCAGATTGATGCGTTCTGCTTGCTTGCTGCTGTCGTGGTCGCCTTCTCTTCGATGAAAATCAGATGGCTTTGAAGATGGTTGACAGCAAACACCAACACTACTGATTCGCAGAGGTGAGGTTTGTGGGCTTATTGCACCTGCAATTTCGGATGGCAGAAAAGCATTGTTGGTCCACGGGCGCACACAAGTTGGAAGTTGATGATCCTTTCGATGTCAGACCTGACCCAACCATCACCATAACCATGACAAACACTGACTTAGTTTAATTGCTCACTCTGTCCCTTTTAAAACGATTTACTACTCATTTAACCGCTGTCGGACCGGACGTTGGCGTCCGAGTCACGGAGGGTGGCATGCTCGACGCACCAGGGAGGTGCGGCTCTGTGGCTCCAGCTTTCCCGGGGACTCAGCAGGAAGCGGAAGAAGTTTCGGAAGATTTCGCGCATCGACGACCAGGAACCCAGAAGGAACTGATCCTCCACAACGCCCTGTCAAGCTAACTCAGCTTTTTCCCTGCTACATCGCGGTGAAAGCTTCACGGGCCTGGATTGGCATTGGCACCCAGTTCGCCAGCACGAAAGGTGGAGCCAGACTTTCGAGGTCTTCGCGCGAGATCATGGAGTGCCACTGGACGTCTGGTCTGCTCCGGGCAATCCAGCGATACCCCATCGAGCCGTCCTGGGGTTCGGACGAAGTGATTCTGATCTGATATCGACACACAGCCTCGCACAGCACGCCCAGAGAGCTCCTGCCCATCCGCCTGGAGGGCTTTCTCCTCCAAGTGATGGGCACATTGGGCCAACTGCCTGCGAGGAAGCTTGAGCCCCTTTACATCTCGTTGCGCTGTTCTTCCTGGGCCTCGCCGGGAGGAGGGTGTTCCTCAAGCGCTCGTAGTCGAAGTAGCGGTGGCCCGCCTCGCTGAAAATGAAGTTCTCCATCCAAAGCCGCTCTTCTGGCGCCTTTCAGAGAGGCAGAGGCACAGAGACTTTGAAACGAGCACTGCTGCACTGAAGGCCTCCATCTCTTCAGGCAAGCAGAGTGCCTCCGCACATACGAGCAGGATGTCAGCCGAAACTTGCTCAGACCCTCTGCCTGCATGTAGACGTCTGCTCCACCAAAAAAAGCGAATTGAGAAGCCACGTGGATCAGCTCCTGGGCCTTTGGGCACTCCTGCCAAAGCACCACGGGGAGCCAATCTTTGGCCAGATGCCCGCACCTCTTCCGGAACAGCCAGGATGACATCAGCCGTCTTGAAAGGCTTCAGGAAGACCTCTCAGAAAGAGAAAGTCGCAACTGCACCTGCGCGCGCAGAAGCGTAGGGTTGAGGCCTGGAAGAAGCTCAGCAAGTCGCTGGCATCGCAGATGCCTCCGAAAAGCGCAGACTGCGCACACGGCACCGTGATTCTGAAGCACTGGGCCCCCCCCCCAGGCGCCTCTGAGCTGGCCCACCATGCACACGCCAATGTCCCGAGCATGTTGTTTGTCGAGTGTTAGGGCAGGGAGCACCAGCGCTGCGAATCGCAGCAATCTCAACATGTCTCGTAGCCATGCCTGTGAGATCGGAAAAGAGAGGATCCATCCCAGACTCTGTTGCAACAGCCGCCCCCTCCCCATCCAGCCTGTCAAAGGCCTCCCTTGCATCTCTCAAGGTGGAGAGTCTCGAGGCTCTCTCGCCGGATTCGACACTCAGGTTTTCGGCACGCAAGGCTAGGGCTTGGGCAAAACACGCAGACACACATTGATCTTCAGTCGATGTACAAGGTGTCTACTGTAGCGACATCGCTGGCTGAGCAGGCAAAGCTACCTGTTGCAAGCGCAAAGCTTTTGTTGCCGTTGCGTCCTAGCTGCGCCGTCCTACGATAAACAGGCCACACGCGAGGCTCTGTGGCTTAAACAGCATGAAGCATCACACTGCCAAAGTTTCACCTGAATGACTCATCTCCTTTGGTGAAACTCCTGCAGGTCAGCTTCAGCTTCATTTTCTAAGCTGATGAGACAAGCTCACGGCTCGTCGATATCAGGGGAGGTGCGAACAGGCAGCACTAAGGACAAGCGCAGGGTGGCTGTTTCTGATACTTGGCCTCCTGTTCTAGCAGTTTCTTGCTTCTAGTGACTGCTTTTCGGCCACCCTGCTGCGGCTTGCAATAAGACGCTTTTGCTCATTGCTACTGTCGCCTGGCAGGAAAACTCAGTGGAACTGAAAGGCTTCACAAATCTGGCACTATCGTGAGCTTCCTGGGGCAAGCACTTAGGCGGATCTTCAGACCTCTGTCAGGCAATGCTGGTTTATGCAGCATGTCACATGTCCAAGCCGCCGCTTCAGGCTGCGACTGCACCAGGAAAACAGTTCCCTGATTGCCTTTCATCGTTATCCATCCTGCCGGGTCGAGATCATCTCGCAGCGCTGAGGCCCTCCATGGCCCTCCCGCCCCCTCCGCCTACTGCTTGGTCTTTCCGAGCTCTTGCTCGTATTCTAAGAAGACCAGCTTCTGAGTCCTGGCAGGACAAGGACAACACTCGGGGCGAGGTGCCTTGCGGCTGCGGGCCCAGCCGGGCCTCCTTGGGCCCCTCCAGGACTTCCAAGATCTCACCTTCGTCCACTCGCCGGATCGACGCGGCGCTCTTCGTGGCCAACGTGGACTGCAGCACCTTTATACAAATCCATTTCGGCTCACGGACAGGCGCCAAGGGCAAAAGCTGCTTGGCGGACCGTGCTCTGTTTACACCGGTAAAGTGGGCTCCAGCTTTTCAGCCTGAGGCGAGGCTGGTCACAGCTTCAAGAGCTCAGCTTGGACTGGAATCAAGTGCCATGCTTTTTGCTGTTCATGCTGACCCATCCGACCGCGCTGTCGGCTAACACCCGGCCCTGCTCACAGATGCTCTCACTCGCCAGCTGCTGCTCCAGCTCATGCTCTGCCCAAACACTGAGACCTTGAAGCGCAGGACCGGCTCGAGGACCTCCTCCTTGGGACCTTCCAGGACCTGAAGAGACACCGGCCAACACGATCTCAATGCACTGCTTGTGTTTGCTGTCGCGCACCTCGATGGCCTCGTCTTTCGCAAGAGCTCGTATCTGCTCGGCTCCTCTGCATCGCTGAGCTGGTGTAGGGTCAGAGGGCGGCGAACGCAGCTTCTGAGCCACGCACCCTCAGTGCTGAAGGACCGCTGCAGCGACACCTGATGGGGGTAGAGTGCGGAGGCACCAGGCACGACCACCAGCCAAGCACTGAAGTCACTGACGCCACTGTGACCTGGGGCCCGAGCCTCTTGCAGGACCGTGTACAAGGAGGAAGCTTCCTTCGGTTTCGCAGTCTCCAAGCTCGGCAGCTACACGCCGAGAGCAGGCCTCTGCGTACACTGTCCCGGCATTTCCCTTCACGGTCACCCAGCCCTCCAGGGAATCCTCAAATTCCAGGGATCGGTTTAGATACCGGCTGCTGGCTGGCGAACTTGCCTTGCTGGCGACGGCCTTGATCCGTGAAACGCTGGAGTCCTGCTCGATGCCACCGCTCGTCCACAGATGAACTGAGATCAGATCTGTCAAAGGCGACTGAGCTCTGAAGATGGGAGCGGCAGCGGTCCCGGGTCCCGGTCCTTGTCCACTTCTGGGCCTTCCAGGACTCGGACGACTTCACCGACCTCGAGTTTCCGCAAGACCTTGCCATGTCAGGCGCCGACAGAACTCCCTTGCCCGATCTGTCAGCAGCCTTGCGCCTTGCAGGTCTTGATGTTCTGGTTGTCGGTCATTGCGATGGCCGTCTTGCAGATGTAATGCCTCAGAGATGGGCTCGATCTCGACGTTGCCGGTTTTATGGAAGAGGCTGTCTTGGACGCGAGCTTGTGCCGGCCTTGCTCGGCCAGGAACCCGGCCGGACCCTTCAGGGTGAGCCAGCCCTCGGCCTGGTCCTCACAAGCGCTTGAGAAGAGGGGGCAGAGAAAGTCGCCTTTGATGCTGTGGGCCGGGCTGAACATGCCTTGCAACGAGCCCGAAGCAGCGGCTCGCTGCTGTCCTTTCACGCTACCGAGAACAGCGCTCTTGCTGTGTAGTCAGCGACGAAAACATGCATGCAAACACAAAGACCCTAAACCCCGGTCCTTGCGAGGCCCCTCTATCACCTCCAGGACCTCTTCGGCCTGCCAGGATCCAAGGAGCAACTTGCTGCCTGTTGTAGGCAACATTTAGGCATCGAGCACGCAGCCTTCAGCAACCGAATGGGAGCTTCACCCGTCCTTGTGGAGACTGAAAGGTCCAGAAGAGTCCAGAACAGTCAAAGTTGAATCCCCTCCCTTGCCCCTGCTCTGCCCTTGGGACGCAGGCGAGAAGTCGGGCTCCAGAGGCAGCTCCACGAGGCACTGCATGTAGGGTTTCGCCTTCTCCTGCCGTGTGCCCCAGAAAGCGCGCGCCCGCGCGCGATGCTCCGCCTTTCGCAAGTCTCCCTCTCTCGCCTTTAAGAAGCGGGAGCCCTGATTGCCAGAGACCGTGGCCCTGAGCAAAGGCAAGAAGCTGCGGCTACCAGAAGCTGCCAGCGCAACCGGGCCCTACACCAACCGACCACGTTGTGCTCGAGCAGTCGGCCTTTCACCCGCGTGATGCCTGCCAGAGTCACTTCAAGCTTCGAAGCATAATCATAATCGGCATTCCTCAGCTCCCACCTAGCTTCGGATCCGTTTGCGGCCCCTCGAGGACTTCCATGACCTGCACGTGGCAAAGCCGCCGTCGGCCACAGCTTTCGGGCTGGAAAGGAAAACCAAGCCTCGTCACAGGCCACCATTCGCAGCGGCTTGCGGTTGGAAATGACGAAGTCATACGTCAGTGCGATGGACTTCTGGCACACCTGCGCTGGAACTCACAGGCGTCCAAATATCCATGAAAGACTGCCCTTACTCATTCTTGCATTCCATCACCATCACCCTCATCACCCTCATCACGATCTTCATCATGACCATCATCAACACCAGCATCATCACCGCCGTCACCATCATCGCCACCGTCACCATGACCGTCATGACCACCATCATCATCAGCTTCCCCTCCTTCATAATCACAATCCTCTTCATAACCTTCACATCACCATCTCGTCTTCTTCTTGATCACCATATTCAGCTTCATCTTTATCATCATCGTCATACCGAACTCCATCATCATCATAATCGGTCAATCTCGAGAGTCGGTTTCAACAGAAGGTGGGCTCAGGCTGCCACGAAAAACTGCTGAAAGCTGCGGAGGAAGGACCATCTAGAGATGCCTTCCTGACGCGCTGCCACCGGCACAGGGCGCAATGCACGAATGATCTGTTTTCGCACTTCATTAGCTGTGTGAGTCCTCGCTTTGAGGAATCCTGTCGAAGACCAGAGAGACCTCGATAAGTGTATTGCGATCTGTCTGCTTCAAGCTGAAACACTGCGCGAGTTTGAATCCTGCCTGCTCGGCACTGAGCCCGAGGTCGGACACGCCTTCCAAATACCTGCAACTTGTCCATGTTTCCGGGTTCGTGGTTGGAGCTTCACGACGGCCTCTGAAATGCTTCTTTGGAAACTGTGCCATCAGGCGCGTCTCCGCGCATCGTATCGAAGATTGCCTGCAAGGTACCGGAAACCTTCATGGTCCATTCTGATTGCTTGGCTTTCCCTGAAGCCGCCGAGCTGCATCCAAAGTGGTGTCCTTCTTGGCGCACTCACACCTTGCAAGCTTCAGGTGATACAAGCACCACTCAAGCACGTTGTGACAAGACATGTTCGCTCGCCTCAGGGAAGCCCGAGCTTCCCGAAGCGCGACGTCCGCCACACGGGAGGCGGTGGCCCGAGCGGCCTCTGAGGCACTCAGAACGGTGCCGGGCCCTTGGGCCCTTCCCTCTCTCCCTCTCTCTTTCCTCCAGAACGCGCCTCCAGCACTTTGGCTGCTTCCTTCTCCATGTTGTCCACCTCACACTCCGTTTTTCAGCACACGGGAATCCAAAGGACGAGTTCCGCAGCCTTCCACTTTGCCGAATTGACCGCCTGGCGGATCTGCCCCGAACCTTCGCCCAACGGCAGCGCTCGGACACGACGACACCGGCCGACATGGCGAGCATGGCGGAGCCCCACCTTGGTCCTTGGGGCCTTCGTGCTTCTCAATCGCGGTCCTGGCGGAGCAGGCTCCAAGGTCTGGCTGCAGAGAGCAACCTCAGTCGGTCCTCACAGCCGCAAGCTTTTCTTTGAGCTGCGTATTCATCTGCTCACCTTCCTTGAGGAGCGAGGTTGGCACCTTCAGGACCTGACAGAGCGTGGCCGGTGAGGCAGCACAAATCGTGTAGATGAGCGGTTCGATGCGGGGCGGGGTGGTGATCTACTTCGGCAAGCCTTTGGGGAATTGCAACTTGCAGGGTTCTGGTTTGCGGTCCCTCAAACAGTGCATTGTCATGGCACGGCCTCTCCTCATGCTGCACCTTACTCTATCAGGTTATGGTGATCAGAGCTAAGCAGCCAACAAACTGGAGAAAGCCACATAACCCAAGAAGCCATTACAAGCCACCAGATCTCGCCGGTGTATCTTGTCTTGCCGCCCGGACTTCCTTGCAGTTGTCTGTCCGCCTTGTCTTTCTTCACCTCTCACCGCATGCTTCATTACCGTGTGTGCTGGCATGGGCCTCACGAAAGAGGGCCCAAGGGTCGAGGTGCATGACGTCGACAGTCTCGGGCTGGCTCCCCTTCACTCCTTGCTTCCTTGCTTCCTTCCTTCCTCCCTTGTTTCCTTTTGGTTTCGCAGTCCTTTCGCCGCCACCCCCCCACCACAAATGACCACTAAGCGAAAGTCGCGACAGGTGAGCACGGCATTCACTGCATCGAAATCTGCACGTGCACATCTGTTTCCTTGCGCAGCAGGGTAACTTGATGCCATCAGTGCCGGCTGCATAAGCCACTGAGAGATCTCCTTGCCGGCTGCATGTGCGCGGATAAGAACCTTCGAAAGCAGCGTGTCGCGTGCGCGTCCCAGCCCGGCCGGCTGGAACGTGAATGGAAATGTAGGATGTAGGCTGCAATGATGGATGAAAGTTGCAGTAGCATAGAGAGGCTGAGGGGCCTAGGGGATTTATAAAAGTTGGACTTTTTACACACGATCGGCCTCCAGCTCCGATTGGATCTTCACCAGCGGAGCCATGGCCTGGGCTTTAGACTCACACAGAGTCTAAAGCTGCCCATCTTCTAAGACTCGCCGAGTCCCCCAAAAAAGTGCGGGGGGGACGGGGGGACTGCCGCCCCGCGCCTCGGTGATCCGTGTTGCCTCGGACTCCACGGCCAAAACCTGCTCGTCCAGCACCTGACGAGAACTCTCTGACTCCTCGAGGACTGGTTGCCGAAAATAGGGGACCCTAATATGGCACCCTAAACAGTCGGATCCTTATTATCATGCCCCCAATATATGCTGCCCCTAATTTTCGGAAGCTTAGGGTAGGATCCTTATTATAAGGAGCGGGGGCGGCCCGGGCCGGGCCTTGGTGACTGCCTGCAGGAGCTTCTGCTCCTGGGCGTCCGAGCGGGCCTTCTTCTCCTCTTCGGCTTTCCTTTGCGGATGCGGATGCGATACTAAATGCTCGGAAGGCGTCACGTGCACCAAATGCGGCCGTCGCGGCTTCTCGTACTCCTTCTTTGCTGCCTCGACTTTCCTTTTGAGGTCACTCAGCCGCCTGTTGAAGGAGATGGCCTCGCAGGAAAAGCTATGGCTTGCCGTGCCTGTGGCAGTGCAACTTCTTTTCGCACCTTTGCTTTGAGCTGGTCCAGCTCACTCCTTGCCTCAAGACAAGCTCAGGAATGGAAGCTTCGGTTCTCTAGCAGCAGCCCGCAGCAGCCCGCAGCAGCCCGCATGACCGGCCTCTATCAGCGGACCCTGCGCACAGGTCCCCATGGCCTTCCGTTTGTCAGTGATGTGAGCTGAGACCTGCGAGTCGGACACAGTAAAGCGAAGCAGCTGAGCAGGCGGATGTCCGGACAAGCAAAGTACGACAGTCGGATAGGGGAGGTTGCGAAAGCTTCTGCAAGGCCACACCGTCAACAGCCTTTGCCCTCAAAACCCACAGCCGATTCTCTATTATGGCACGAGGGCTGCTGAAATGAAGTTTGTCCAACTCTTGCAGTGGCAGTTGTGCCACCCTCCTGTGGCCGGCCTTCTCCACTTGCTTTGTTACCGTGTTGTAGTTCCTGCGGAGTGGAAACTGCTACGGGTATTGATTGGATTGCACCAGGCACTTTTCGAATGATAGCAGTCCTGGCAAAGGACTTCAGGGCCGTGTTTTGAGGCGACTGGCGACTGAGGTACACCTTGCCTGTTTGCACACAAGGCCGCAGAAACCCTGCAGAACAAAGCGCGGGGTGCCGGGGCCTTGGTTGCCCCTCATCGTCACCCAACCCTCCTTGGAGGTGTCTTCCACCACTCGGCAGTGCAGTCGGGTGAGCTTCTGCGTCTCGTCGAACTGCGGCCTTGGGATATGTCTTGCCTTCGTTGAAGGCACCCACTCTGGCACACTCTGGCATGACTTTTGAGTCTCTGGCATTCCAAGCGCTTCGACCACCATGCCCACGTCCAGCTTCAAGACATTCTTACCGCTGCTGATGGACATCCCATCTGTCATGGAGATGGGCTGTACCTGTGCCGACAGCTACAAAACACAAACCACTTCAGTCAAGCACTGGAAAGGCAGGCGGACACAGAGAAAATACTCCGAGAAGATGTCCTGGCGTAGGTCTCTTCCAATTACACCACCTACCTCCACCGAACTGTGGTCGGACAGGTCTCCTGAAACTCCTGCTCGTTCAAGTCACCGCTGCTGTCCGCGTCGAGCTTCTTGAAGATCGCCTCAGCATCCCAATCCCTACAGCGGACCTACTGTAGTTCGTCACCTCTTTTTTGGATTCATGTGGTGCCCTAAATACTAGGTGCCGTATTATGATAATAGGGACCCCAAGAAGGGACCCTAATATTGACAACCACCCATGTGGCCACCCCCCTTCCTCCTTTCGTCGGGCTCAGAGCGATCTTGAGTGCTCGTGTGTTTGGGTGGGCTTCCGTCCTAGGGCAGAGGGGTCGTTGCCCTGGACACCAAGCTCGATCGTTCGGCGTAGATTTGTCATTCAAGCTGTCCGCGGCGATTTGAGGTGCAGCATTCGTGCGAGTAGTTCCTGCCCATAAACCTCCGCCATGCTCCACTTGCAGTGTGATCTACGTCTGTTTTCGCCCTTTCTACAGCTTCTTGACCATGACGCATCGACTTCACGGGGATTGCAGTGTGCAGGGGGGATGGGAGTGCTGAAGACTGCCGATCCGCATTCGTGCACTGGGCTGCAAGCCTCCAGCTGGGAGTCCAAGAACCTCCCAGAGTCTCGTTCTTCCGGACAGAGGTGTGCTTTCGACATCCCTGAGTTGCGGACACGACATCCTCGGAGGTCTGATTCTCGGCCAGCCACGCAATGAAGGCCTGGGACCAGAAACCGTTCTGGGGAGAACTTCGGAGTTGCTGCAAGGCCTTGAATCGCTCCGTGCTGACCTTGGTGCCACCTTCCCCGCACGCCTGGGAAACAGAGTTTCAAGCCAATGCCACGAGATCGCGAGGGGAAGCGAAGGGATCGGGTCTAGCAGTCTAGCGGCCTTGGCGAAGAGTGCCTCCTTGGTGTGGCCTTTGCTGATCAGTTCCTTCCATTCAGTCTGCAGCTGCTCAACTACGGCCTTGTTACGTGTTTTTGAATCTCCGCTCTCCTGGACAGCGGTGGAGAGCCGTTGCACATTCAAGCGCACGAGCAGGCTGGAGCTGTCCAGGAGCGGAGAAGCTGCTGCCTCGGAAGTCGGCGCTTGCTTAAAACACCGTTGCTGCAGGAATGATGGAAACTCAGGCCTCTCTAAAAAGCTGCATTTTCTGGAACATGCTGCCAAGACACCTCCACTTTCTGAATTTCGGCCTCAACCTTCGGCAGGATGTGAGTAAACACGTGCGCACATTTTGCAAAATGCAGATGTGCGGGTCCAGCTCCGAACCGCAAGCGGGAGCACGCGTCCCAGCCCTGGCCTCATCCACCAGACCAGCAGCCTTCAGAAGTTCTGCAGATGATTTCTGGCTTTCGGCTTTCAATGTAAGGAGCTGCCAGTTGCCGTAGCAGTGGCAGCAAGAGTGGCAGTACCAGTAGCGGTATTCCTTGCCTCGGTAAGCAACTTCTTGGAAACGAAGCGCTGCTCCTGGCGTCAAGCATTCAGGATCTGGGTCACTGAAAGAACGGGTTTTTCCACATCTCCGAGATTTGCCGGGCACCGACCGGAACCGAAAATCAAAAACATCGCGCTTGATGATCTCTGAACATCCCTCTCCAGCAGAGAGGTCGTCTTCTTGGACTCTGCCAACTTCGCCTGGGTCGGAGGCATATCCAGATTCAGGACGTGGTGGCTTTGGTGCCATCAGCGTCGCGCCTTCACTTTGCCAAGCCGCACCTGGCTGCTGTGACTGGCAATCAACCATGCAGGCTGCTTACGGGCGCCTGCATCTGCTCCAGCTCCTCTGGCACGCCACCTTCAGCGTCCCGGTCCTGGCGCATATGCCTAGTCATCTACACATACAATATATAAGAACAGCAGAACATCAACCCAACACACCCAAAAAGTTTGCCATTGGTGTCCCAATCATCTTCGCTATCGCGATTACTAGGTATCCCCTTTGTTGCCGTTGCTGCGGCTACAAGTTACTAGTCTTTCATGCCATTCAGTAGTCACCTCACACCATCATTGCTACCATCCCTCGGCCCAATCCCGCACACGTCGCAGAGCCCTGTACCTCAAGACGATGTTTGCTCCATACAGTAGGTCTTCCGCCTCTCATTTGGTTCTCGGATTTCATTGGTTCGGGCATCTTTGGTTTCCCTCCTTCCGACGCTCTGCGAGGAAGTTGATGACCTGGTGAACTCGCTGTCCGGCAGCCTGAACGCACTTTTTTGGAGGGGAGGACATGAAACTGGCAGACTGCTGTGTGCGCCTTCTCGAGACCTGCGAGGGTCTTGCAGATCTGCGTCGCCGTGTCGGCAGTCATTGTGCTCAGGTCCTGCAGACAGACGGCAGAAAGGCTGGAATTCACCTCAGGGAGTCGTCCTCCGCAGCTAAAGGCGTAGCTGCCTCAAGATTCCATACAGTAAGCATATCCGGCGCGCAGTACGAGAAGCAGCTAGTGGCTCTGGCGGCCTCCCGTGCTTGGTCCACCTCCTCTTCTGCAGTCTTCAGGATCTCATCGGCCTGTGGCTTTCAATCGCACGCGGCCTCGGAAGAGCGCCACTGCGCTCTCACCTCCTGCAGCTTCGAGGTGCGCTTGCGCTTCTCTGTGTCCTTGCCTCGGGCACGGGAGTAGCTCAACAAAGCCCCCTTGGTTCGATAGCATCAGCTGCCCGAGTGCGAAGCGGAAAGCTCCCAGCTTCACGCCTGCCGCCTGATTGAGAGAGGGACGACAAGAAGAACACCGACGATTTCAAGATCCCGAGGGCGGCTTCTCTGAGGCGGGGGGCATTGTTGCGCTCCACCAGGCTCTGCAGCCGCTCGAGCGTTGGCTTCGAGGCCACCTGACAGCCGGAGCGCAGCGAGAGAGAGAGAGAGAGAGAGAGAGTGAGCCACCAGGGGCGGGGGGACACTTGGAGCGGCCGCTCTGGAGCGCTCCGGGGCGCGGCCTCTGCGAACTTGTGGACGTCCGAAACGCGCGCGGTCAGGACCGCCTTGGCCTTCTCCATGGCCTCCCGAAGGAGACGCAGTTCACTGTGGCACGGATGGATGCATGAGCAAGGGAGCGACCGGCTTCAGAGCGGGGCGGGTCTGCGTGAAGTTCCGTGAAAGAGCCGGGTTAACGCATTGAAGCGGCAGGGCACTGGAGTGTGGCAAGCAAGCGAGGCGACCAAAGTGGCAGGAATGACTCGGGAAGTTGCGGAAGCGAAAAGCGGGACTGAGTATGTGGCGTGAACAGATGGTGTGACCGAGTGTGGTGAACAAGTTCCAAAGAGTAGCTGCTCTGCAGTTCTACTGTACGCTTAGGTGCACCAACGGTCAACCAAGCGAATGACGAGTGAGTGAACCCAGAAAGCGGGAGAAAGATTGGTTGGGTGTGCGCGAGTAGCCTGCGCATAGTTCGTGAGTAGGGCCACGGAATGAGCGCAGACGATACTTTCCCCCTATAGAAGAAGAGCTCAACCTCCCTCCACCACCCCTCCACGAACTTTGAAGCTGTGCCAACACCGCCATAAAACGCGATCTGCTTTGGGCACACTGAAAGGACAAGTAGCGCAGCTCTCGCGACTCTTGAGAACTTGCGGGAGCCTCCTGCACCTGCTTTGCAGCCGACTCGCAATCCGCGATGGCCGTGGAGGCCTCCTTGAGGGGCAACACCTGGCAGAGGAAACACGGCCACCAAAGCACACCCGCCGCCGACGGCTAAGCCTCGATGCCCTTGAGAAAAGGAAGCTCCGCCTGGAAGCATCGACACTCCGCGTCGTGTCCCCTCGCCGTCCGCCCTCGCCGCCCTCGCCGCCCTCGCCTCGGCGATCTTTTGGAGGGAGGCCTCCACCACCTCCACCTTCTGCTCCGCCTCCTTCACGTAAGCCTCAAGCACCAAAAGCCGATGCAGGCCCCGTGCACGTGCGTTCCGTCGCGGCGCTCGAGGTGCAGACCTCGGCGTGAGCCTTCTCTCTCTGGGCTTTCGTGGTCTGCTTCACCTGCGAAGCCCGGGACGATCCGGGACGGAACCAGACAAGAAAACAAAGGCTTAAGGAGCAGCCGCCGGCCTTCTCAATTTTCTGAGCTGCCTCCTTGACTCTCTCCTTCAAGTGGTTCAGCGGGATCTTCAAGGACGCTGAGGCGCCTGACGAAGGCAGTTCCAAAAATACATGACAATGAACCAGGTACGTGGCAAAAGGCCTTTGATTTGAGCATCCAAGGATGCCGCCCCACCAGCGGTGGCCTGGAAGCGACCAAGAGCTTCGCAAAGAACTGAAACCGCCCTGGCCGTTCAAACGGCTGAGGTGGCTGGCTGTTTGTGCTTTCTTGATGGTTTCGTCGACATTTTTCAGGTCCTGTCAGCGGTGGCGGTGCGGCGGTGGGGTTTGTATGTGTGCATGCAGCACCCCACTATTCAAATCTGGGCTTTTGGATACGCTCACCGCTCCTCCGCCTTGACCTCCGGACCGTCGAGCAGAGAAGCCAGCTTCTCCATCTGGATGATGCAGTCGCATGGATTTCTTCTTTTGCTCAGCAGTCTGAGCGTGCCTCTGCAATCTGCTCGTCGATGGATTTGACCCTTGCTTCTTCTGTCTCGATGACCTGGACATGCAGGTAGTTCCAAAAGCAGAGTGGTGTAAGGACGTGCAGCGAGGTGATCAAAACCAACTATCGCGGCGGTCGTTACAGGTCTTGCCTTTCTGCTGCGGATGATGGCATCTCCATTTTTTGCAAGCTGCCTCGCACACGGGATTGGTTCCACAAGCACAGCCAACTACGTCTCGATTGCAATGCAGACAACAGTTCTGAATTGTTCTCACCAAGACAAGCTGGAGCTTGCCTGCTCTTGACCATTTCTGCATGTGCGGCTGCCAGCTTGCTCTGCAGCTTCGACAGCTCTGACCTCGTAAAAAATTGGGTGGGTGGGTGGGTCGGGGCGGCGAGGCGCACGGGGCTTGTGAGGCTCATGCCCGGGAAGTCTGGGGCTCACACAACAGGGAGCTCTCCTTGACCTGCTTCTGCTTGGCAGTGATGACTTCTCGGGCCGCATTGTAGGCCCGAACGGAGTCCTGCAGGCAGGCACCCTCCAAAGAAACCTCGAGTCCAGCTTCAACCTCTGTCACAGATGGCTGCAGTAGCTGTGCACTAGACGGATATACTCTCAGTCCAAGTTTCACCGCTTTCGCGTGCCACGCTGCAGTAACTGCCTTCTCCGCCGCCCGCGACTGGTCAATGGCATACTTCAGGGCATCGACCGTGACCTCCGAATGTGGGTCAACGAGACGTGATGTGCAACAGATGTTTGGCGAAGAGAAACACTTGAGACTGAAGATGGGAAGTCGTCTCAACGTCTTGGCTCCAACATGGCCGAAGTGGTGCCCCCCGGCTTAGGATCGGCCTGGGCCAGGTTATCCGTGGCCAAGACCTTCACTACCTTCGGCCAATTTCGGCCACAGGGTTGCAGCGTGGGCCGACGCCACACCGCACACCGGCCTCTGAGAAAGTCTGGCACTGGCTCTCGGCTTCAGCCTTGTCACGGGTTGTGGATAACAGGCGCCCTCTCCGTGGACTGCAGCCGAAGCACTACTTTTTCCGTAACTTCTTGAAGCATGGCTTGGGCTTTCCGCTGCTGCGTCTCTTTCCTGCAGAGTCAAGGAAGAAAAGCAAGCGATGAGATAAGGCTCTGTTCTCCAGGGCTGGGGCTTGAAGCTAGCGAGCTTCTTCGCTGTTTCTTCTCCACGGAGCCGAAACCTGAGCTTCCCCAAAAGTTTCCCCCAGGCGCCTCTTGGGCTTCGCCCGAGGCCGGGTCTTGGCAAGCTCCTCCTTCAGCCGATCCTTCACCTTTCAACATCCCCCCTAGGCCCTAGGCGCCCTGGCCCTAGCCGAAAACCCTCCTCGCATCCAGGATTCAAGGGGCGGCCGCCGGCCTCCTTGGAGAACTTGGTCTTGGACTCCACCACCACCTTCTCGTGCAAGAGCCTGCCAATGATTACGGGCTTCTTCCGACAAGTGTAAGCACCTCTAGACTTTGAATGCCTTATAGCAGTGGGTCCCACCTGGCTTGCTCCAGTGCCACCTCGCACTTCTTGGCAGCAGCCTGATGGCGTCTCCACGATGTTGACTTCATCAGTTGAGGTCGCGCTTTGTGTGCGGCACCACCCCCGTCCGGCCTCGCACATGGCGACGGCTTGGATTCCCTCTTCTCGGGGCAAGACCTGCAACGCAAGAATACGGATACACCGTCCACTGGCAACTGCCCATTCGCCGCCTCGAGGCCCTTGAGGAAAGGCCTCTAATATGCCACATGAGAGCAACGCGAGCTAAAGCAGACAATGAGGGCAGGACATCTCTGCTTCTGAAGTCGCAAGGAACGCCTGTGACTGCTCTCTCTGCCCTCTGTACAGGGAGTCTCGAGTTTTTGTTTGCTCTTTCAAACTTGCAGAAGCCTCCTCGGCTAGCTCCACCTTTTCTGACACCTGAGGTTGGGCAAGTATGGATAGTTCGAATACCGTCAAAAATGGTTCCCCTGACTAGCAACACACGGGATGGCCTGGTTCTGGAGGACATCGACTTGAAGCGATTCTTCTTGTCGTTTCAGCACTGTGCCTAAGAGCTCAGTTCTGCGCACAACTTGCGGAGGCATGAGGGTGACCCCGTACACTCCTGGGACCTCCGGCGGACACCTGCCATTTTGTTGCGGGTCTCCACACTCCGCCTCTGTAGGTCCTGAAGCTCGCAATAGCTAACCTCAGGCCTCACCCACAGTACTGCACCAAAGCATCGTCAAAACAGCACAAGCACGTCCACAGATCCACGATGGAGGTCAAAGCTACTGTGGCTTCACCTGCTGTTGTTGTCATGGCCGCATTTGCCATGACGATGATGATGATGGTGGTGGTAATGTTGATGGTGATGGTGATGGTGGAGGTGATGAGGATGACGCTGACGATGATGAAGATGGTGATGACGAGAACGATGAGGATTGCCATGGCATTTCCCTGAGTGCCATTTACTCGTTACAGTTCGGATGCGGGAATTCTGGGGAGATGCAGGTCATTTCGGCATGGACTCGTTTCAAGATGATGGGCGTGACCATGGTGAGGGTGTCGACAGCTCACCGCCTGTATAGGCCACAAGAAGATTGCCAATGTCGACCGACTGTTGCCGTGGTGGTGCTTACAACTGCTCGGGCAATCTCTGCCCTTGTTCATTCATTGTATACAGCGTGCCTGCAGTGATACAAGTCGACCCGCACCATCACTCAGTTTTTGTTGGAGGCAGTGACCACCTCGCATGTAAAGGTAGCTTCGCGTCTTTCTGGGTCGCTTTCACGGTATGGTCACTTCGCATGCTTCGCGCTATCACCCGGATCTACATTCAGTTGTTGTACAGCCTCGTGTGGATGAGGATTTACTTCCGCGTTTTCTACAGTTTCCAGGTGCTCGGTGCACACGCCGCTCTGCGCTGCCTCGACAATGTGGCCTTTCACGTCCCGCCTCTACAGCTTTCGATTTGCCTCATACAGCATCTGGAAGGCTCCTTGCTGCCAGATGACTTTTTCGGTTCAATTTGATTGTTTCGAAAAAGGAGCTACTGGCGAGGAGTAGCCAACTACTTGTGATCTGCAAGAGCTATTGAGGCTTGCTGTCTATGTGTGGACCTCCTTTGCGGTGTGACCCCGAGGTCAGCGGTCTCCCAGACTTTGAACTGGAATATGTCCTTAGATGACGACGACGAAGATGAGGATGAAGATGATGGTGAAGAAGTAGATGACGATGATGATGATGATGGTGGTGATGCTGATGATGCTGACTGCGGCTGTGACGACGACGACGCGCGGTGGTGATGATGATGATGATGATGATGATGGTTTGGTGGGAGCGTCGACGGTGCGGTGGTGGTGCGGACCCAATGGAACGATATGGAACGGCTGTGGCCACTGGCCACCTCGACCAGGTCATGTCATTCAACTTCACTCGGGTTGGTCGCGGTATGTATGCTCATCTGCGGTTCCTTCTGGTTGTCGCAACCCCGAACAAGAGAGAGAGTGCTCTGGCGTGTCAGAGCAACTCGGATTCCCCACCAAGTCAGCACTGCTTAGGGTCAGCTCGCGATTGCGCCGCACCCGAAAAAGATGCTTCGATTTCGCACGCAAGCAGGAGCTTTGCCATGAGGCTTAGCTTACATTGCATCTGGAGAGGCTGCTTCAGGAGATGCTGGTTGAAGCATTGTTACGACCCGGGGCTGGATCGTGAGAGTGACGAGAAGTCAGGAGGAAAAACCATCGCAGCCCATAGGCTCCAAACTCCAGATCCAGCTCCGAATCTTAGTGGCTCGCCTCCAACTCCTTGCGCTGCTGCTCAGCTTCTCCGTCGTTGCCCGAGATCGCCTTTGAGTTTGGGGGGCTTCAGGTCTTGAAGGACGCAGGGTTCAGGATTTTCTGGCTTGGGTTTCAGGGTGATCACAATACTTGTGCCTTCAGTCTCCGCTCGATCATCTGCACCGACTTTTGCAGGTCCGCCTGGGTAAAGACACTGAAACAAATGCCCAGCTCAGTCACCCACCCGAAACGCGCCTCGGCCGGTTGCAGGAGCTTGGAGGTAGAGCTGATCTCATCCTGCAAATGTGCCCCCACATGCATTCAATTCGACACTCGGACCCAGTACTCTTGCAGGGACACGTGCAGGGAATGGTGCAACTCTGCTTCGGTTTCTCACGCGGTTCATAGGCCTGGCTTGCGCCAGAAGATACAGATGCCGGGATGAAGCTCGTCGATTTGTGAGCTGAGCTGCTCATCGTATGACAGGCTGGGGGCGTGCGCGGCAGCGGCTCTCATGGCTTCCTGCCGCGCCTCGCCGACGCCACAAGTCAATATGGCTGTCCGGCGCGTGTTGGCCTCGAGATTGGTCCAAACCTGGGCCCAAACCTCAGGCCTTGCGGCATAGTCGGTTGCAGCCGCAAGGCACATGGTGACATCGAAGTTGGTCCAGAGCCTGACCTCCTCGCCGTACAGCCGCAGGTGTTCCACGACATTTCGGCTAAGCAGCTTGATGTTGCTGCAAGCATCGAAGGCGTATGCACGGACTAGGCCTGTGTCGTTCAGGAAGCTTGCAGCCGTGCCGATTCCTGCACAAAAGTCGGCGACCTGGCTGTCCCTGGGGATCACATAGCGCAACAAGCCGCGCAGCAGGGGCTTCGGAACGTCCCAGTCCTCGAAGGTATCACGGCGGAGCACCTCGATGGTGGAGAGAGCGATGCCGTCAGCTTCCCGTGTGGTGAAGGCCGGGAGCGGTGGCCCCGGTCTTGCGGGTACAGCTGTTCCGTTGCTGTTCGCTTCGATCTCCTCCTTACTCTTCCAGTTCACCATCACGCTCTCGTAAGTGCGAAGGTCTGCCTGCAGTCAGGGGCCACATGCAAGCTGCGGAATGCCCGGTGCATGCCTGCCCGGGGGCGTACAACGCGGGGTGAGCATGACGAATCTGAAGCGGGTTTTCGCAACTTGCTTGGATCGGCTCCCGAATGAATTTCGCGATGGAAACATATTTCTTGCGACCAGTCTCTTACAAGTGCAGCTGCATGCGACAGTATGCACGGCAGCCCATGGTCCGTGTTGAATCTTCAAACTTACTAGTTGGAACGTGTTGGGACAGGCTTCTTTCCGGCAACTACAGGGCTCCTCAACTCAGGAAAAACATGTCCCACATTGTTGCTAAACCTACAACAATTCACCAAATTCGTGCTTCCTGCAAATCGTGGAACCATACAGGAATCATGGGAACGGATTAAGGAAAGCCTCGAACAGGTCCACGACCTCTGCAAGCCACTTCCCTGCACCCTGGCGCACCAGCTCTGCAGTGCCCTGGAAAACCAGCCAGAGGTGACGCAGTTGGCTGTGTAGCAACGTCTTCAACCGCCGGAAGCTCATGAGGAAGAGGAGCTGCAGATGCTCATTGAGGCACTCGAAGCGGGCCGCGGAGAGCATACCGTGGATGTGCACGTAAGCAGACAACAAGGACGCAGCCGCAGACATGTGGGTCATTGCCCACGCACTCGAACCACCCATGGCCCCCTGCAATCGAAATGCTTCGTCCTCAGCTGTAAAATTACCACGCACGTAGTCCAGCTGGGTGCGTATCCGGTCCCTTGACAGGTAGACGTACTCCAGGAAATCGGAGCAGTTGAGTGATTCATTCAGGGCAAAGTCGATCTGACTGTCCCAGTCTGCTATATGCATATCCACTGACGTTGTGAAGGCATCTGCTAGTCTGCAGATGGGCCGCTGCTCTGCCAGACTTCTCGCAACTAGAACCGCTAAGATAGATGCGCGAGCCATCTCAACGCCCGCGCCCTGACCCGTCAGGTGCAACGCTCGAGCCCAAACACAGCAAGCGAGGACCTGCACATCTCGACTTTTCAGGTGGCCTTGCACGCCTGCATACCCTCCCAGCCGCCAGCCTCCTCCATCTTCGATCCAGTGGAGTCTGCTGAAGATGTCATGATGTGTGCCTGCAAAGACAATGCGACATCAACAAGACCATGTCAGCATGCGGCTCGGCTTCAATTGAAGCACTGCTGGCCTTCTCGACTTCCAGCTCCGCACCTATCAGGTGAAGGCTGAAGGGAGGCCTCTCTCTTTCATGGGTGTCAGGCTTAGCGCCGGGCTGCTGAGCGTCTTGGTGATTTCTGCCAGGGCCTTTTTGGCATTTGCCTTGTGCTCGAAGTCCTCGGAACGCAAGCAACCACGCACTCACCCTGCTCTCTCTCCCCCCCCCCGGCGCCCCACTGGCCCCCCTCTCCCTCCTGTCGGAACTTCTTCAGGGGTGCTAGCCGCTTGGAAGCCTCGAGGATTTTGCGGTCGAGATCCTGGTCAACACTACCCTGCATGCACTGCATGATGCTCGACAACCCGCTTTGCAAAAGCGGTTGAAGTAAGCGAAGCTCGGCGGGAAGCTGGCTTTTTGGATGGCCTTCGACAGAACTCCAAGGGAGCACGGACCAATGCTTTCCACGAAACATTGCATAGGTGGCTCTTTGCCACCAGATCAAGGACAACGAGACTTTAGCTCCGTCCCATGGCTACATTGACGGTTACATCCAACTATAGACTCCTACACAAGAGATTGTGGCTTCAGGGCCGTGGCCCTGTCCCGACGTTTCATGTTGCCTTGACCCGTTGCCCGTCCTGCTACTCCCTGTAACAGAGCTTCGCAGACGGTCCGGGCCAACAAAAGGCCATCCCAGTCCCAAGCTTGCTGCTGATCGCGCAGCAGCAGCTTCAGGCAGGATCGCATGAATGGCATGCAGAGGACGTGACACAGGGAAGGCCTCACGTTCGGATCCTTCTCCAGCAGGCTCATGATAAGATGGCTAAGATCTTCGGAATATTGGGACGGAATCGGAGCCGGCCGGGAATGACAGATCTCCATCACAAGCGAAACCAGGGACTCGGCTTCAAAAGGTGCCCTGAGTGCTGCGACTTCATAGATTGTCACGCCCAGGGACCAAACATCGCTCTGGGTGCCGTAGCGCTGCTTGTGGCAGACCTCCGGGGAGGTGTAGAGCGGTGTCCCTGCCGGTGTCTGCACAAACTGGGAAGGGGAAGCAGAGAGATCCACTCGCTTGGCCAAGCCAAGGTCTCCCAGCTTCACCAGGCCGCGCTTCGTGAGAAAGATGTTGGTGGGCTTCACATCGCGGTGCAAAATCCGGTTTCGGTGCAGGTAGGACAAGGCAAGCACCGCTTGCGAGCTGACGCTCAGAACCTCGTGCTCCGGGATGGCTTTGCCCCGGTCCAAGGCTTGTTGAATTCTACCCGCCAGGTCGCCCGCATCCGCAAAGCCCATGATGATGTAGAGGACGCTCTCTTCGACGAAGGAGTCCACAAAGTCGACGACGTTGGGATGGGATAAACTCCTCAGTAGCTCAGCTTCTCGGATGGCATCCCTCTGCTTCTCCCTATGGAGGTGAGACAAGGAGGTCATCTTCGCCACCAGGAGCTCCCTCTGACTCTCATCCTCCCCCCTTCGTTGCACCAGGTAGGCTGTTCCAAAAGCTCCCTCGCCCACGGCTCCGAGGAGGTCATAGCGGTCCTCCAACATGGCACTACCCTCTACTTGCGGCCTCGCCGTTAGGCGAGATTCCTACATCCTGAATGAGCCGATCCTCTGGATCGCCGAGACTTTAGACATGCCTGCGGCTCTACTGTACTTGTACCCCCTCGCCTTCTTGCAAGACCCACATGCGTCGCCCCCCTCACCCCAGCCTGGTACTCCTTCATTGCCACCTGCCACTCAGAATCCACTCAGAAGGCCGGCACTTGCTTTCGGGACTTCTGCGAAGTGTGGCCTTCTTTGCCTCGGGCGCATAGCGCTTTATCTCCACGAGGCGACTTTGGACGATCTTCTTGGCCTGTCCGTGGAGGGAGCGAAGGGTGTTCCGAGCTCGAAGGCAGAGGCGGCTGCAAGCACTTGCGCCTCGATCAAGTTGCCGGATGCCTTCGTCGCAGCCCTTAGAAGCTGGCATGGTGCGATTGCCTACGGGCCGACCAATACTGCACAGGGGGTCCCCGGCTTCTCGATATCCTGGATCGCCTTCGTCTGAGTCTCGCCGGCATCTGGAACATCTTCGTCGATGGACACAGCCGCCGCAAGGATGGCCACCGTCCTTGGACAGCTAACGTCTCTGCGCAAGGAAGGCAGGGAGGTGCGACAAAATCAAAGACACCTGAAATGCTGAGCCCGGGCACTCGACAGCATCCTCGGCGTCGGTGACGACCTGCATTGCCTCTCCGACATCATGGCCGCGCGATTTGCGATGCCGCTAGGACATGACAGTGTATGGGACTGCACTCAAACGAGCTGCCTGGGGCAGCGCTGCCTGAAAGGCGAGGACCTCTGAAGTTGGAAGGCCCAGGGCACAGTGAAATTGCCACAGCAAGCTAACATTTTCGAGGTCATCCTAGAGTCCTAGAGAAACTAAAGGCCTTGCTTTGCCGCCCGCTTGGCTTTGCTTGGGCACCGACATCCTTCTGCTCCGCCTCGGCGGCGGCCTCTGCGGCACTGGCCTTCAACTTCCGTCCGATGCCGACGATGACTCAAAGTTGGAAGTTTCAGAGCTCGGGTCCCGGCCTGCTGCTTGGCATGCTCCACAGCCTTCCTGACCTGACATCTTCAGGTACACCGGGTAAATTCGGACTTGATCGCTTGCCGTGTCTTCTCGGAAGCCTTGGCCAAGGCTATCTTGACCTGAGCAGCGCATCAAGGTACACGAAAAACTAAAACAGCAGCTATATACTTCTGCGTACGAGGTACGAAGCGGCCTTCATGTACCAAAGAGCCCTGAACCCTGAAGCCCCGCTAGAAAACCGACACGGCCGGACACTGCACTGTGAAGACGAGCACACGAAGTCAATCTCTTTTTCTTTGGCCCCTTCTGAGCCCCTGGCGGTGGAGAGCTCTTTCTCACAACTCGCATGGAGCGCCCGGAGTCTGGGCCTCGGCGTCTCTGCGAGATCAGGCTGACAGACAACAAGACAGCTCCAGTGCCCCCGAGGCTCTGACAGTAGCCGAGCAAACTCCCCCACAGTGCCTTGGGTTGAGCCGTTTGCTCGCGCATCCTGCACCTCCTGACAGGGAAGTTCATCTTGTAGCGGCTCTGCAGCTTCAGGCTTTTGGCTACGTTCTGGTGATCCTTTTCAATATCCGAGCTTGCTTGGGCAGCGCTCATATCCGTCTCTTCTTTCTGACGACGTGTTTCACAGCAGGCTCTTAATATGCTTTCTGGCACACTTGGTTGTGTAATGCTTGATTTGGTGGACCCCTGAGTTTCTCAGTTTTTTTGGTTGAACAAAATTGTGAATGGCTTGCAAGGGCCTTCGAAGCAACTTTTGATGGCCAATCGTCGAGTCGTGTTGGCATGTTTGCACGGCTAAGTCGCTGTGCCGGTTGACAGGGTTGGGGCTTGTGGTGGGAGGGCTGGCTTGGGGGTCAGATTTATTTGCGTTGACACTCACATCTGTATTTCTACTCACCTCAGCTCCTACATTCTCTGTTTCGTTGGACACTGTCGAGCTCTCAAAGACCAATCTGGTGCTCTGGCAATGCAGTACTGCCGTCTCCTTCGCAATGTCCTTGTGTTCTGCCTGAATTGTCTCCTCAAGGGGCTGTCTTGGAACAGACAGCATGGTGGTTCGGTGTACCAGGGCCCATGCCATCTGGGCTTTGAGTTGCGAGTCCGCTTCCAGGATCGTCGCTTCATCAACGTCCTCGTCAGCACACCGTGCATGCAGACTGGTCCGAGCAGGGATACGCAATCGCAATCGCTACCTTGCGATACCACTCTTAACCGTGTAGTCCTCCGCAGCCAGCATATCCTTCGCCGCTCTGATCGCCTCACGCGCAATGTAAGCACGCTCAAGGCACCAGCCATCCGAAACTACCCGCCACCGCGATCGCACCTGCTGTGCTTCCGCTTCTGCTGAGGTAACTCGATCCGTTGCTAAGCGGATACGCCTGGGTGGCAGGCGGGGGACCTTTTCTGAGGTCGGATGCTGCTGACACTGGGCTCAGCCCTGCGCTCTTTCAGCAGATCCTTGTCCGTGTCATCTGGTTCCTGCACCTTGGCCTTCACTGCCTTGGGTGGCACTGTAGGGCTGCTTGTTGAAACCGGCTGCGCCATGCCGGCATTGAGAACCTCGACCTTTGCGAACAGCCATGAAATTGCTGCACTGCTGCACTCTCACTCTCGGGATGAGTGACAACTTCGATCCCGACGCAAAGCAACCCATCCGGGGCTTCTCCATCCCAGGGCACCTTCCAGCCCCGCTCTGGTGGAGCCTCGAAACAAGGAGGGCAGGGAGTGACGTGCCCCTGCGGGAAGTCCGCGAACCAGCCTTGCCGTTGTCTGTGGCACGGGACCAGACCTGGGATCCGCCGACCTTCGGCGTGGGCAACAGCTCAACAGAAGGGGGCTCGGAGATTCTCCGATGTAGGGTCTCGTGTCTTGGACGTTTAGGGCCGTGATGGAGGGTTGCAGGGTTTCTGCGACTGGCTTCGCTCAGCTCGAGCTGAGCCTGGGACCTTGTCGCCGAACCACCAACCCGAAAAGTCGACACCATCCTGGGAGTCTGCAGACATGATTCCGTGACCCTCTCGGGAGATGGTAAGTTAGACACGCGTTGGTCCCAGTAGTAGACGAAAACGCTGACCTGGTCAAAGCCCCCTCTTGCATCTCCACATGCTCCACACTAGAGGCTAACGTTAGCGGCACAGGCAGCACCATGCCTCGTCTTGGCTAGGCGCGTCCACCACCTCTACAAGACGCCGCAGATGCTATTGGTATATCCTCCTTTCCAATGGACACGCCTTCTGGTATGTCGGGCGACCATGGTTCACGCCTCAAGGTAGCATGGGCGACGTAACTGTTCACTGCACTGATTCTTCACTTGGCCTTGTTCCTCATAGTCGCCGAGCAGGGTCCCAATCCCGAGCTCATCCTGCCGCCGCAGGCCGCAGACATAGGCCGCAGCGTCGAGATGGTGCACGTTTGCTTCGTTTCAAGCCTGGCCTCCTCTGCCTCGGAAAAGACACGCAGCCGGCCGGGCTTTCCGTTCTGGGAAGGGGGAGGGCTCTCCCGCCTCAGGCGCAGGAGCACATGTCTCAAGACGTGGGCTCTGGGCAGCAGCATCAAACAGGGGGCCCTGCTTGACGGGTAGTTGTGGTAGGGGCCGGCCTCGCAACGACAGCTCTTTTGCGAGTTCCTAAGGTGCACACAACAGCTCAGGCCCCGACGGGGCCGATTCGTGGGAGCCTCAAGACAGCAGGTCCTAGGCCCTCACAAAGAAATCCATGACAGCAGATGCCAGTAGCCTGCGTCCGGTCACTTGGCTTCCCCACGCGGCCAGGCGCCTTCACAGCAAAGGGCACGCAAAGTCCAAGTTTGGAGCTTTCCTTTCAATTCCGAGTCGGCTCAGCCGCCTCTAACGACAAGCCTGTTGCTCTGAAGAAGCCGGAGAAGGTGAATTCAGAAGCATCCCATGTCAGTTTTGAACGGCCTGCGGGGGCTGGAGGCCACGATGCATCCAGTCAGCCTGGCCTCAGAGCAGCAAATTTCTGAAATTCATATACCGGTATACCGTATACCAAGTGTTTTACCCCCTTAGACAAGCCTTACGAGACCGGGCTCTGCCCTCTTGGTGCCCGGCAAAATCGCTGCGGCCTTACGTCGAGATCGAGGCATGGGCCAGCGGAGGCTAAGGCGGACGGGGCGGTGATTCCTGCTTTTAGAGTCCTGGGGTCTGGGGGTAGTTGGAGTTGCAGGGGTTGGGGTCGCTGCTTGGGGTGTGATGGTGTGGAGATGTGTGGGCTTCCACGGTGTTTGGGAGGTCAGGTCACCGCGGGAAGTTTTGTTTTGGCTTGCAGCGTGCTAACAGCTACCGCTTGTACTTGAGCAGGACGAAATGCGAACGTATTGTGGCCATCAGCATCTTCTCAGGGCTTGATGCGACAAGACAAGAACGTCTCCGAAGCGCTTGTTGCCCGTGGCTCTGCGATCGGAAGGATGGTGAGGTAGAAGGGGTGAGGTGGGAAGGGGTGAAAGAGGGCCAGGATCTTCCCAGCCCACATGCCTCGGCGACTGAGGACACATGGTACTATAGTAAGTCTCTCAAAGCACGAAGCTTCTCTTCACAACTCTTGGCCCTGGGCTCTGTCATGGCTTCGGTGCAAAGTCCAAGATTGACAGAGGGTGTGCCTGTCGTCGGGTGGCCGACACACCTTACAGTGCCTTACGGCACCTGTGTTGAGGTCTCTCCTCCGTGTTGAACACATAGCGGTCCAGCTTCACGTCGTGCTCGGCCTGCATGTCTTTATGACATCCCGCAAATCCGTTTCACGTGTCGCCTGGCCTGGAGCAAAAGAAGGTATTTCAAAGTCTCTGCGATGAAGAAGCTCTCCATCCTTGCATGACAAAGACAGCCTCAAGTGCTCTTGCATGCCTGCGGTGAAGGGTCGCCCGACCTGTCCAAGTAGCTCTTGGAAGTCTGTCGCACATCCTTCAACGAAGCATACCTGAATCCAGGGCGCTACAAGCTAACGCTTTGGAAAAACATTCCCCCTTCGCAAGGACACCGTTCACAAGGCCTTGCCTATCGTTGTCGAATTATGCAAGACTCTGCTGTCACACTCAAGAAGACGTGACAGGACTCCCAATGATGGTAGCTTCTGCTCTTTCAATTCACAAGTCCCGCTTCGTTGCAATAACCACCCCCGAAAATCGAAACTCATACTGAAGATGTCCGGCCCTGATGCCAAGGCCCCGACCCATGCGGGACCCAGAGCCACTTCCTTGCTCAAGAACCCGATTTGACTGCGTTGAGGCCTGCCTTTAACCTGCCGGCAACTTATTGTACAAACCCTGCGGAGCTAATCCCCCACCGGCAACACGCTAAACCTCCGCCTCGCTTGCGGCTTAAGGGCTGTGGGTCTTTAAGCTCCATGACACGAACCAGCACTCCACAATCAAAGCAGCAAAATGGGCCCACGATATCGACATGTCTTTTGGAAGCCTTCGCGCATCGGCCAGCAGGTGGCACACAGTTTCAGGGGCCTTAAAGGCCCAATCGACGTCCGAAAACTCGACTCGAACCCCAGCAAAGGGACTGCCGGCTTTCTCACGTCGCAATGCTTCCAACTGCTTTAGGAGCTCCTTTGTCTTTGGCAGGAGCTGCTGGTCGGCCTGCGGCTCAAGACCGGTTGCAAGTTCCAGCTCAGCCGCTCGGTCAGGTGCCTTTTGCAGAAGTGACACCATGAGTTCAAGCAGACCCTCTGCTTCCAATTCCAAGTTTTCGAGGAAGCCAGGAACCAACACTTTGCGCCTCCAGCCATCAACAGAGGCCCGTATCAGCAGATGCACCGCATTCAGATCCAGCTGGGCCAGTACGGCATTGGCCTGGAAGAGCCGCAGCGGAGGGTGGCTACTTGTGGGCCTGTGGATGCCAAAGATAGCCTGAGGCACTGGGCGCTTCAAGATCCGCTCGTGTCGTGGCGGCGACTCGCCCAAAGGTGAGGACGGAGAACTTGGAGAGCTTGGGGAGAGGTGGTCGGAACGAACCAGGCCGTCTTCCATCTCAGCGAGGCTCCTCACGTGTCCCTGAACCTCCAGTCGTGCCGTGTTCAGCAGCTCCTCCCATGCTCCCATTGTTTGTGGGATCTCAGAAATCCCAACTTTTGAGGGTGAAGTCGCAGCGATCAGCGTGGCCGCATTGAGGCAGTTCAACCAGAAGCTGAGGCAGGCCTCCAGTCTCTTGCCCTGCAGCGTCACGCACTGCAGCTCCGCCAAGGGCTCGTGAAGCCGCTCCAGCTTCCGCCGAAACCCGTTCCCGCCTTCCCTGCTCCCTGCGCTCACCGTGCTCGCGCCCGCACTGGCACTGGCGGCACTGGCTGCTCGGAAGGCTCCGATGAGGAGGTCCTGGGAAAGCAACTCCGGGTCTCGGTCGGTCCAACTGCAGAAACGCCGGTGGTTCAGCACCGAAGTCTGGCTCGGCCCCTGGAAAGGCAACAGCTCCACGCAGGGCTCACAAGGCTCCTGGCAAAGGTCCCTCATCTGCTCGTACGTCACCATCGGATTGGCTAGGGTGTGTCGAGGAGAGACAGGGTCCCCCTCTTCGTCGGAACCAGGGCAAACGAAAGCCAAAGCCGGGTCATCTACCTCTGCCAAAGCAAGGGCCGATGGGTTGGCGATTGCGAGCAGCCGGCGCGCGTAGCACATCGAGTCCGTGACCGTCGATTCAGAGAGTGGCTGATCGCGACGGTTCAACTGCAGTACTTCGCTGAGGCGGTGGGGCTCCAAATTGCCCATCAGTGCCAGCATTCGGTGCGTCGGCAATGCAGCTGGCCTGTCGACGATTGCCAGGTGTGTCTGCAACAGAAACTCATCCGGAGCCGACAACCTGCGCGCCAAGACTGCATACAACAAGACAGCCGACGTCCAAAAGTCGGCCATGTCTCCGTGAAACTGGCCCTCGTCGCTTGCCAATGTTTCGTAAAATCCCAAGCAAAGTTGCCGTGTCCATTGAGGGCATTGTAGGCCAGCCGCACTGGCTGCCAGGTCACTCCTTCTCAAGGCGGCCTCCTCACGAAAAGCCGACACCAGGCTCCCCCAGCAGCCAATCAAATCCACGGGCTCCGCGTGTTGGACGGGCTCCGAAATTGGGATGGGCTCCGCCTGCGCCCGGCCATCACCAGAGTCTCTCCGCACCCATTCTGCCATCACCACTCCCCCATGGGGCATGCCTTGGAGGGGGGCTGTTGCCCGGGAAGGCGAATCCTCCTTCGCCTCCAAGGATGCAAAGGAGAGGTGCAATTGCAGAGGAGGGTTGTGCTGCTGGAGTACGATCGCCGCCCGCCCAATCCCGTCCACTGCTTCCTGCAATAAAAGGCAGCGTTGGTTTAGGAAGCTTCTCATGTGCAACCGAGAAGTGATTTAACTTCAAGCTCTCCAAATTAGACTTGGGAAGCAGTTCTGCTCAACAGCGGGACCACTCAAATCATTGCCCCGAACAAGTTTCCACTCCAAAATTGAAAGTCAAGTGGGCTTCGTGAAGGGGGCCTGGTAAATGTTGAGGTTCGTGGGTATTGGTAGGTTTGAAGTTTGGGGCTTGGTTCAGTGCTTCAGCGACTTCCTGCGAGCACGGCTCCGACACCGCAAAGGAGGGCTTTGGCAAGATGTACCGCGCGGCCGTGCTTCGCATGGACGCCTGTGTCTGTTGCGCGGTCTGCGCGGTGTGCATGGCCTCCGCGAAGGGGGACTTCGAGGGACCGAAAAGGTGAAGCGTCTGCAGGTACGCCAGGAAGGCGTTGGTTTGCACGAAGGACTGGAAAAAGGGCTTGTCCTTTGCAGAGACCTTAGCTGTTGGAAGCTTCAAGATGGTGTCCGCTTCGCTTCCAAACATAAATGTTGCAAGCTAGGAATTGACGACAGCTCTGCACCATATGGCCTGGGAGCGTTGGAGAGGAACTGGCCCTCTTGGAAAGACTCGAGCACCGAGGCTGCCGTCGCAACCTCGCAGGAGGGACCAAGCGAGCCAGGCACATCGCCCAACAAATCGGAGGTGAAAGTCAAGAAGATCCTTTGCACCGATGCGTCGAAGTCGAAGCCATCAGAGTCCTTGAAACTTCTCTCGGGCCAGAGATCTTGGAAGGCCTCGAACCTCGAGCGCAGCTCTGTAAGGCTAAATCTCAACCGGCTTTGCGCCGCCTCCGGCAGGTCCGGCAGATCAGAGACATCTTGCGTCGCGTCCGTCGGGTGAATGTCTCCCGTGTCCAGATCAAAGATGGAAAAGTCCCGGTCGGCCGCCAGAATTTCACTCGAGAGCAGGTCGTGGGAGTCTGCAAAGCTGTCTTTCAGGAAGATGTCGCGTAGGCAACCGAAAAGGAATGGAGGAGGCGTTGCCAAATAATCCATCGATGGTAGCAGCGGGTTGTAGCAGTGCACCCAAGCCAGGGGAAACATCAGGATGGATGAGAACGCTTCGCATGCAGTGGTCAGAAACGCAACAGATGAGGAGACAAACAAGACCTTCTGTTCCAAGAGCAGCAAGCGGATTACCAGCAGCAGGGCCGAAATGCTCAATCGTGTAAGCAGTTGCTGGAGGGAGCTCGGAACATAAACGGCAGGAAGTCCACACGCGGGTCTTTCCACCGCACAGAATGGGGATACATCGGATGCGCCGATGCCGTGCAGAAAGAGGGCCGTGCCCGGTGGGGGTGCTGGGACTTCGTGGACCAGCCAACCCCAGATCCGGGCAAAGGTCTGTGCCAGGACCGCGTGGCTCTCGCAGGAATCCTCGAGGCAGCTGTGAATCTTCAGCATCAACTTTAAGAAGTTCGGACTCGCGACTTCCGGCAAATGTGACCATGCGCAGGTTGCCAGGGGCTCCGGGTGTCTGCCTGAGTCACAGAATGTCGCACACCTGGAATCGTCTACCCAAAGTTCGTTACAGCTGGTTTCGAGACTTTTCCCTGCTTTCTTGGCTCCGCACTCATGCCAGACCAAGACTGGTATGAGATCTGCACTCCAACGAAGGTCCGGTGTGTGAAACTGTCGGTCATCACCGTGGAGAAGACCAGCGGCCGAGCGGGGAGGCCCGAGGGGAACAAAATTGCAGTCAAGCCCTCGACGGGCGTTGCCCCGACAGCCAGCAACTGCGCCAGCGTGCGCACACCGCCGCCTTCATCTCCCAGCAAAGCCACGCCGCTGACCAGGGATGAAGGCGTACGGTGCCGCCAAAGTTCCGGGAGCGGAAGCGAGGCCATAGCGAGCACTTCTGGGCCAAAACACGGGTCCTTTCTCTTTCAGCTCCTCTCCTCTTGGCTACGGCTTTGGAGGTTGCAAAGAAGAGCTGTCTGTTCTTGCCAGGCGGCTCGAAGGCAAGGAGCGTCTTCCAACCCCAGTCGCGGTACTTGGAGTCCTTCTGCGGCACTATGTGGCATGCGGTCTGTTCTTAGTGATGCTGAATGCTACTGCGCTACTGACACTTCTGGATTCTAGACCTCTCCTGAGTCAGCTCCCACATGTACCACCAGCCTCATGTCGCAAGCTAGCAGCTAGGCTGCCACACGTAGGCAGCCCCTTTCCCTTTCCATTCCTGCCTTCGACCGCCTCCGGCCTGAGGATGTACCTCGGGAGGAGGAATGTCCCAATTCTCTCGAAGGGAAACGGAAGGGGCACTCTTTCGTGTTGGTCTTGGAGAGGTCCATAGCCTCGCCTTTGACCCTCTCCGGACCGATGCCTGCCAAGCTCTCTTTGCCCAACTCTCTAAGCCAAGTCAAATGCCGTCAAATGCCTGTTGGCTGCTTTTCGTACATCTGCCAGCAAGTGTATGCCTGAAGAAAACCAGAACTACAACGCAGCCTTTGGCTCTGTCTCTCTGGGGCAGCCAAGGAGCAATGCTGTCGGCCAGTTGCATCCGGCGCTGCCTCGACTAAACGACGATGCAGACCGAGCTCGCCCAAATGAGACGCCCCACCGAAGATCATCTGGCGACTGCTGTGCTCCGAGAGCTATCCACCCGGGAACGAAGCAGGTGAGATGCTCCATCTCCTGACAAGACTCAAACTCAACTGAGGCAAGCTGAGTCCCACATCCTCCGACGGACCTGCACGTAGCTGGCACCGGTCGCTTCCCAGGTTGCCGTGCCGAGGTAGGTCAGGCCATCCTAGAATCTGCACAGTGAAAATGAAGAGAGAGAGAGAGGCCCTGTGGCGTATTCAGGTGAGAAGCGGCGCCCTTTTTGACCAAGTGCTTCTCCATACCTTCCACAGCCTTGTCGTACATTCCTGCGCCCCGAGGTTGCTACGGTTCAGAGAGCCGGGCGCACCAGAAAAGCTGGCCTTTCAGGTAGTCTTCTTCCTGGCGCTTTCCGCCCTGTATCCAAACCTGAAAAAAGTTTTTAGCAGCACGACAAATCATCACGAAGAGCAAGAGCCAAAGGCAGGACGCCTTCAACAGGTACTCGTAGAAAGAGTCGCCATCTGCACCTCTGTTGTCTCTTCAAATTCTTCACTAGATTGGCAATTAGCCGCAAGAACACTTCCACTCCGAGCTGCCAAAGGTGATTTTTCCTCTGCCTCGCTCGAAGCAGTTGGGCCACAGCCTCCGAATCGGGTAATATTGGAGCAGAGAGACGCATCGAAGGATCGGATCGCTGATCCGTTTTTCGCTACTTGCCGGGCTCCGGCTCTGTTTCTGGGCTCCCGGGCCCGTCCAAGCTCTTGTAGCCTCTCACCGTCTCCTCTGCAGCCGAGGCTCTCTCTTTTGCACGTTTCTGCTGAGGCTTACTGAGGTTGAGGCGTAGAACTTCATGGTCTTCGCTGCGAAGGTCTGGTCCCCGGTCATGTGGGATAAGTACCGCATCTCCAGCCTTCTCAAACTGTGACGAGGGAGTCTGGCTCTGTGAATGCAGCTTCTGGGAGCCAGGCTGAAGCGTTCCCGACTCTGCCAGGCTTGGGCAACCGCTGCCTGAATTCAAGCATTCAGGGGAGCCTCCAAGTCCTCCTGAGGTCCAGGTCCGAGCCTCCACGTCCGCCGGCGAAGGTGTAGGGAGTGACGCCTCGTAGCAAAAAAGAAAGCCTGCGATCTCCGATGCCTCTGAAACACGGGGGGCCGGGGGCTCCTCTGGCGGTCACCACGGCCAGGATCTTCTGCCCTTATAGTGTCACGAAATGCAGCGCTGCGCCCCTCACGGAAGTGTTCTCTGCTTGAGGCGTTGGCCCATTTTCACTGACAGATCCAGGAAAGCGCTCTCCTTCGGAGCGAGAAGCTGCGCGATCCGCGACCCTCGCGGGCTCTGGATCCGGCCTTGGAAAGGTCATACGCTGCCAGCAGACCACCCAGCCTCAGTGGCACTCGATCAAAGGCGCGACAAAGTCAACAGCTTCTGCCCATCTCGGACACAAGCACACGGATGGTGGTCTCGAAAACCGAGACAGTCTTGCCTAAGCAGTGCTGGGCAGAGAGTTGCAGTCGGCCTGGGGAGGAAGGGAGGGCTCTTGGGCTCTGGCCGATCGCGTTGATCTTGTTGTGAATGTGGGCTACCTGCGGGTCCCCAAGCTCAACTTCGACATCGCCCCCGCAGTCCGAGTCCCGGGCGAGCCAGTCCCTGGCATCGTTGAACTCCTCCTTGAGGCCGGCGAGCCAGAGCCTGGAACACATCACGGACCTGAATGAGCCTATCTTGTGAGGCTAGGGCACGCACGTATCCAGAGAGTCCACCATCGTCACAGCCAGGTTGAAGCCACGGTTTCGACCCCTGCACTCTTCGTGTCACTCAGCTCAGAGTCGCAAGCATGCAAACAAGATGAGAACCAGACTTGCCAGCTATGGGCAGCAGCTCATCGTTGCCCCATGCAAAGGTCTTGTAACACGACCAGGCGTGGCGAATCCTGAGCTTCTCGAGTGCAAGGAATCGGCTTTAGGAAGTGCTCTCTGTGCGAGGCTTGGACGCCTCTCGCACTGCATTGGCACGCATGTCCTGCGTTGTTACCTGAGCAAACTCCGGGTGCGGTCAGCCTGCCAGCGGTCCGTGCCTAAAACCGGGGCCCCCGGCCGAAGACATGAGGAGAGTTAGACCTACCAGGAGCGGTTCTGCTTGTGCAGATCTTAACAAAAGGCTCCACATCTGCACCGGGCCTTTCTCGTGCTCCGCAACTGCCGTGCTGTCCTGGGCTTCAGCTGATTCGAAATGCCACGACGCGTGCTTTGGGCTTGGGCTTCAGGCCACGGGTGGTGCCGTCGGCACAGTAGGCATCTCGCCGTGCCCAGGTGGAAAACAAGCCATGACCTCGCGGGCACAAGGCGCGGACATGCTGAAGCGAAAGCTTCAAACTTCGAGGGCGGTGCCCCGGGCTTCAAGTTGGGCTTTAGGGCCGCTAGGATCTTCATGGAGCCGGCACCCTGCACTGTTCAGCCAAACGGCGAAGAACGCCACGACTTGGCCTCCTCTCCGCTCTCCGCCTCGCCTTGATCCAGCATCCAGAAGGCGGGGAGTCCGAGGAAGAGCTCAGGACGGCCACCGTACAGGCGCCCTCGGCAGAAAGCAGCTGGGAAGAAGAACGCTCGCGATGCGCGACGACAGCAAAAACCGAAATTTGGCCGGCGTCACCGGCGTCTGACGATTCTTGTCCATGCAGATTTGGCAGCATTCCGCCTGGAGTATGACGGTGTCTTGCCAAACAAGGTGGAAGAGGCAAACAGGGGGCCTTGTTCGAGCTAGCCTTGACCATCTCCTCCTTCCCACGTCCTGTGGCGCGGCCATCTTTGTCTGCTAAGACTGCTGCCAGGTGCAAGCGGTGCAGGCGGTGCAGTCACGCGGCACCTGCCAAGAGGAAGTAGTCCACATCCTGCTGGAAGTCGCAGGTCGCGGAGGTCGCAGCCTTCGCAGTGCCGCGCAGCTGCGGCGAGGGCCAGGGCCTCAAGACAGCGGAGCCAACAGAGTGTCGGCCCGTAGCCGGGAAGAACACGATCACGCCGGGCACCAGGCTCTGCCACTCCAGAGGCGCCTGCCAGCTTCGCAAACCTCAGGATTTCGCAGTCGCAGGTCGCAGAGCAAACGCTGGAAGTGCGAGCAGTGCCCTGCCAGCACTTGGGACAAGACTCCGAAGGAGACATCGGAGGTGGTGTGGGTGCTAGCGCCGGAGCCAACTGATCAAGGCGCGCATCATCACGAGCCCTCTGCTGCAAGTCCACCTCAGCGGGGGAACGAGCAAAAGCACTGGTCGATCTAGATGCAGCTGCATGTTCATTTGGGCAACGGCCAGCAGCCTGTCCCTCTCAGCAATTTCCTGTCCCATTGCTTTCAAGACGGCTCATCTCATCAGCTCAAGGTCTCCAGAATCCCACCTCCTTTGCTCGCGATAGTTCTCTTTCCAAGGTAATAACCCTGCTTTGCAACGTTCCGACAACCTGAGCTCAGCTGAGAGCTGCGAGGCTGTGAGAGCTGTCTGGGCTTTTGAGCCTCCTAGGGTCCTAGGGCCTGGCACTCGGCTGCATCTCTGCGGACATCTTTGGCCCGTCCTCTAAGCATCGCTTCGGGTCGGGGCGCCGCTGATCACGAATTAAGTGAGATGAGTGGGGATTGTCGGCTGCCTGCAACTCCCGCCAGATTGAAAAGACGAGTATGGACCTCAAAGTGTAACGCGTGCCGGGAATTTTGAGAGTTTTTGTTGCCACGGCATCTGAGCTCCGGGCCACATGCATACTGCACCCAGCGACGCGAGCCAGCACCTTGACTTGTTCAAATCCCACTACCCACTCGTCTCCCATCGGAGCTTCTGCAGAAAAGGCGCCAGTGCTTTCGGCGCAAGCTGCAGATCCCGGGTGCATCCCCCCCACCTGGAATCAAGACTATCCAGACTCAAGGGCTGGGAAAGCGTCACTCGTTCTTCGATGCAGTTCGTGCTCTTCGGGATCGTCCCGACCTTCTACTGCACCTCGCTGGCGAGGCTTTCGCTGGCGGGTGCCTTCAGACTCGGATCTTCTTCAATGAAAAGCGCAGAAAGCAACGCAAGGCAAGGCCTAAGGAAGAGGTCTTTGCCTCGGGACGGGAACGTGCACAGGGCCGAGGCTGTGCGGCTTTGCGGCTTCTCTCTGAGGGGAGCTCCATCTGCTGCCAGCTGCCATGGCCCACGTACGCTCTGAGCACTCCCGTGGAGCTGTTATCGTAAATTGTTGCCCGTGCTTTCGTCGCTTTGAGTCTGAGTGTTGGTTGAAGTACGGGTCTCAACTGGCTCTGCTGAGCATTGCTGAACTGCGGCTGTGCCAGGTGGCTGAGTGATACGCATTGCTTCTCTACCAGGCTTCGTGTCGTGCTCCGAACAACTCCAAAGTGGCTGCTGCCGCCCTGGCGTGGTCATGGAGTCTACGTGTCTATGACGAGCAAGGGGTCTGACCATGGTACAGTACAGCATCCGCGCAAGCACAAGCACGTCCGCAGCTAGGCGCTGTTTCAAACCGCGCTGAACACTCGCATCTTATGCAGCGCGTTTGGCGTGCGGGGTCTGTTCTTCAACCTGCCCTGCATGCTCATCAAGCAGAGCATGTGCTGACTTTGTGGCAGGGAGCTGTCATCTTTGTGAAACGGTGGATAACCTGTTCTGCAACGAAGGATGCCTCAGCCCATTCCGGGCCTAGCTGAAAGAAGCCGCATGTGCTCTGCACCTCAATGCATGGGGATGCAAGGACAGGCAGAATGCAAGGAAGCGCAGCTCCGCTGGCTCGATCTGGTCTTGGCTTTGCACAACGACTGCGGCCAAGGCGGGGGCGGGAGATGGATTGCGCGAGTAGCCGATCTCACTGTTGCCGCAGGGGTGCCCGCGCCTGCTAATTCGGGTCTGAGCTGGGCATCCATCCCTCCATCCCTCCATCCCTCCATCCCTCCATCCCTCCATCCCTCCATCCCTCCATCCCTCCATCCCTCCATCCCTCCATCCATCCATCCATCCATCCATCAAGGTCATGTATATGCCCACCTCCCTGCCTACCCGTACCGCCCGGCCGACCTCTCCCCGATTAGGCCTGCGCCTGGACTCCACCCTGGAAGCTCTTGCCTCACTCGAGAAGGACCGACTCGACCAGCGATCGAAGCAGCGGAAGAAGCACCGGCCGCACTTGTCAAGGAAGCCTCGCTGTCGGTTTCAGCTGAGACACGCAACTAAATTCCTAAGAGCAGTCTGAGTCTGAGCAATGCCCCCTCCTGCCTCTTGAGGATGCCAAGCTCCCCTGGCATGGGAACACATGGATACAATGCCCCTGCTTGCGCATGGAGACTTCCGGTGCAAGCTTCGGCCGCCACATAGTCGTACGTATGCTTACCCTTGTCTTGCTGCGCTGCCAGAACTCTCCACGACTGCCACTGCATAAGACCTGCAAGTCCTGCACCCGAGCATGCTCTTGGAGACACGGCTTCTACGATTCGCACTTTCGAAGAGCTGGGGCCGAACTTTTGCTCCGTGCTGTGAGTCGTGTGCACCGTCGTGATCATTCGCGCCACGTTGCCGCGCATTTGTGGGCTGTAAACAGTGTTCTTAACAGGCCACTCAAGCTTTACCTGGATCCAGGATGCAGGGAAGACCAGCCGATTGCGCGGGCTTCTGCTCGAAAGTCCACCACGCCATTGCAAAGTTGGGCAGACTTGTGCCATACGGGCTTGAAACCTTTCTGCGGTTCGCCGTTCTTGGCCAACCCAAAGCTCACATGTGCGCTCGACGGGACTTGACGATCATCTTGACCCATGGAACACATAGAGCATGCACCAGCCTCTTCGAGGCTCAAGGACTCTGGCAGCTCATCCACCGAGTCCAGGAGGAAGTAGTGAGTGCCTCAGACGTCAGAACGCAGGCTGAAGCCCTTTCATGGCGTTTGTCTCCTCCCCGGGGCTGAGGCCCAGATGGATTATCAAGGGCCGCATCTGTCGCAGCTCATCGAAGGAGGGCCGTGCGCGGTCGTCGGGGCGACCCTCGGCCACGGGTTCCTGGCTGCGGTGTCATCGTCGTGGATGCAAACGAAGCTCTTGCTCATCGGTCTCGCAGCTCATGAAAGTGACTGCTGGGATCCCAGCCGCTGTGATCAAGCGGAAGCCTTGCCTTGCGAAGCCACTCCATTCACAGCGTTGCTTCTTGCCTATTGCCTAGTACATGGATGGGTGTTCTAAATCATGGTCCTCTCTAGAAGCCCAGGCCATACTAACCGACAGGTTAGATGAAGGGAGCACCAATCTCTAACAACCACCCGTGATCTCCAAGCACCGGGCTCGTGCAGCCGACGACCCGCATCGCGCAGAGCGTCCATCTTGGCCATTGGAACGAGTCTCTGTCACTAATTCGGAGTTGCTATCTGATATCTCTGACAACTCTGATACCTGATACCTATTTCCGGGCAGGAGGCATCGGAAACATCCACGTTGACCTGATCGACGACGGGGAGCCCCGCAGCGGCCAGCGCGAGCATGGTGTGGTCCTCGGCAGCGCAGCCAAGCCCCACAAAGCTCCACGGGTAAACAGTGCCCCTGGCTCAGCTCTGGCTCAGCTCCCTGCGCCAGTCTCCTCCGAGGCATGGAAGTCCGGCGTGACCTGGATGCACGTGGGTGCATCTTGGGCTCTAGTGACTCGGAGTTCTGGCCTCCACCACAGGGGTCCAGCGTCGGCAGAGCTTCGTGCACAGGAGGGAGAGTTCGGAGTGCGTGAGGAAGCAGTTGGTGTCCTTTAAATCTTTAGGTGCACGTGGGATGCCGCGCAAGAAGGCTTGCGAGCCTGGATCCCCCGCGCCCCGAGCTCATTGGAGACCAGATCCAGGTGAGATCCGCGGAGGCCGTTCCTGCACTGGACTGCAGGACCAACGCTTTCGGGTTTGGCGACGCTGAGACCAAAAGGCGCGCCTGAGGCACCTCAGCTTGATGTCGGCGATGTTCCAGAGCCGCTCCCAGATCCGATCCTCCGCGTAAAAGAAACGCGGATGAGATGCCCCCCCCCCCCCCAAACGGCTCCGCAAAATGCGCCGCAATCGGCGCCGGCTCGGCTCCTCGGCTCCCGGGCGCTGGCCGCCGGCGCGCGCCTCGGCGGCCGCGAGGCGCAGCGGCTCCAGCTCCTCCAAAACCTCAGCCACAGCAGTAAAAGAAGAAGAAGAAGAAGGCTGAAGCCCCCGAGAAGCCGAAGAAGGGCGAAGTCTCTCTCTCTCAGAGAGAGCTCTCTCGGAGCTTGGTCTGCTGGCTGGGGCGCTTGGAGCTCTCGGCTCCCGGCTCTCTGAAGAGCCCGGGGCAGGTCCGTGCCCAGGAGGTAAGCCAAGCACCTGAGAATGCCCGCAAAACAGAGATGGTCAACACCGAAACCAAGTTCGACCAGCACCACGTAGTGAGGCCGAGGCCAAAAGCCGCAGAAGCCATCATCCTGCAAGACTCGTCCATGTAGAGTGTCGCTGCCCGCTACCCTCGCTCAACATGGTCCACGGCACGGGCCTCCACCGCCACTACCCCGCAGCGCCGCCGCAATTCCTGCGTGGGGATATCTCTTGAGCATGGTCGGTTCCACTTGTCATGCTAGACTAGAAGTCTCGCAGAGTGTTGGCCCGAAGAGCCTCCGGTGTTCCGGGCAGGGCGACCCCGCGTTCTGCTGCTCCGATTGCTCTCAAGAATACCTGAAATTGCAGAACCCTGCTGCAACAACACCAAAACTTGGCCTTCCACTTCACTGCTGAACGCAAAAAATCCCCCGGACAAGCGGGTTGCCAGGCTTTGAGGCCCCGACAGCAAAGCCAGCTCTCTCGAGCCACTGCCGAGGGCTCACCTCAAACAAGGTCCCATCTTCGGATGTGGGTTCGAGCAAGCAGCTTGGAGTTCACAGGAGCCATACTACCACACCACTTCCCATTGTTTTGGCAGAGTGTGGAGTGTTGTCAGAGCTGTAGATAGGTTGTGCATTGGCAAATGTTATCGAGCTGCCCCCGCAACTCCGCTTCCCAAAATCCCCAAAGCCCGAAACCCAAAGACACACCGAAGACACCCCAAGCAGGCCTCCTCCTCGCAGGGCCAGGGGCTTCCAAATCTCGGGGCACGCTGCGGTGGCCTCTCGCCGGTCCTTTTCAAGGAAAGAGCAGGCTGCCCGTCGAGATGAGGGCGTGGGTTGCTTTTCGCTGGGCTTCGAGCATTTCGTCGTGCTTCAAGCGAAATGCTTGTTAACAAGACCGTCGCATGCTAAGTTAACGAGAAAAGGCGAGCAGTGCCCCGAAGATCAAGAGGGCAGTCTCGGTCCTGATCAGAGCTCCCCAGCACTGCTCGAAGTGTCCGAGAACCAAGGGGTCTCCAAGAAGAAACTCCTTGGCCACCTGGGAAACGTTTTCGGGCTCCCCCCCCCTCCTCCGACTCCTCCTCGCCAACGCTCAGACGCTGAGGCCGCGGACTTCCACCCGAACCCAGGCGGGGTCGGAGCCCCGGCTCCGCAGTCGGAAGTTCCGATCGCCATCCTTCGAAGCCAGTTTTCGCTCCGTCTTGCCGTTGCCATGGGGCCACAGGTACGCCTTCTGCTCGATGCTTTCGAAGGAGCCCACGTAAATCCTGAGCGCAGATATCGGAAGCCCCGTGCAGCTAGAGGGCAGCCCAGCCCATTGTCCGAGGCTTCGTCTTTGGTGCGGCGCCTGTGTAGCCCTTCCGCTCAGGGCCCATGGCAACGGCCTCCAAGGAACAAGCCGAGCTTCATTGCCGAGCTACATCCCATTCCGTGTCTTCTCGGGCGGCCTCCGGGAAGGAGCCCCAGCCATTGCCTCCCACAGGCTGACACTTAGCACGAACTCAAACTGCTTCTACTTGGCAGGGCCTGCATGCACGTAGAAGACGCTCTCGGGGTCCTGAAGCATGCAAACATGTTGAAAGCTCGGATGCCTTTGCTCTGTGCCCGTTTAGCAAGTCCTGCTGACAGTTCGGCTCATCCGTCAAAACCGTCATTGCGGCCAGTGGGCTTCGGCGCTCGCATCAGCAAAAGTATCTTCTGATCACTCCCACACATCGAGGGTGCATGTCTCAAATGTCTGGAGCAAAGGTTGCACATGTCATTCCAAACTTTTGCAATTTCTACAGATTCTTGATGGAGCATTATCCTTGAGGCAGCTGCGACATAGCTTGAGGTACTTCTCCTCCCCCCTCTGTCTGCTGTGGAGGTTCCCGTGTCTCATGCTGACCCTTTTCTTTCTCGCGCCCCGCCGCTCTCGGCCGAATGCAGTAGGCTCTGTCACATGGCTCCGCCGCACGGACTGTGCTTGCTGGCGCTGGCACAGCTACATCACAGAGCATCTTGGACCTTCCGAATCTGAACCTGTGTGGTAGCCACCCACGCGGCATTCCTTCTTGCCGTATCCTGCGTTGAGGCACTCCGACAAAGCAAAGCCTGCCACGTTGCAGTCCTTGGCCGACAACCCGGCTCCATGGAAGTCTTCGACAGTGTAGCCAGCCTCGCGAAATTTGTCGGCAGTGAAATCATCCTTTGCCGCATCATAGCAGTCCCGAAGCTGGATTCTCGCCTTGTGGAAATGCTCCGGGCCAAACTCCAACTTCTCAACAAGATCTCTGCACGAGCAATGAAGTTCTTGTAGCAGGTGCTGACTGCCATCGCCAGCATCCAGAAGCTCATCCGCAGTGAAGCCAACCTCTTGGCACACAGTGAGATTCAAAACATCCGCCTTGCGGAAGTCCTTCGCTGCATAGCCTCCCAACTTGCATGCTCTCAAAGTAAACCCTTGTGCATGCATGTCCATCATGCTTGCCATCCCCGTCTGTCTGTGCTTTGAGACCGCCTCTCCACATACGACCACAAAGGTCTCGGAGGTCTGGCAGTCTTCCCGCACCGTGTCTTGCAAGCGGTCGAAGTAATCGTATATAGGAGCAAACAGCGACGACCTTTTTTCTATGTCTTTCTCAAGGTTCAGCGTGTCGAATGCCCTGTCTGTGTACTCTTTCAAGGCATCTAGGAGACCATGTCTGATATCTTGGGAGCTCAACAATCCAGAAGAGGACTTCGCACACAGCTTGAAAAGCTCCTGGGCCTCGTTCATCTGGATGCTGTGCAGCTGAGCCGTCTTCCTTGCCAAGACCAACTCCTGACCAACGGGTATCAGAAGACCCTTGAGGAAGCTCACAATGGCTGAAACGGCCGCAAATCCAACCGAGCCGACTTCGTCGCGATGCCTCAGCGTGAGCGCCAGGCCAATCAATCCCTGGGGTAAGTCTTCTGTCCATGCGATGAGTAGCCTTGCGCCGCTGACGAAGTCAGCAAGCTTTTGGTCCATCTGCTCATAGCAAATATTACTCAGGTGCGCCCGCGGCAGCTCATAGCATCCGCCGCACGAACCTCGACACTGGTCTACGGTGTCCTTTGTGCGCTCCTCATCCTCGTCGGTTGGCTCTTCGAGTTTATGCTTGCTGCGCTTCGGTCGTGTTGACAGGATGCCCCGATAGACTCGTCTCAGATCACGTGCAGCTTCTTCGTTTTCGGACACTTTCACATAGGAGATGACAATGACGTATCCAGAAAGCAAGAACAAACAACTGCCATCAGACATTACCCGCAGGAGCTCCGCGGGAGCCGCCTGAATTTCACTGCTGGAGGTACTCTGGCACTGTCTGCCCGGCCAAATGCCGCAAGGCCACAAACCCCACACTATCAAGCTGATGATGCATGCAAAGACCGCAAATGTCAAAAGCATCGTCAGTGGAGGCCAAAGAGAGTATCCACCCAAGCGGAATGGGAACGTATTCGGTGCACGAACACACCACCTTAACAGCAAGTCTGATATCATATAAACACACCCAGTGGCGAAACCTTCCAAAGATGGAGCTGCCATCAAACAAATGCCAGTTACGATCCAGTCTTTCATCGTGTCTGCCAGCTCACTGAAAAGAGGGAGCGTGTACAGCAATACTGTCACGAAGGTTGAAGAAGCCTCCAAATCGCTTGCTTCCATACGATAGCTGCGCAAGACGTTTTGAATGAATAGCCGCACAAGCACACGTGCTGCCAAATGGCCCACAAATCCCATGCAAAGCTTCCTCCTCCTTTGATAATGACCCATCCACCGCCCATCGCAACTGCCACAAGGGCCGCACAGAAAGCATGGTACATGAACAGCACGATAGTAAAGCGGAATGGCGGATCGGTACATGGACCAGGCGGCACGCGCGACAACATCTCACCAGATGTGGCACGAGAGGATACGCGCGATACGGTGCGAGATGACCTCGACTCCTCTGCATCCTGACACAACGGGAGCCATGCAGCAGACTGCGGAAATGTCCGCTTCATGTAAACAGCAATCCATCTGAATGCTTCGCAAAGAATGCCCATCAACACCGGTCCAATGAGAAGGAATGGCACCCAGTAACGCAAACGATGTCGGCCCTCGTCTGCATCCACGGTTGACAACTGCGGCAACAGGCGGGGCGGCTTGATAAAAAAAGGCAAGTTGCAGCTCTGCTTGGAGAAGGCACACGGGGAGCTCCTGACTGAAAGTCCAAAATGCTTCAACGAGCTCGGTAGAACGGGGACAACTGCCGTTGAGAACCAGAGCAAAGCAGTTACGGTTCAATGAGGAAAACACGATTCATTGTCAGCTCAGGCTCAAGATCCAGCCAATGATGTCGGGAACCTCCGGCAACCACATCCATTGCACCGAACCGTGCACAACTTTGTCATCGCCCGAGAATGACCCGAAGGCCGCAGTCGTGTTGAGGCCATGGCTTTGTGTTGGCAGCTCTGCCATACAGGACTAAACGCACCAACATCCACAGCTCGTGCTAGGCCAAAGGCCTCCACGGCAGCGCTCGAGTCTGACAAATCACTACAGACAACTCTGCCGGCGGCCATGCGAACTATTGCTTCTGGGCAGTGCACATGCCTGCACGTGATCCCAAATTCGCTTGTCGCAGTCGTATGTTATGCATCACAGAAGCTCACAAGAAAACTTTTTATCCACAGACCCTGCCCAACCCGCATCTGTCACTACTGCCCATGCATGCTCTTTCTGCAATGTAGAGAGCTAGCGCTGACAGCTTCACCGATCAGCCAACTTCTAACGGTCGCTGCATCCTTGACATGGTCACCCTTCCGAACCAAGCGTACGTCCCGCAGACCCGGGCTCCTTCTTTAAGCATGGACCGTTGATTTAAGCCAAGCCTGCAAACAACACGCACATGCCCGCACTTCGTGTGCAAGCTGCTTGCAGGCCGATGCAAGGCTAGCTATGCTTTTGTAAACGGGCTCTTCAGACTCTCGACTCCAGGCCGCCCAATCAGCCTTGTATATGAATATTGCCCTCGCACAGGAACGATCACAAATTCTTGCCACGACAAATCCGGGGCCTGCTGGCGACCCCCCTTGGTAGCCATGCCTGAGCGACAAATGGCACGGCTGCTACGGGTTTGCACAGCAGTAAGGAAGACCTCGCGAGCAGGTGGTCTCAAACGTGTCCGAACACCAATACCGCGTGATCTACACCGGAAGATGTGGAACAGACGGCAGGCAGGGCAAGTCGCATCCTGATTCCAACGTTCAGCAAGCAGCCGTTCGGACGTCTGATGGATCAGGTCGGAGTCGCGGTGTGCCACGGCTTCGGTTGCGCTGTTAGTTTTCAACGTATGTTTATGCGTGCAGATGCGAAGGTGTGCATACGCTTGCATGCGCATTCGTGCACATGTGTGCATGCGTGTATATGTAATAATGTGGGTGCATATGTGTCTATTGCGATATGTCTGTGTGCAGAACTGTACGTAAGTGTGCACATATGTATATATGCATGCATGTATGAATCTGTTCATGTATGCATGTATGTATGCATGCGAGTATGCATATATGTATGTATGTACGTATGCATGTATGTATACCCGAAAAATTATGAATGCGAAACCATCTGGCGTAAGTCCGCCACGCTCGGTCGCCTCATGGCGCCTCGAATCTTCCATGCACTTTTAGCATGCACACAAATCATGATCAAACGAGACGCGTATGCTGATGATCCGGGCTGCGGGCGACCCACACTCGCTGAGAGCAGGCTGCAGCATGTCCACAGGTGTGCGCATGAGCCCAGATGCCAATTCAGCAGATTCGCTCGGCACAGTCTCTGGCTTTGCACCACTCACGCCCACACGCACACTATTATCCACAGCCCGCGCCACACCGCATCTGTCGCTAGTGCACTGCTACCCCGAGTTGCGCTTTCTGCAACGTAGAGAGCTAGCGCCGACAGCTGCACCGATCAACTAGCTTCCGACTGTCGCTGCATGCTTGACTCCTTGACATTGTCAGCCTCCGTAGTGCACGATTACGAAACTCCAGTGCTCGGCCTCATGTGGATGGCTCTGTGGGCATGCACTCAGGCAACGAACGGCCGACCCCATCAGCCATCGCGCTGCCGTGGCGCGTTCCTCAGCAGGCAAGCTTCTGCGAGGACCCGTTTTGCAAAAGACGCCCCGCCCTTCCCCTTTGTGCCGAAGGTCTTGATGATGTCATCCACTCGGATGATCATCTCTGCCGCCTGTCAGCCGGCGTACCAGCAAACACACATGTCACATACCTTCGACAACAGCACTTTGTGTATCACATGCTGCGTCCAAAACGATGTGCTCACCAGGCAGCCGGACTGCAAAACACTTCGCGGCCTCTGCAGCAGAGCAGAGCTGCGACATCTTGCTCCTGAAGGACTCCATGATGCCCAGCCTTGCACACAGCAGCTGATTCCAACACTGCCACAATATATCTCCTTGTAGAAATGCTAGAACCCACCACTGGCCAAAACAAGACTGATGATGCTACTAACAAGTGCAATAATATCTGCAGCAGGGCGGACATATGAAAGCAGAAAGTAAACATCACCTTGCTACCGTGATCAATTATGCAATAGAAGTCAAACGAGAAGGGTTACATGGAGCAGCTAAAGAACAGTATGAATAGATCACAATGAGCCTATTGGCGGGGAAGACAAGGGCCGAGTTAGAAAAGGAAAAGCTCGCAAAGACCAGCACTTGCAACAAAAGCTGCTCCTTCTTGACGGTTCATGGCTCGGCCTTTCAGGCTTCTGAGGCCCGGGCTGCTTCATGTCAGCCACGCCACCAGAGCCAGAGGTGAACTCCAAGCCGGTGGAGTGCTCTCCTGGCTCCAAGGCTCCAGGGTCAACGTCCCAAGTCTGAGGCGACTCGAAGATGCCTTTGGCGTGCGCTGCTCGCAACTGCCCCGCCAGCTCCGCCGAATCCAGGCCTCGCAAGCTTCACAGGACGTTTAGGCTCCATACACACAACCGAAGTTATCCGAGCCGGAACGAATTTCACTGCTTGATGTACACATGGGGCTCGGGGTGCCCCCTTTCCTTCCCGGACAGCCCGGGGTCCAAGCCAGCATTGTCGGCGAGGATGACTGGGATCTGCCTTACATACTCCAGTGTACTCCAGTAGAGCCCAAGAATCGACTGGCGCAGCGCCGCGTGCAGAGCGTCAGCCGAGGAGCGTCAAGGCTTTGCCAAAAGCCTCCATGGCTGCGCTCTCCTTGCCGCCCACCTCCAAAACGACAACAGAAAAAACGAAGCACAAAGGCAAAAAACAGAAAACGCTGCAAACAAAGGCGCCTCTGTGAGCTTCTGCTGCACCTCCTGCGCCATGGCCTGGTATCGTTGCCGTTGCGCTAACTCTGCTTGGGCACTCTCTGTTTTGACCTTAGGCCCCTCAGGCCTTAGGCCTCATCTGGTGCATGGCACGCTGAGACACCCCTTTGCCCACTGACTTTGACTTATCCTTTCTGCTGGGCCCCACACCATCTCCATGGCACCGCCGCCCCAAACCTCGGCGAATCCGAGCAACAGGAGCGTGGTACGAGTAAATAGGTGGTGCGATGTAGTAATGTATCATCATATCATCTTTCTCGCATGCGGTGGGAGGGAGGAAGAGCCATGGCTTCATCAGCAAGCTGTAACCACATGCTGCCAACCCACCAGAACCAGTATGCACTCGTTGCCACTGTTCCATCCATAAAACTGGTGATGCCAAAGACGCCTTTGCACTGCCTGGACTTTTCAAGTCCCGCCGCTTCAAGGCAGTCCCCACTTCTCCCGTCACAGTCCGCTGGGCATGGTCCACCAGGCAACTGCTGCAAAGAATATGTGTGAGCTGATCCAGCGTGCCCGAGTCCGAGTGCTTCAGCCAGCTGCAAGGGCAATGGAAAGCAAACGAGACCTGGATGACACGTAGAATCTAGAAACAAAGGCCCCGGCGACTCGCGTCTCCTGTCACACGTGTGAGTATTTTTCTCGACTCCTCGTCGAGTCTTCAATGGCACCACGAGACGGGGGTCCGGGGTCCTGCACTGTCTGGTACAGCACTGCCAGGGCATCGTGCAGGGAGCGTTCGGCCTGGGAGAACGGGGCCCCTGCCCTCCCTCGGCCTCGTGAGCTAAACCCAAAAAGCCGCCTCGTCCAAGACGTGCGTGGAGCTGCCTCGCAGCCTCAGCCGCGAACAAGTGCCGCTGAGCCCTCGTTGGGCGGTGTTATAGGCAAGGGTTAGGCTCCGAACACGATGGTGCAAGCTTCGCCTTTGGAGCAGCCAGAGAACCTCAAAGCCACAATGCTCCAGGGGCAAAGGCCCATCCAAAACGAGCTGCAGCCGGGCCGTGCTGCCACAAACCTTCCACCTCTTCTGAATTAGGCTCCCCCCGTTTGCGCAGATTCAAACGCTTCACTTTGGTGGGTGCGCGCCGCGAAGTCTGGGTGCCATGCTTGATGACCTTGTCTTCCCCTTGGCCGTGGAAAACTGCCACGCAATGGTGTATCAACGGCCCACTGGTTCAGGAAACTGGCAGAACACACTTAGGCAATCACCAATCATGATCTCTTCGATCTTTTTGCACGTGCCAAGCGTCGTTAGCTCTGGGTTATCAAAAGTGGAGACCTCGGACTCCGAGCGATCTCGTGGGGGCCAGATCTGCACCGTTGCCTCGTGGCCGCTGGGGCTAGGGAGGCCACAATGTCTGCTCCGAGAACAGCGGCCAAGCGCTCGGAACCATCGAAGTCCTCGGAGAACGAAGAGCTACAGCCATGCGTCTCTTGCACGACTGCAACTCCGCACATCGGCCAGACCGGTGCAGGAGGGTCAGCACTCTAAGACGGAAGATGAAGGCGTGGATACCAGTGTTGCATTGTGGCATTCGGGACACACGAAAGCGGATGTACGCACGCTGCGCGGCACATGGCGGACCCAGCACCAGATAGGAAAAGTCTGACTTACCGGCTAGAGCGACATGACAGTGCCATATGTGCCGTACTGGACAGCTGCTTTAAAATGTGCGGAACCGTTCATCACGACTTTCCAGTAACACGTGCGACAATGGGATCAGCACAGTGCTGTGATTGACAAAAGAGGTTTTCTGGTTCCCATCCACTACCAGTGCAGCAGCATCACGACACCTTCGGCACATCCTTAGCCTTGGCCATGGACCGAATGCTCGATCGCCATGACCCCCGAATCCTTGAGCAACTGATCCTTGGAGCCATGTTGATGTCAGATTTTTGCAGAGCTACTTCAAGGCGAGACGAAGGTTCAGAAGCTGAGATCCTAGCAGGATAGTTGTAGATCAACTGCCGGTTGATGAAGACCTGTCTCCATGAGCAGAAGCAGCTGCGGTATTCAGAATCCACTCCCATGACCCGGGGACACGCTGGGCGCCCTTGCATTGCACTTGTGTGCGGCGATCTTCTCTATCTTTGCCTTCATCTTCTCCTGGCTCCGTCGGTCAGGGCCCTTGCGCTTTGCAGATCTTGTCGGCCTTCTCGGCTTGCTCGATCTCCGCCACGGCTTCCAGGGAGTCCACCTTTCATCAGACAGAGCCGGGTCAAGCTCCCATGATCCTGTGAGCTCCTGATCTCAGGCGGCAGTGCCTTGCCTTCACCCGGGCACCATAGATCTTGATTTTGTCCGTGTCCATTTGACAGTTTGCCACCAGAACCTGTCAGCTGGAGAAGCACGATTCTGCTGTCTTGCCGGGATCACCACCTGCCTTGCAATCTTCGAGCAGCTTCTTATGGCCTGGGGCAGCGATAGCAGAGGTTCTCCGACAGAGACACAGTGGCAGGGGTTCCGGCCAACACCAATCCTCTTCTCCAGGATGAACCCCTGTGAGTTTATAGCCGCAGAGTCGCACATCTGTCAGAACCCCGAATCCAGTGCCCTCCGCCTCCTCCAGGAAGGAGTCCTTCAGGGAGGCCCCGGGCTTTTTCAGCACCTTTCAGGTTTCACAGCACGGGGCTGCTGGATGCGCAAAGGGTGCAGGGCGCCTGGATGTAGTCCAAATTGGGCCTCGAGATCTCTCAACGATTCTCCGCCCCCCCGTTCTTCGCCAGCGATTACCAACCAGTCACCCGCTCGGTTCGGTGCTTGCCACCCAGACGAAGAACTGCATCGACGGCCAGCGTCGCAAAATGGTCCTTCTCGTGCTGTAGCCTCAAGAAGCGGCCCAGCACCAGCGCATTCAAATTGACAGCTAGCATTCAACAGACGCAGTGGTGCGTCGTCACCTCACATTCCAAAAACCCATACGCGCGTAGCCACGAATGTTTGAAGGCAACTCAGAAGTACACCAAGGACCATCAGCAGCTTCGTGGGGCTCTCGCTTCGCCCCCCAAGGAGCCCCACAGCGAACGCACAGGCACCGAAAAGATCACCAAAAAAGCCCGGCGAAGGCACAACCTTCACTCACGCAAGCAAAAGGCACATTAGGTCCACCCAGCCGGCAGAAGAAAGGACGCAAGAAGAAGGCACATTAGGTCCACCCGGCCAGAAGAAGAAGAAAGGAGACGCAGGAATGCCACGGAATATCAAATCACCCCACAGCCCCAGAAGCTTCGCACTGCCAATGCCAACAGTGCAACGGGCAGGTTCGGAGGCTTTCCACCGCGCATTACCGAGGCGCAGCTTGGACCACGCTGGAACGGCACAGTAGCAACAGAAGACTGGCCAACGAACGCCGCAGACGAGCCAGGGCCAGAGCAACAAGTGAGCTATGACGTATGGACACATCACCGTACCACCGAGGCCCGAACAGCTTGGAGCTCAGAGTGGTCCTTGCTATCCTCAGGAGGTCCTGGCTCTGAACTTGTGGATGCGAAGAGGGAGCTGGACAGAGGTAAGAGATGGAGATCTGGGAAAGTGGGGACAGAGGTGACAGAGGGATAGACACATGACAGACAAGAACGCAGGGAGAAACTGCGCGTGTAGATACAGATAGGCAGATAGGTAGCTGCACAAAACATAGATAGGCAGCTGGAAAGACATATAGGTTGATAAAGTCAGCACGGTGTACAACAGTACAGAATCGGAGAACACAACATCACTTCCGGAAAGATGTGAGCAGGGTTTATCCGGAGCTGATGCAGCTGTTTGCAGCAATCACCCGCTCCTCGCGAAATTTCACAGGATCGCTGCCGTTGTCCATTGCCAATGCTTCTAGCCTGAGGGCAATTACCCCGCATGCTCCCCCAGCATAGCTTCATGTACTTGAACAGCTACTTCAGTAAACCAATGGCAGCCATCTTTTGCTGAGACGTGCTCTGTCTACTTTGTTTTCGGCATCGGTTTGGCCAAGCCCTGCACTTGGCCCGAGCGACTGCCAAAGCCATGCGGTAGCCTCGGATGATGACCTGCACAAATCTCTCCCTCTTTCTCTTGACCGAGCTGCACCTCCTCCTGACTGTAGCGCGCCGAAAGCAACCCTCCAACGACGAAAGGACAAATCACATCAAGCACCACTAAGGCAAGTGATGCCTGGCAGAGCCAGCATCGCAAAATCAGCAAGGCAACTGACAACGGCCTGTGGATGCATCTTCGCCTCCACTAGATTCTGTGCCTCGTCAACTCTTGGACATCATGGCCAACACATCCCCACCTCTTCCCATTCCTCCGCACTTGTGAATAAAATCTACATGTTGTGGCTGATGGCTCAGGGCACTGCATTTCGCAGCATCTCAGCTGCAAGCACCACAACTGATGTCCTTTGCACGAGACGTCTTGAATCTTCCGCTTGATACACATGTGTGTGTATATATATATATATATATATGCTCTATATATATATATATATTGCACTCGAAGCTAGCGTAGCTTCCCGGCGTCTGAGCTGCACACGTGCCATCACCACATTCCTGATCCTGTCCCATGCAGAGGGCAGAAGTTCGGCGAGTCTTTCAAAATCGCCGAGGTGAAGGAGGGATCCGAGCAGGAAAAAGGCAAATGAAAGCAACCCTTGTCTGCCGCTGGCCTGTGTCTTGGAGATGTCGACCAAAATCCTGTGCCAAAGAACAGGAGGTGCAAACGACACGCTGTTTTTCATAGGAACTTGCTGCTGTGACTCCTGGCTGCAGGGTTGTCGATCCATACGGACTTCAGGATCGTGGCTCCATCGTTGGTCACAGTGGCGTCTGTTATGCACAGGTCATGCATCAAGAGCCCAAACGCCGCCTCTAGTCTGAGCTGCTGGCTGGACCCGGGTCCCTGGCCAGCAGGCTGCAGGATCTTGTCCATGCCTGAGGATGGCGGCAAAGGCATGATGCAAAGGCAAAAATCCAGTTCTCTTCTGCCTTTTGGTCCCAGGGTGGACTTCACCATGTCGCCAATAGCTATAGCTCCGATGAAGGCCTCCGACAAAAGAGACTTGGCCGAGGCAATAAGGGAAGCCCTGAAGCATCCTCTCCTCTCTCCTCTCTTCTCTCTCCTGCCTGCAGCCGGGCGAATTCGCCTGCTCAGTGCTTGGGGTCGCATTGCCGCTCAACATCCGCTGCCGCTGCGCTCAAGCTGCGCTCAAGCTGCGTTGGAGGCCCCGCCTCGGTCTTCGCCTGCGCCTTCCTTGAAGATCTCGGGGCCTCCAAGAAGTGCCTTGTGCCTGCCGAGCCAGAGCTTGTCGAAAACAAATCGGGCAGGTCAAACATGCCCGGCTGTCATCTTGAAAAGAGGCTCAAAGAGGCTCTAGCTCCAGTTGTGGAGTCGTGGCACGTGCATTGGAGCCTTCCCTTCGAAAGACGCTGCGGATGCACGCGGCAGCTTGAAGACGCCCCTAGACGGACTTCAACAAAAACCCTTGCCCAGCATTCAGGAGGCCAAAGCTCTTTTGATAGCTCCCAAAGCCCTGCATCGCGGTCTTTGCAGAGGTCCACCATGCACACGACAAGCTGTAACCGCACAGATGCCTGCACTGGTTGCTAAGGTTAGGAAGCAGGATTGGTTACACGTCATGGTGCTGGCGGGTTCCCCCGAATACTCCGAAATGAGGAGCAGTGTCCAAGGCAACACACACGACCCAAGTCTCGATCCGCACCCTGACCCTTTACGCTCTACTTCCGACCAACTCTGAAAGACTTTCCTTGGACTCTGCAAAATTCGACTCTCACACAGTTGGAGCGTCCAAAACCTACTCGCTGCACCTTCCCCACTGACGAGCGCAGCTTCCCGTCTTCACCGATGCTCTGAAGTGGGGAAGGCATGAGCTGGCCGAGTAGATGCCAGCGTGCAGAAAACACGAGGCCGCCATCAAAATTGGCCTGCCGCCGACTTCGGAAACGCAGCCGCGGTAAGGGCCGCAACGGGCTGTGGCCCAAGCACTGCCAGTGATGGCTCACTGGGACTTCCACTTCGCTAGGCCTGCGGCTAACCCCTCTCTGAGCTTCTCTGCAACTTCAGGGCTCAAGGCTCAAGGAACAAAGCTGTACGGCGTCGTGCTCGCAGGGGCTCGCGCACTCGGACACGTCCACGGAGCGGAACTCGGATTTTCCAAGGTCGAGCTTGACCTGTCGCTTCCGAGCGGGACAGCCGGAGAGCAATGGATAAGATGGACCAGGTACTAGCACTGTCAAGTAGTCGCTGTCATGGTGGCTGTAAGCAAGCGGTAGGCTTGCGGAGGCCTCATTGCCGAAACGGAAACGAACAGTGTCTCCGACAGCAAGGTCCTGAAGACAACACGGAAAATCTGGCTCTGCATGGAATGCGAAGCTGCTCCCTATGCACCCTCGTCAGTACACTGGGCCACAGTGGACGAAAGACATCCTGTTTATGCCTCAAGACAATCTTTTGCATGCGTTGTTAGTGCTTTTCAGGCCCCTGCCAGGGTTTGCTGTTCCAGATGACACGACGGAACCTCATTTTTCCGAATGTGCCAGAGCCAGAAAGATACGCTCGCTGAATATGTTGAAGCTGATGTCGGCATGCATGAAAACATTTAGAAAGTGAATCCTTTAGGATAGGTCATCGAAAAAAGCCGCCAGTATCCGCACTCGAGGCCGTCGCAAGAAGTACTTAAGAAGAACAAAAAACGAGATGAAGCCTTGCTGTACGTGGAACCTAGAAGCATCCTGAAGCTGCGAATTCGAGAGACGCTGCGCTATGGGCCCTAGATCTCAAGTGCAACTTTAAATCCAGTACTCAATGATTGGAGGACGCAGGGAAGCAACACCGGAAATTCTGCTTGTAAGCATCGCTGCATAGTTGCCGAGCCTGTTCGTTGGACTGCGCAACCGGAAGAAACTGCAGCTCGTCCCGACCATGCTATATTTGTCCGAATTGAAGTCGGCCCTGAACTCGGCTCCGTGGCGATGGGCTTGCCCAAGCGGTCGAGAGCATCCTCACCGACAGCAACGACCTCTCGGGCGTTTCGGTGCTTCTCAACCTCTGAGGCCTGTCATGGTGGGCTGATGGAGAAATACCAGCAAGTCTAGCAAACACAAAATAGGCAGGCTCAACACACGATTGAATTTTCAGCACAAGCTGTTAAACCGCTGAGCTTGCAAGTGTCTATCCGTGCCGGTCGTGTACCCGCCTCGCCGATCGTCGTATCGGGCTTCGCAGCCCCCTGTCGCAAGGCAACATTTTTACGACAATCACAAACTTGATCGTTGTCACGTGCCGCACTGGCAACCGCAGCAAGGCCGTTTATCTGCAATGCAGAGGGCCTTTGACAGCAGAATACCACCTTGTGATTCTTCCTTGTCGTCCAGCAGCTTTAGCAGCACCTTGAGGGGGCCGAATGTTGACTGCCTTCCGGCTTTGCTGAGTGCCTTGCTCTGCTGCTGCCTTCCCCCTCGGCATCTGGATGCTCTCCAGGGTGGGCTGGCACAACATGAGCAACTGACTCACTTGACATGCATGCCGCTTTTGAGTCCTCGTCGCCCGAATAGCTGAGAAGGACATCGTCGTCCCTGACCTGGCCCGACTGGCAGTGCGCTCTTCGAGCAACTTGTTCACCCAGGTGTTGCAGGACCGGCTCGAACTCGGTCATTGGGCCTTTCACTTCAGCCCTGAAACTCAGCCTCACGCAAGGACGTGATCCTCGTCGTTATACTTTACCTGCATCAACATCACACAAGCTAGCAGCTTCCAGGTAACGGATGGGGCCTCTTCCACTCCGTATTTACCATGGAGCACCTTCATTCCGACCTGGCTTTCCCACCCGAAGCCGCAACCACGTAGACCGCTGAGTTGTGACACTGAGATCCTCACCTGCGCCCAAACGGGCACCTGCACACCTGTTTCCTGCCATAACAAGCAGAGGATCCGCAAAGCAGGAGTCATAATTCACTGTGTTGCTGTGTGTTCCCTACGGCTCGGCTCGGTAAGATGCTGTTGAGTTTGCGGCGTCCGTCATGCTGAACTTTCTGAGTCCGGATTTTCATGCAAGTCGGTCGGTCGGGCGGCCAACCAATCAGCCAGACAGCCAGGCAGTCAGCGGAGACTCGTGAAGGCCCCAGCGACCGACCCCGGCGAAGATACGACGTATCTAGCTGCAACGAAGCTCAAACTATCGCGCAACTCTTCGAACTCTTGAAGACTATACTTCATTTGAAACGGGCTGCATTCTACATCATAAACCTGCAGTTATATGATGTGGCCTTGGTGTTTGAAACAGGGTGGTCTGTCATGGGGCGGTGCAAGTGACCATGTGTGTTGTGTAAGTATGCATACTGCAGTAAGTCGCCGCATACTCCACACACATTAGTGCTGCAGAGGAAAAGGGACCCATCAAAAACAACATATGTATACTATACGTATACAGCTATGCTTACATGCTACCCACCCCCTATCCAGGTTTGCATCTTTGTCCTGATGCTTTGCTTAAGTGGGCCGAGGGGTGGGGCATTTAGCGAACATGAGTCAACCATGAGTTATGGATGTTGTGCCAAAAGTCTGTGCCGAAAGCAACCAAATAATTGCTTGAGCATCATGAGCAAGCACGAAGGAAATCGGGCCACCTGCACAGATTTCGCTTCAAGGTGGATAGTGGCTCTGTTTAGTTGGCTCTCGCTATCTTTGTTACACACACGTTCATTGAACCTCCACTTGTTTATACACGACACTGTCATTGTTGTTGGTGGCTTTGACAGTCTGTTACATGAGCTGCTGCGTTAATTACTTCATGCAATCATATACGGAACAAGCCGTAGTGTCAGATAGTGTCAGTATACCTGTCAAAAACGGCACCACTGCACAGTGATTCATGCGTATCGGACAAACGAACAGTCAATGGTAACAATCGTAGCAATTCGTGACCCACCATGGTACGTGTGGGTTGCGTCATGACTACTGGAAGTATAGTCTTCATTGCATTAGGAATCCGATCTCCAGTTCTTTTGTGTCTTGAAACTGGTAAATGATTTGTTCTTCTATGTCGAATTCAAAACATGAAGGCTGGCTTTAGTGTTACGTCTAGCACTGTTGTTATCACATATTTTTACCATTTCCATTTTCCTGTCACTGTGGTTAGTATGCTTCATCTCTGCTGACCCAGATAACACAATGGACGCCTCGGTTTCTTAGAATTCCTGAATCAAGTTTTACTGTGCCGAGTACTGTTGTGCTTATTCGTTCAGAGTACTTCGGAAATTGTTCAGGAACCTCGTTTAACAATAGCCAAGCATTATATATGAGCTAAATGCAATACTTGCTGAATCCTGTGATTATACATTCGATAAGTATAAGCCTAAGTGTAGGAATCTCTCACTCAGATGTTCCGCGCTTTTTCAAGCAAGCATCAGATGTGTCAAGGAAATGTGTGAATCTTGAGAGATTCGTCGAAGCCGCGTATTGAAAAGGCTTCTCCGAGCCATATCGGCATGAAAGAAACTCACCCCTCACCTCAGGCTTTGGACAAGCCCAAGTGTTCGTAACAAAATTGCGCTTCTGGCGCTTCGTAAGAAACTAACCCCTCACCTCACAGGTGTTTGACAAGGCCAAGTCCGTAACAAAATGGCGCGGTTCTGATCTCTTCAACTCTTCCTTCCACGACCCCTGCATCTTCCGACAGGAAGCTCAAGCCTGCGTAATAATTCTAACCAGAATGTGTGATGCTCTCGTTGTCGGTCATCAAGAGCTTTAGGCAGGTCTGTCAGCATTGACAGGGAATCTTGGATGTAGATTCGACAAGTGCGTTCAGCCGACCATCTACCGCGTTGGCAAACTACAGAATACGAATGACTCTCCAAAAAGACTTGTGTCGCACCCCCTCGTCTTAAGCTGTACGGTTTGTAGGGCAAAACGTTCAAGCCAGTCTTTTCAAGCCCCCGCGAGAACCACTGACGAAAGGACGTGGGTGACACATGAACTAACAGAGCACTGGGCGGATGCACTGCTTTCCATGCTTGAAGCATTAAGGATACCTCTCGATGTCTGAAAGAGGTTGACTCGACTCCTGCGTTGCGTGCTGCCATCTTTGTCTGACCAAGGTTGATAACTACCAAATCCCCTGAACAAATGATATCTTGATTGGTGATGCGGAAAAGCTCCCCTGTCCTAAGAAGCCCGTGAAACCCCAGCATCAGAGCCAAAGCGAGCTCCGGGATCTGTTGATGCATCCAGCCTGCGAGGACAGAAAGTGTAGTGGGAGTGAAAGGTGGTGCTCGCGTGGGTATCTCATGCTGCAGCCAAGCTTTTAGCAAGCGCCAACTGCGCAGCATTTTACGCTTAAGTTGCGGTTCATAGTGTTGCAAAGCTGACACCACATCTTGAGCTAGATATCGCGAGTCTCCTTCTTCCCACAATTCTTCCACGTACATGGCTGCCACTCGATCGGCTTCTTCCGGTTGGGAGGGCAGGAACAATCTGTTCCACTTCAGGAATTCAAGAAATCGTGTCATGGCATGTTCGTAGCGAGCTTTTGTGCGGGGCTGTATAACTAAATCCTTCAACTTTCCTAGCTGTTGTCTGCGAATTTTCCTGACATCCCGAGTCTTGCCTTCAATCAGTTGGCGCTTCCCCATTTTCGTTTGCAACTGCGCCTCGAAGGCGCATCTGCTGGGTTCTGTCCGGTGTCAACATACCCGAGGATGCAGGAATTCGCTGATAACAACAACCACGCAGCGAGCCTTTTGGTGATGGCTCTCAGTTTACGGCTAGAGCTACGCCCCTTGTTTACCACGTGTAAAGACACGAGGCTGTCGACCAAATGTAGACATCTCTTTCCCCGTTGCTTAGCTTTCAAGGCTCGCCACTTGATCGCCGTAAGAACGGCCCTCAGTTCGAGTCTGTTGATGTGTTCGCGACATCCTGACTGTGGACACCGCCATGCCCATCCGCACGCTGTCTTCCACTGCCACAACCTAGCTGGTACTGACGTGCGCAGGCGATCATGAGAGCGCACAATTTCTGTGGAAGCTTGTAAGAGCACGTCTGTGCCCCTGGACGACATCAATGAGCCCAGTTTGCGAATCAACATCACATCGTTGTCGCTGCGTTTGGGGTCTCGGGCCCTTTTCCAAGGTGGGCGGTTGAGGAAGCTTGAAAGCCCTGAACTCTGCCCTGGCTGACACTTTAGCTGTATCTCCCGAAGCGTATGTGGCTCGCATAGGTTCTGCTTTCGGAGCAAACGTTCCAGCAATACTGAAACAACTGGCACAGAGCTACTGTTTCCCAGGAGACACAGTCTACAGTCCTCGAAACCTGTAGGATCCTGTTTGCGCAGGGCTTTAGACCAACAGTTTACGGTGAAATCCAATGGAAATCCCAGCATAACCTCGCGTTCATTGATGGTTGGCAATCTCCAGCCATGTCTGGGGTGTGTTACTCCATGCTCATACTTGTACTGGTACGCTGGAAAACGACCCCTGTCAGCTGACCAATACTCCAAATCACGTGCAGAGCAACTGCTTTTACTGTCAACTTCATGTACCGGCCGGGCCTTCGGCTGGGGCTTTGTGAAGCTTGGAAGCTTGTGTTCAGCTCCTCCAGCCAGCGACCAACCCGGAGTCAAGTAAGGATCGGGAGGTGTAGGCAGGAGGAACGAAATCCTCCCGTAGTCACTGCAAAGTGCGGTGGAAGGTTTGATGATTTCCATGATGTCTGGTTCAGCTTCGGCTTTCCATGTAAACCAGAACAGCCTGTTACGCCTGCAGGGACAAAGGCCAGCAGCGTCAATTTCGTACGGGAGAATTCCTACAGATCGGGTAATGGCAGCACGCTCATCTTCTGACATAGATGCGATTCCCTCCATGCAAACGTGAACCGACGCCCAAGGAAAATGTTTCTTTGCCAACTCTCTTATCCTAGGGATCTCTTCGTAAGATTTGGAGATGTGCTGCATTCGAGGTGCACTTTGTGACGACCTTAAACCTGGTTCCTCTCGACAAGGGTGGCCTCCCGATATCAGGACGAGCCCTACCCTCGAAAACCTACAGGCAAAAGACTTCATCGACTCGTCCGTGATTTCCTCGACGAAGTCTGCTGAAGCAAAGTTACTCTCCACTACACGTCGGGCACAAGAGTCCTGTTCAACAGCGATGTATCCAGCCACCTGCGCTCCCAGAAGGTCAAGTGCAACACGACAGGCACCGATTCCATCAAACAAAGAGATGACCAACAGCTGCGCGTCATCCGACACTTGGTTGCACGACCCTCTGACACTTTTGCAAGCGGCTTGAACCCCCATGTCTGTCAAGCCAACACTAAAAGAGAGACCGCCACCACTTTCAGAAGCATCACTAGCGCTAACTATCGGATCATACGGAGCTCTTAAGTTGATGTATGCGAGTGGGCACAAAGAAACACTGCTGTAGAGTTCTTCCTTCACTGCATGTGGGATTTCCTTCCACACCCTTGAGGCTCCACGAAACGACGCAACAAATCGCCACGTTTCATTCAAGCAGCTCATCAAGCATCGACGGTAGCTAAACAAATAAACCAACCCTCCGGCAACCATTTGGATCCTCTTAAGGTCAGTTCGCTTGCTTTGCAACAGATACCAAGCTCCCCTCAAGTAGCGTGCTATTTTATCGGGCTTCGGTGATACAACCCCCTGAACTCCATCAAGCAAGCCACCTTGCATTTCACCTGCCAAAGAATTCTTTGATGATTTTTTCTCATTCACCGGAATCTGAAGGTCCTCGTAAACCTCCCGGAGTTCTTGCGCCAAGGGGCTCAGTGTCCCTTCCAGGAGGCCAGCT